TTTTTGATGTAAATACACTTTATTTTGAAAAATTTTCGAAAATTTGGAATCGGAGTTCCGAAAATTTTGAAATTTCGCTTTTTTTGCAAACACTGGTGTGTTTATTTTGGTTCCCAGTGTTTATTTACATTTTTTTGATTGTTTATTTTGGTTTCCAAAGTTTATTTACATTTTTTTGATGTAAACACACTTTGTTTTCAAAAATTTTCGAAAATTTGAAATCGGAGTTTCGGAAACTTCGCTTTGTTTGCGAACATTGGTCTGTTTGTTTTGGTTTCCAATGTAACTTATTAGCGATGCAATTGCTTAACATTTTGAAATATTTAACAAAAGTTAGAGGCTATGATCTTCAATATTTAAAAATTCACCAAAGGGAAATGATCTCTCTAACGGCTTAACAAATCGTTTAATTACATAAATCGCGATTACAGCCAATCAGCTCATATTATTTGTTATATAACTCATAATTGTATCATGTACAATAGTGATGCAATTAGTAATTATATCCTAGTATAATAATGACCAGGTTTTACCACGTGGAGGTTGCTGCGAATGGAGACATCACATCTTTGTAGTGCCTACCCTTCTTTTACGCAAAAAAATTAAAGAAAATTTAAAAGAAAATCCTCTTTCGAATGTGCGATTGTTAAATGTTTGCAATTTTTTATCATCGTGCAAACAAATTTCTATATTAGAGTACTTAGAAATATTATAGAGGAGGATTAATTGTTACAAATAAATTAGATAATGGTAGAAACGAAATGTGAACGAAAATGATAAAAAGATTATAGCCCCAAGTAACTCCCAAAACATGGGACATGAAAAAGCATTGAATGTCCGATCAATGTCGAGACATGCTTTCGAGCAAGTTGAAGAACGTCGAATAAAGAATTCACATTTTTTTCTTATCTTGATTCATTTTCCTATTCTCGACTCTGAGACTTCAATTAGATACATACACAGTGAAAAAAATGTTATACACTATTTGATAATGTGTCATGATATTTGATTAAATTTCCTCTTTCTGTTCTTTTGGAGATAGTCATCAATTCTAAGATATTCAAGTACAAGTATAATTTGTTTATCTATTATCTATGACACGGCGGTTGAATCTTGAGATGTACAAATAAAGCGAGCAAACAATTGTTAACATTCATTGATTTTATCCTGATTCGTGGTAAAAATCACTAATGAAATGGACGGCAATTTTTTCTTTCTAACTAGATTTACAGTAAAATTACATCATGATCTTATTTGTAATATGACAGGAATTTTAAGAACGTTCGTGTTAAATCTTATCTTTATATCGTAAATTCCAATCGAACAATTCGACCCTTCCACAAATAGAGATGATGTTTCCGTTCATATTGCGAATATATTTGAGTTGTATCAGTAATTTATGATTACTCTTCTCTTTTCGAAATTCTCACGCAGGATCAATTGCTTCGAATTCCTCGAAATTATCAACGTATTGATCGTTCTCTATCGTTCCTCGAAAAACGTATATTTTCAATATTACAAACGCTATCACGAAATGTGACATTATGTACTGATATTACGTCACTATCATATCTTAAATATGCGAGTTTCAAATTATATCTGAGAAATAAATTTAAAGTAATTTGTAAACCATTATTTGGAAATGGTCGTTTCTAAACGATTGTATCATTAGGTCCAAAGTACGAAACGAAATAAACTGAAACACGATATCTAATTGATAATCCGATAAGTTCGGTATAAAAGTCAAATCATATTTTTTAAGAATACCAGTTCATTTTTAAAAAAGCGATCATAAAAGGGTGTATTATTTTTTGAACTGCAAGGATCAGTCTGTTGCAATGAGACGTGAGTAATATTCTAATTGAGAAATATTAGTTCAAATAATTCATATTGTTTGAACTAGTAGAGAACAAAATAAATAGCAAACAAATAGATGATCATTTGATTACGACAATTAGCTTGTGATTAAGGAATATTCAATATAAATTAAAATCATAATAGTTATAACCACAGTAAAAAAAGATTGTAGTGTAGAAATTAAATTATTTTAATTAATTATTCGAAATTATTAGAAATTAAATTAATTTAATTAATTATTAGAAATTATTAGAAATTAAATTATTTTAATTAATTATTAGAAATTAAATTATTTTAATTAATTATTAGAAATTGAATTATTTTAATTAATACTAATCAATAATTGTTACGAATGATCGAAATATTCATTAATCGTTATCTTTAATTACGTTTAATCGTTATCGGTGATGGAATGTTTTTTAATATATGTAATAATCAACAACGGATTAAAAGAAATTCCATCATTGATAAAATAATTACCAGAATCTTTTAAAAATTTAAACATCATCGTTCTCCGTTTAAATAAAAATTAACTTTCTCTCAATTGACTTCTTCCGTAAAAATTCTGACAACTAATGTCTACGCACAGCTCGATCGATCGCATGACTTTCTCTCATTTCAGATTTATTGCTAGCAGTCGTCGTTTTGACAGCGGTGAGCTACATCTCTTCGCAACAAGTGCCGAAATGTACTTCTGGTACATATCTGCCACACGAATGCAATTGCAACCTGAAGTCTCTCTATTACGAATGTGTCAATGGAGAATTCGTTGAAAGAAAGTGTCCGGGCGACAGAATTTTCGACGAGAAAAAAAGCCAGTGTGTGACTCCAGTCTATTGTCCACCAACGGGATACGAACTTATTCCTAACGAGGACAACTGCGGCCTGTACTACGAATGCAAGAACGGTGTCAAAACGGAGAAAACTTGCGAGAATGGATTGTCTTTCGACGAAGTGAAACGCATGTGCAGTTGGCCACCGAGCAGTGACTGCGAACGAACGGATCTGGTTACACTACCCAGTCTACTCTATACAACTAAGAACAGTGACGATTATAAATGTCCAGCAACTGGAAACACGCGGCTACCGCATGAATGCTCCTGCACCAAGTTTTACAGTTGCGAGGACGGGCGTAAGTTCCTTGAAAATTGTCCAGACGGCATGATGTACGATTATATAAGACATGTTTGCGACTATTCGCACAACGCCATATGCAAACATAGGACAAATAATAACGATTATGCCACTGGAAATTGTGTTGTTTCAAGTGAGTGCACTGCTGGTTCAAATGAACGCTTTGCTCATCCGCAAATATGTAGGCTGTATTACCAATGCCGCGGTGGACGCAAATGTCTTCGATCATGTCTCGATGGACACGTCTTTAATCCAATAATCCAATCGTGCGACCAACCGAAGAACTATCCCTGTCAGAATAATAACGACCCTACTACTACACCGAAAGACCTAGACTGTCAATGTGCTTGTGAGAATTGTATCCCTCGTTATCCTGACAACACAAATTGTTCCAGATACCTTGAATGTGAAAACAACAGGAAAGTATCAAAGGAATGTCCTCCGAAGCTCGTGTACGACCCTGAGAGACAAATTTGCGACTATCCGCAGAATGTAAATTGCTCGCATCCCCATTGCAACGAGGGAGAGATAACTCACCACGAATGTCAATGCAATCTGTACTACCAGTGCGTAAACGGACGGCAAAAGGTCGTGTCCTGTCCACCTGGCTCGTACTTCGACTGGGAAGACAAGGTGTGCCGCTCGCCAGACGTGGTTCGTTGCTATCCTCGTGGGTGTAACGGCATTTGTCCACCGAACGGAATTACGAACTTGCCCCACGACGATTGCCACAAGTACTGCAAATGCACGGAAGGAAGCACCACGATTGTCCTTTGCGACAACAAACAGATTTACGATCCGAAGCAACAAAAATGCATACCGCCAGAGAACGTGAAGAACCAAACGTGCGAGCTCTTCCCGTGTGATCCAAACTCTAATTCTACATCCTTGATCCCACACGAGTGCCTCTGTGACAGGTACTACGAATGCAGGAAAGGGGGGAAGCATCTCGTGGTATGCCCGAACGGATTGTACTTTGACTACGTGAAAGAAAGATGCGTTGAAAGCAAAGATGCTCACTGTTACAAACGCGAACCGTGTTCGAAGGATCCTGATTGCGGCGATATCAAATGCATCATCGACGGCAGCACAAGCCCTCACAAAGACTGCAGGAAATACTGTGTATGCAGGAACGGGTACGGAATTACCGAGAACTGTCCTCAGGGCCTGTACTTTGACAAAGTATCGGGAAAATGCGCCTGGCCAGAGAACGTGGATTTAGCGAAGAATTGCCCACCGTTTAACTGTACCGATAATCGAATACCTCACGAGTGTAACTGTGCAACTTACTATCAATGCGAGAAAGGAGACAAATATCGCGAGAAATGCGACGGATCTTACTTCGATTACGTGCTCGGTAAATGTGTGGATATCACGGAAAATCCTCACTGTTACCATGAGTATTCGAAAAATAGAGAGGTGGACGACTGTGTCGAGCATTGCCCGAAACAGACATCCGTTCGGCCTGTTATTCAAATGCGTCACAAAAAATGCTCGCAGTACTGTGTGTGCTCAATGGGAGCACCGTATATCGTCAAATGTCCCGACGGTAAAGAGTATAACGAAAAAACGCAGAGTTGCACATCTCGGGAAACTGCTGGGTGTCGGCCTCAGCTAGAAAACGAGAACAAGCTATCGTTGTCAAATTTCCCATTTGTCGATTATCTCTAGTAAGTGGAAGAAGGTAATTCGTAGAAAGAGTTAGAAATGTAAACGTAAGATAAATCGTAACGTTTTATTACGAGTATTTTAGTTGTATCGAGCGTGTAAAGTGCAACGTTTGCTTTCAATTTCAATGTAATCTAATATTTCTTTCTTTTTTTCCTTTTAATACAACTACATTCTATTTAATGCTATTTAAGTAAGTTAATCAGCAATGAACGAAAGATTGTAAATTAAAGATTATGTTCGTTACACGCACGTGTGTGCATGCATAATTTAATCATATTCGATTCATCACTACTGTTGCTATTTTATTTTGTAAACGACGTGACTGATTTCCAAAAATAATATCATAAAATTGATAATACGTAGAATTTTGAATGAACGGATTGTAAATAAAATGACGGAAATAAAAGTTAAGTCATGTTACGTTGTATTCGGAAAATTCAATGATTTCGGCAATGACGAAACACATTCCCAACTGTCGATAAAACTGTAAAACTGATTATCAAAATGTACGTCACCGATGAAATACATGTTTTATATTCGTAAATAAAATTTATTCACAAAAGATGATTCTTTCGCTTTCCATTAACACGTGGATGTACAAGTGACTGTTTCCCTCGCCTCCAAGTTAAATTATTTGTTAAACATTACAATTCGATGTCGTTTCACTTTGGTTTCCATTAGTGACTGCAGACCAAAACGTGGAACGTAAATATATAAGGATAACAATGTCGAAATTTACGAACGCGATTGTCGATATGATCAGAAAGAAAAAAAAAAAAAAAACTAATCTGAAACTATTGATTGGAATTCTGTTGTAACACGATAATTTTTATCGTAAGGTAAGCCTTTCTTTCCGAACGCACATATTTTATTTTTCGATAAAATTCGAAATGATCGTTGTATCAATACTAAATGTGGGCTACGGGGACAGCTATTTACACAATAGTATTTCCGTCCAAATCATGATGTTTCGTAAATGTCAATTTTAAAACATTCGAGTTTTATCAAATTTCGTAATTGTTATTTGAAACAGACGACACACATTTTTTGGGTGCTGCATCTTTCTGGCCTCTCATTTTTTTTCTATTTGCTCTTTAACCACACTTTCATTCGACGTGACGTTTTATCGAAAAACTCGTTAAAACGTTTAGTTGTCGAAGCATAAACAAAAATAATGTTTAACCGCGTTGTATGGATGTCTAAGCGTCGAAACAATTTTCACAGAGAAATAGCAAATATTGCGAAATGTTTTCGTTATCTACCAAATTATGAATCGCTTTCGTTAGAATGAATTTTATCGATTGATTCGGTGAAATTTTTATACTGCACAACTTAAAACAAACACATTCGTTGGTCTAAAAATACGTCTTTTATTGCTATTCTTTATTGTGGTAAGCTCAATACCAACCTAATGACCTATAATGCCATAATCTATGATTGTTACTAGATTAATCTGTCGTAGGTGCGAATATTGAAACGAAATATTTGTTTCTGTTTCGTATTGCATGTATTCTTCGAATATCGCGCGATACCTAACTTCAGATATTATATCGCGAGGATTGCAACGTGTAACTAAATTCTGAGAAATGTTGTCCGTTTATGACAATATTTTACCCTTCGAAAAACATTTTTCCTTTCCAACACGTAAGTAAAACAGTACGTTTATACGAAGTAGGGCAGAAAGTCTGTTTTAATTGACAAATTTTAAGTTATGCCTATGTAATTATTTGTTTAAAAAGATCAAACTTCAAGTATGAAGGAAACGAAAGAATAATGTTGAACAAATAAACTTTTGGCTAACTAAATCCAAGTTAAATCGAATGTAAATACTGGCTGCGATAAGATAAATCTAATATGTTAATGATAAGACCCGGTTCGATATAAAAGTCGATCCGTGTGAATTAAATTTGTTATTTTCCCAGAAATAAGAAACAGTAGCGCGTCATTAATTCCTGAACTTGGACGATATGAAAGGTAAGTAAATAATCCGAATTTGTATTAATAATTTCTTGTCAAGTAAGAATTTATACAGAAATAAAAAGATATCTTGATTCAAATGAAATTGCAGATGCTAAATGTGTAGTAAAATATAATAATCGAGTTAGTTTGTTTCTAAAAAAAAATGCTGAACTTGTCGATACGTTCTGAACATTCAATAAAAATCTGCGATCGAAAATACAAATTGTAAAACTTATTGAATTACAATAATGTTTCCTTTTTGTAAATTTCAGTGTTGTGCGTGTTGTTGGTTGTGATCGTTGTAGCGGCGACGAAAGAACAGTGTCAAACGGATGGTTGTCCTAAAACTCCCCAAAACTGCGGTCCACATAAGAGATGTCTCGAAGAAATAAACAATAACGTAACGCAACACATTCCTTATCCCGACGACTGTCATAAATTTTACAAATGCGCGGAAGGAGAAGCATATCTACTATGCTGTCCATTAATTGATCCCAACGGGTCGAAACGATTGGTTTTTAATCCAGAACTCCAAGTCTGCGATTGGCCGCACAATGTAGAAAATCCAGAAGCCAAATGCGATAATGTGAACCCAACTGAACCCACGACGAAACCCACGACGACACCAACGAAACCCACAATAACAACAACGGAACCCACAACGACAATAACGGAATCCACAACGACAACAACGGAACCCACAACGACAACAACGGAACCCATAACGACAACAACGGAATCCACAACGGAACCAATCACACTGCCACCAAATAAGGACTGTGGAACGAATGAAACAAAGCTTATAGCATATGAACCAGACTGCACTAAGTATTACAGATGTACTAACGGAGTAAAAAGTGGACCTTATTCATGCTACCAAGGTCATGTTTTCAACCCAAAAATTGGTAGTTGCGACAGTCCAGATAATTATAATTGCCCTCATTCTACCTCAAATGTCGAATATTTTGATAATTGAAAAGAAAAGGAAAGATCTCTTTGTTTCAACGACACTCGTTTTCGAGTTTCATCAATGAAACAAGAAAAGAAACATCCAAACTTGGAGGAATGTTACATAAATTAAGCACTCTATGTAATTCTTTATAATTAATATTCGCAATGCGTGTATTTTAACATACATATTGTGAAATCTTAACTGGCAATAAAACGTTGCAAAATGCATAAAATAAAATACGTTGTTTACTTTCAATTGACACTCGTGCAAGTCGTCACTTCATCCTCGTTCCAATTCGAGAAGACTTTCTAATCTTGGGGAACTTGTTCACTAGCAGAATAATCATTTTCGTTATAACGTTGACAAGCAATTTAAACGAAACAAGTGACAAATAATCGAATAACAACAAGGCGTTGTGAACGGAGCACGGAACACGCAAAGTATTTTATTGCACGTCATCGTAGTATTTTCCAACTATGTCTAATACGTGGCAGGGTCTGGTGTCGATCCGTGAAGTATCCTCCTTAGTAGAACCATAGCTTCCCGGCTCGCTAAGAAATCGGTTCTCTTCTTCCTTCCTCTTTTCCAATTTTGGTTGCTGCGATTGTTGAGAATTCTCCGACAGGACTGTTTTCATCGTATCCCAAACATAATTCATGTCTGGTACAGATGACATAACGCGTCCCCTTTTCCCGTATCTATCCGTGTATTAAATACGAATTAGAATTTATTATATCTTCCGTAAGTAATCATTTTCATTCAAACTATCAATCAGCGGTTTTAATGTTCGTTCGAAGGTTTCGTTTTCGAAATGTTCTATGCTCGCTGAGAGAGGACTTCGCACGAATTCATTGCGTCAAAGAGTTTATTATACAAGGTATCCGATCACAACCGAGCAAGGAGAATCCTTGTGAGAAAATGTAAAATAAAGTTAATAAACTTTGTTATCGAAAGAAACGATTTTGAAGATCCAACGCTCTACTTTTTCTCTTTGATAGCTTTATGTTACTACCGTCATAGTTTCTGTTTATTGTATTTGATTTACATGATTTCATAAATAAAAACGAACGTATTAGTTTCAATAATTTCATCAAGCACAATAATTGTGCTTGATGAATTTATTTGTATTTTCTAATTCTTCAAAAATAAAGTTACCTTCGATTTTTCAACAGTTTCCGACTACTTCTAAAATACACTATTAACTTGTCAGTAAAACGTCGTAAACAAAAGTGCACTCAAAATTAGCACACGTGCAGATTTTCAAGATCGTTCTTGCACAGTCCCGTATGCAGAAACTTCAGTCTACAATTTCGATTTATCTTTCCACCAGAGTCGATCCCTTGCTCGGTTTTAGTTATCAAATCTTATAAAGTGTGTCAAATAACAATCCATGATTACCTCGCTTTCCCACTGTGGGAGTAATAATCACTAACATGATCGAGATATCTTCTCAGTTCTTCCGGACTTGTAAATATTTCTGGCCGAGTTGGTCTGGCCATCGGTTGCGGTTCGCCGTGAACAACGACAGCTCCAAAAATAAAAAGAACGAGAAACAAGCAGATGCTATTTGAACGCGAGTGCATTCTTCTCGCCAAGAGTCACCAGTTACTGGAAAAAGAAGAAAAAACAGAGAGAAATTTCAAACATCTTTTTCACAGTACATCTTTTCACGATGTTTGGATCACATATTCACTATCTAACAAAACACAATTATATCCAACGTTCGTAAATCAAGCTAGAATTTCCACTTGTTTAAATTCTTCCGCCTCGTGAGTCAATTACCTACAGCTGTTTCAATAAAAATTAGTATCGCTTTCAATGAATATCGCATGACGAAACGAAACATGTTTTCTAATCTCTATTAATTCACTTCGGTTAAACGTATCGGTTGTTTCATATCCAGTGTTCAGGCACGTAGAAGCGTTCATGTAATAAACCATGGACTTCTAGTTCGAAATTAACTTCGATCAACCGTGAAAAGTAATTTAGAACAATTCCGGATAACGAGAGGTTTGAACTGCAAATGGAAATTAAAGACGAAGTCGAGTTACCTGTTGCACCGTCGCTCGTTTGCTGCAACTTCATTGAAAGTCGAAAACTTTCCGCGGCAAGTAGCTGATGATTTAAAATTGAATATCGAACAGGCATTGGTCAACTTGTCAATTCACGTTCGAGAATTCACCGTGCCCCGCAAGTCCTGGATCGCAATAATTTTCGGAAATTCTCAAAGTTTCGCGAAAGTAAATCGTCGACTCGATCCGATCGTCCCAGATCGTCTTTCGTGCGATGATTTTACCGATAATACGAGTTTCACACGATCACGGAATACAAAACAGCGATATGCTAAATTAACTCTCGCCGACGCGATGTCCCGTTCTCTTGTTATTTTGTTTTGCATTTTTTCGGCTAACTGGGCCGCGAATTCCTATGCAAATTCATATTTTTGAAAACGGAGCGAGAAAAAATAAAGTCTCGATAGGAAATTGTTTTACGCGCAATTTTCCACTCGAAAGTTTTCTATACGTGCATAAAAAACCGCCGTAGTACAACACAATACAAGTAAATTAATCAGGGTTTTAATAAGCCCGTCACGGTTCTCCAAAGATTAACAAATTCGTGGATTTTCACACAAAATTTAAAAGAGCGAAAATACGCGAGACGTATGTAATTTTATAAAAATAAAATAAACCTGTATTTAGATAAGATAAACCTCTATATAAGATAACCATTTCTTTCTACATTTTTATATTGACAGAATTGTAAATTTGTACAAAACATCCGCAGTCAACAATATGCGAGCTTCGTCAAGGATTTAATTTGCGTCACAGATCGGTTCTTCTAAAAGGAGTGTCGAATCGTGTGTCTTCTCGTTTCACAGAGATCCGTGGTCTAAAGGAATACACGTCGCGTCGTTCGGTGCAAATTAAGTACGCAAAAGATACTCTCGTATAAGCTCGATAATCCAGCAACGAGCTTATAAAGAAGAACGAATATTCCGAAAAGATTTCACATGCCGGGCGTTTTACGTATCGCGTCGTTTTACAAATGCATTAACTTTTTACGCTGCTTTGAACCTCGCTGATAGTTGGAAATATGAAGAACGAGCGTTAACTTAATTAATGGAACTTGTTAATTCGAAAGTTCAATAGAGGAAGAGTGCAACGAAGAGTGCGCACAATAATTTAACTATCAGCGGGCAATTCATTTGCATCGATCTGATCGAAACGTAAAGTTTATATTCATGAGAAGCGAAACGACACGAGGCGAGACAATGATTTCTCACTGAATATGTAAAACCGATTGCCGTACAGTGATAAGCGCAGACGTGCATCAAGTAATAATTGGAAATAACGAGTTTATCCAACCGATCGCGAAATGTTATTTTCAAGTGGAAGTCCAACGATTACAAATTGATCTTACGAAATTTGAATTAAGCTATTCGAGTAGTAGATGAAAACGAAGGAAACAGTGAACGCGATTCAATCTAATTTGTAATTACGCGTCTTGATGATTAGTTTCCGGCGATAAATTATTTTTATATTTTACGAGGAGCACGAGATACGAGAAATAATTTCTAATTGACGAAGAAAGAAACGTTTGGATCTGAAGCAACGGAACTAAACTTCCTTTATTTACAGGTGAATAATTTTTCTCCATTTACGGGAAATTTAAAGATACGAAATTGCACATGCGAGAAAATGCGTGAAATACTCAAAATATTATACACACAGTTCACATATAGTAAAACAATTTCTTACCGAGGTTCTATTCTTTAAATTATATTTAAGAAAACACGAATTTGCACAAAAATCAATAAATATTGAGTAATTTCACACAAAAAAGTTTTCGATGTTTATCGGTCAAATCAAGGCTGTGTTTGTTTTTCGAACTTCAGAGTGTACAGTGTCACAATCCTACGACATTTCGATAAGAACGATCGCGTTGACACGAATAGGTAAAATAAACCGATTTGCAGTGATCGGTGCCCTGATTGAAGTTGCTCGAGATTCATCGACGACGGAATTCGATTGTAAGTTACTACTCACCGATCTGAGATCACGAGTCCGCTGACACGAAAAAAATTCCCGTATCCTGTCGGAATATTCAGGAGTTGAAATCGAATCGGCCGCTCGCGCCGCAGGACGGGAGTATATATACCTGGGAAGGCAACCCTCTGGCGCATCCCCTCGGCGGCAAATCGCGCAGCCAATCCACGAGATTCAACCCCACCAAGTCATCTTTCCCACTATCTTTCTGTCGATCCCTTTTCCCTTCGATCCTTAGTATTCATGTATCAAACAACACGCTTAACGATCCAACGGATCCGAAGGATCGATTCGCTTCGACAAGAACGATCGATTATACTCTCTGCAATTTTTATCAGAGGTCGGTGGTTCAACGTCAACCCTTTAAATTACTTTTCCATGTTATGGAAATGTTGCGAAGAGACAACCTTCCCAACGTATGGCGCGACAAAAGTTTGATGAAAAATAAAACCCGTTTTCCAAAGGCGACGTCCGCACGTTCAACGATAAACGTTCCTTCCTAAGCAGTTCCCTCTTTGCGAGCAATAAAACTCGTTGCAAAAGTGTAATCAGATTGTCTTGCAGTTTTGCCGCGTAGATTTTATGAAGCTTCCTGACATTCCCGTAAAGACGGATATTCGCAGATATTAGACTTTTCTTTTTTATGAAAATTGCACAATAGTTTCAATTTAATATCAACAATTTTCTCGAATGGCCCTGTGAATCCTAATTTCCTCTTATAATTTGCTTGTTAAAACTATCTTAACTATCTTCTTTTAAATATATATATTTGCGTGCATTCGTAACCACGGTGGAGAATATCGAAAGTCTTCCTTTCCAAAGAAGCAGGATATCTCTTAAAATAACATTCAACTCATGGATCGATTATGTCGATCAATTCACTATCGTTTCTTCGATATTCTTGTACGTGTATTCGATAGTTATAATTTCCATGACATCACCCTCCCTCCTCCTGTTTCCCGAATCTACTTTATATTTAAAGTAAAGTGTGATCCGCTCGACACTCTTTAAATCGAATGGATATCCGCTGCTGAAACTTAAAAGTAGAATAACCACGCGATACAATCTTATAATAGTTAAATCTTACGGTTAAAGTCTGAGACAGGGCTTTCCAAAACTTAGGAATGTCGCGAATTAATGTCTTAGAAATAAATCGCGATCTAATATCGGCGTGGTAATTGGCTCGTAGCTTTGATAGAAGAATCGTGATGAGCATATCGATAGATGAGGAAAAGAGTTCGCAGAGACACGTTTCTGAACGTTTCCTGCACGCGAACGGGAAAGGGAACTGTATTAATTAAAAGATGCCCTACAGGCTTCTGGTGGATTCTCGGGCATAAAAGTTTTATATTCGCACGCACACGCCGCTGGTTGAATATATTTATTTTTCCACGTATACTTGAAAGCTAATTTTTCTTTTCCATTTTATCGAATATTTCAGCTCTTTGGACGTACCATTGTAATCATTGTATTATTATTATTATTATTATTTTTATGAACATACGTTTATTTTATAACTTCAAGGGGCCAACAAGGTTCGAAAGTCAACCAAAATTTTTATATTACATCGTGAATGAAATATTTTAGCTTCTTAAAATATATTTTAATTATAGTTTTATTAATGTGTGTTAATAATAATTGCACGACATTCTCTTTTTATACTCAAATAATATGTCCGATGGTTAAGTTATGAGTCGTAGTCTGACCTCTCTTTTGAATGTATAGAAAATCATCAGACACTTGATCATCTCTTAATGTTTCTGAAACCGACATTTAACTAGAAGATTATCTAATACAAAATCGACATATTTTTTATTAGAATCGTCTATCTGTTACGGTGCGTCACCGGCCACTTTATCCATATACGTTACCAGTCTCGAAAGGGTTAATTCGCTCTCTGTTTAAGATTCGATTGGTTCGTGCTATTGAATCTCACCGATCGATACAATACAAAATCTTTTATAAATAATCGTGAATAATGCTCGTACAACCAAAGATTAAATGTCATTGTGATAACTGTTCTCTCGATTATTGAATGTTCAATAATCAAGAGAACATATGTTCGTGTTTATCGAATCTTAACTACATTTCGCGAATCAACGGGGCTGTAGTGCCTCTCAATAGATTATTCGTTTCTCGATATTCTCGAGAATGTTCTTGGTATTTGCAAAATTCCGCGGAATCACAAGACAATTAGCTGCAACCGTTGCAAAAAGATTCGTAGGAGTTCAGTTGAACCCTGTTCCATTCTTTGGATCGTTTCCTATCGAATCTGACGAGTGTTCGTACGTCAAAATTTCCAAAACTGCAACTTTCAAGAGAAAAATACGCGAGAATCGTTCTTAATTTGTACAAAAGAATTTCTCGGAAGTTCTTATCCGAAGTGTTCCTTTTTTCAGTCGATGCTTATCTCTTTCAGGTAATTCTTGTATTTCACATTTGTCAGGAAGCCTTATCGAATGATTTATAACAATTTCTATCCTTCCCTATCCTTTCTGCTGATTGCTGGCATTACTAGATTTGTACTTGTATACGATGCTCGATATTGCGAAGAACCGTTTGTCCGTAAGTAACTGAAATCGACAGAAATTAATTAAAAAGATAAGAGAAATCTCCCGCGAAATATATATATATATACATATATATCTGCGTTCGCGCAAGTTGAAGCAAACCGCTCTCGACTCTAGCTTCCAGCACGAGCGGCCATTAAAAATGTAGGAGGGCGCTGCGTGGCCACTATCGGTTGAACAAATCAGTCGATCCAACAGGTGGAAAGACTTACCTTCGAAAGATAAGTGCCACGTAAGAGTAATGACCTTCCGCGAGAAATTCTCTTGCAGAGTCGTATGTAAATTTCACAATGATAATCTTCCAACTCTCGATAAGATTTGCCGATAGTCGTTCGTTAACAAATGGATACTCCATTCCTTCAAATACATAGTTTCGAATTTGTTCGATCGATCAAACGACAGCGTCGCTGAACGATCAAAGCAAACACGAACTACTATTGACGTAAAGAGTAGTTACTCGAAGGGTTAAACTGACGTCTGAAGGGTGCGATAATTGACAGTGACTTGGATCGCTGATCCCAGAGGATGATGCAGAAAAGATCGAAACGAAAGGCCGAAAAGAGTCAAGGATAACGCCGAAGACGAGGCTGTACGCCTTTCAATTGGATATACGGCGAGACGCGGCGACAACCAGGTCAAAGTGGGGACGTCGAAAAGGCCAGAAGAGGATGAACCAACAGGCCCTCGAAGAGAGGAGGCACGAAGTGGAGGAAGGAGGACGATCGTCCGTTTAGAAGGAGAGAAGCAACGGAGGAGAACGGTCATTGCCACCACCTCACCTCGAGCCGGTGCTAAAGTCCCTGGCACGAGGAATATCCTCGACCCTGGTACGGTCTACTGTGCGGAATCGTCCTGTAGTTTAGCTTGGCTTCGTTCTATCGGTCATGGTGGGGCCTTCACGGACAACGATGCGCCGTGTTGGGATTCGTGCACGCGGAGCGCACCCGAGAGCACCTGGATCGGTGATCCAGAAGTCGTGAACTACGCAAAGGCCATCGTCTAACCAGTTCGATCGGTGCTACCTGTGACGAACGCAGGTCGAAATTTTGTTACCTTTACCTTCGCTGCCGGGGTTCCCGGCAGAAAATTTCCAAACGCGTGTACAAAGTTCCGCCGCACAGCCACGAAAATTTCGCGCATTTCGCGAAGGGTGAGAATTCGAAGCCTGCTGGGGGGATGATGCTCCTCGAAGTCTGACCATCAAGTAGCGTTCATCGTTGCAATCGTCCGCCGGTATCAGAAAAGGTAAGTCTCTCTCTCTCTTTCGAGATCCTCGTTTTAAAAGAAAAAAAAAAAAAAAAAAAAAGAAGTAAGTTTTCTATTTTGATCAATCGGTGTACGATAACCTATGTTCGAGATAGATTACGGTATTTGTAATGAATCTGCTTCGAGATTCATTTTGAAAATAGAAAAAATATGTCGGCAGCGTGAGAAAGAAATTTCAGATCTCTCACTGCCGCAAATTTGCCAATGCGAGCCGTATGTCGTTCACGAATACCGTTCGTTCCTTTAAGGAGAATTCGAACTTTCACAAACGCCGCGGTTTTAGTATGAATGTCATTCTCTCGATGATATTGCCTCCTTATTTCGCACGAGCAGATCAAACGAAACTGAAGAAAATCGACAAAATCCATGCTCGTGTATGCACTCGTTTTGTTTTTCATTAGAATTTTGTTTCGCCGATTATGGAGCGTAAATCAAACAATAACGCGATTCGTTATCCTCGAGAGAATTGGCGTAATTCGATGAAATCGAATTTGGTAAAATGTACCGTTGATCGATTTTACGTTAAAATCGATGACTTTTGTCAATAAGGATACAGATCCATCGATTAAAACAAAGTGTTTGCGATTGTATTTTAAACGAATTCGTTTGATACTTTTCGCTTCCAAACAGCTATTTTATTCCTGCCAGCCGTACTTTGGCGGCAACCCACATGTGCGCCTCGTATTAGATACGTGCGTACAAATGAAAGTGGCTTGTACCGTTACAGCATACGTACTAGGCTACGACAAAAGCTTTTTTATACAGAGGCACGTTTGTACGTACGCATGTACGTTCGTCTACGAGCCACCTAATTGCGAAAATTAGACAGCCGATCGATTTTCAGCAGCGATCCAACGACGAAGAAGGATATCCTAATTTTTCTTCGGTGATCAAATTATTTGATTATACGTAGCGGGTAGAAGGAAAGGAAGAAGGATAGCAACGACTCGCCTATTTGCTTTTAAACGACTACCAGATTGCATCGCGTAACTATCAAATAGGGATCATTAAATGCTCGAAAGGATAACTTCCAGCAACCGACTTGATAATTTACTCGAGGCTATTCATAGTTTTCTTCGTAGGAAAATTGTTTATTTCTCTCGCAGAAACGTTACGAGAATTTTTCTTTCTCTCTCTCTCTTTTTTTTAAAAGTACGATTAGTCGAGAAACGAAAAAAGAAAAAAAAAAAAAAAAAGAAAAAAGGAGGAAGGGAAAAAGGATAGTCCGATCGAAATCGAGACGGGGAAGATAACTGTCGCCTAACTAATCAGAAGCAGGAAACCAGTAACCTGACCATCGACAAGCCGACGCAACTCACAAGTCGACATTTGTTGCTTCATCCACCCGAATTCCTGCCTCTGGGTAACTGTAACGGTTTTTATCACTTCCTCAAAGAGGAGGAGCGAGTGCACACTGGATGAGATCATTGCGTTTCTTCGGGCAACGTGAAAGAAAATGAGAATCGCTTGAGTTTTCAAGTGAAACGATACTCGAATCGTCTTTACGCGTGTCCCACTTCCGACGTAACGTCCCGTCCATTTCTTTTTTTTTTTATTTTTTTTTCTTTACGTTACGATTGTTGCTCTCTCGCTGCCTTTTTTTCTCCTCTTCTCATCTCCGAGAGAGAATAACAACGGTCGAAAAATTGAAAAGCTATTGAAAAGAAGGGGGCGAGTACTGCCGAAATCGGTAAGTCTAAGGTCGATTCGTTCGTTCAACTGGACAGGATATAACGTTACAGCCGAATTCTTGCTTCTGAATAACTGTAACTTTATTCTTGCACGATGAGCATCGAATAACCACGAGCTCGTCGCGTGGTGAACGACATTAATATCGTCGAGGCGGGCAGAAAGGAAGAACACGTGGAAAGTGCTGCTTCAACGTCGCGGAGAAAATGGAAGAATTTGTTTCTCCGTGTTATTGTTGCTTTCAAGAGCGGGTAATATCGTGGTGCTCCTGCTGAAAACGAATGTCCGTTCTCACAAGGTCGTTCACTCGCGAACCTTTCCATTCCCGCGACGTAATTATGACTCTCGATACTTCTCTTATCTTTCTAATAATTTTCTACGATCTGTAGTCGATCCTTGCCACATATTAAACGATTATCCATGTATGTACTTCTTTCTTATCCGATCACGATCAGAAATTGGCTTGTCAAATTTACGGCGATTTCGATAAAACGCACGTTGGTATCTTATCTGAATAATTTGTTCAAGTCATCGTATTAAAAGAAACCGTCACAATTATTTATATCTTATTTGCGACTCTAATGGCTCCCGATAATTAACACGAGTGCCTTATCTACAATAGGTCGAGCCTACAATAGTTCGTTTAATTTCTAACTTCAAATCGATCCAACTAAACTCTAACGCGATACGGATAACTCGACTGTCCGTACTGAGAAATATTTAAAAGCGTAGAATAATCAGAGGAGGGCAGAGGACTCCTTCGTTATTTCGTGAGAATTTTCTCAGGAATTCATAAAAGGAATGACATTCTTACGGACACGTCAACACAGTTAACCGTTTCTAGATTTTATGTGCCGTTTGCGTTCGTCTGAGATTCATATTCTTTTCCCTGTTTCTTTTTCCAGATGTGGGATCGCGAAAGGAAAACCTGGATCGTCGTCCTCCTAGCCAACGTGCTGCTGAATATCGTCACCGCTTCCCCAATCTATGTCGCACAATTTATTCCAGGAAGTAAGTCACCTAGGTTGAACATCGTTCTTCACAAACTGAAAATATCGCGCGTGCGCCCGCGCTCGCCTTTCAACCGGTAACATGAAAACAAAGTGAAACTCGCGCCGAGTATTCGTTTCACTTCTGGAAGACAATTAACACGTATTCTAATGTGGGGATGATCGAACCAACGTCATAAAACTCGTTCGTTTGATAGAGAGCTGTGTAACTCGTTGCTGGCTCACAAAAGTATTTGAACACGCACCGCAGAAAATTTTTGTGTCACAGATTTTTCGTGCGTGTTGGGTACAACATCTTGACACGGCTACCGCGATTACATTGATTGAATTTGAAACTGATCTGAAGCTGGCAGACTGTTGTATCTGCCACGACCGTTGTCCATTAATTAATTAAGTCCAAGAATATAAAACTTTGTATCATCTAGCAAGTTACAGTAATTACATCATAGATAATAAAATAACCGCGATATACAAAGATTAGAAACATGACATACATTCGTTGCAAACAAAAATGTCGAAAATGGTCCCGATTTATATTGAATATTGCCGATACAATGGATAATTAGCTGTTTAAACACTTTTGTGTTTCTATGGCAGCGCGATCGGTCGAGGAAGAATAAGCTGAAAAAGAGGAACAACAATTCGTCCTCATCAAGAAAATGGAATGTTTAATGAAAAATTCACTTGCACCTTTGCTAGATACCTCTCTGTAGCTGCCGTGTACGAATTTTCAAATTCGTTTTAAATTTTCCGAATGCAAAATCGCGACGGTCGTGTCTCGTTGCAGCGCTAATGAAACTTCAAAGTCATTGTTACGTGAGTTACGAGCTGTTGCACACACGACTCAACCGCAAACTTTGCTTATTTTCCGCGATTCTTGGATTTTCCTCGAGTGACAGCTGAGTAACGGATCGCGGTACGCAAATACTCCGCTTGGGCAGGGCTAAACCCGCATACGCATACTCCCCGATGTGTTGGAGCGTATGCGCGTACACACGCACGGATTTGTCCGAGTCGCAAGACGACATTGAACGTACCTTGGATTCGAACGGAACGTGGGCGAACTGGTCAGTTTTCTATACAAGTAGGTCAGTCCCGGTCATCAGGGTGCACGCGACTTACACTGATTTTTCCCCGATCTTGTCATCTTCGTTCATCGGTATTCCGATCGCTTCATTCAAGCCATTCCTCGAGGCGTCGGGCCCGAAATCAACCATCCAGCTGAAAATCTTAATAGACAATGGCGCAGTTTGACCTACGAAATTATTGGTACAAGTGAAATGACAGTGGCCCGCGAAAGTGTACGAATTCGATTTGCAGATAGAAATCTTTCATCAATGTATTACACTGTATGTATCCGTGTCTACTAATAGCACTGTTTAACAAATATTTTCGTTAACTTTAGAGTCTGATTCGCAACAAAAGATCTGTGCAATCCCATCGTGAATTATATAAAAATATATAGAAATATAGAAAATATATTGCAATATTATTGACACGGATTATACCCAAATATGACGATTCACGAGAAGGAACAAGATATTTATTGCAAGCATATATTTGACACGCGTTACTAAAGCACAGTAATTATATTTAAATAGTGAGTTACTTACTACATTAATAACCTGCAACATTCAATGAAGACGATTGTCAATATCTATTACATGTTTCAAATAATTGTTCATAGTGTGCAATCATGTTTCACGACTGAACTAGCATAGACTTTTGTAGCATACGCAAAAAATATGTAGAATATATTATTACATTGGTTAAACTTTCTATTTAAACTCCATTCCTTCTAGAATCATGAAAATATAAAAATATCTTGATAATACTTTCGCAAGCCACTGTATTCGATGGAGCAGCTTGTTATTGTCAGTGAAATCCTTTCGAACGATGATACAAATTCGCGTGGGCTTGCGCTCGCAACACATACACGCTCGATAAGGCCACGACTGAAATTCCAACAAGTGCGTAATGAAATCGGTAACTTTCTTCCACGGTCGTGACTCAGACGACGCTTCCGGTAGCACACATTTTCTACGCGGAAGGACACCGAACACGTAGGACATCTTGGACAAGGGAACTGGCCGACTGACCCGAAAGCAGGGGTTTGTACATAATTTTACGGTCGATTTTCACTCGCTACGGCCATCAACCTCCGCTGCCAAGAAGAAAGTAAATATTCCGCGAGCAGCGTGTTACGACGATGAGGGCAACAGCATCGACCCCATCATCTCTGTACTCCAATTTCATACATCAGATCAATCGTCTGTGGTTTATTAGCAAATTAGCTTTCGGTAATTTTCTTCAACGCGAGAAGAGAAACTGTTACGAGACAGAGGATTTCCTTTGGAGAGGCAATAAATTTTTCTGTGCCATTTTCTCTATTAACCCTTTAGAGACGACAGTTTAGATTTTTTCCTAATTTCATTAAGTAGCTTTAACTGGTCAAGCGTTGATTTTGATATTTAGCACTCTATTGAAATAACTTCAGGTGAATCAGGGACGTTGTTCCTGAATTAATAGCCACTTCGAAGCATCCTTTCGCGATTGCAAGGCAAACGAAAGGCAAGGATCATCGCCGTTTCATTGCAGCTTTTTTCTTAATACGTCCGCCACAGATGTTCATCACGCGGGCGTGTCTGTTCCAGCTATGAGATAGCTGGGGGTCAGGTATGTCGATTTAATCACGCTGCGAGTCAAAGAACCTTGGAATGTTGGCGAGGGGTTTCGTTAGGTAGCCAGCGCGAGAGAAGACGAGAAGGAGAGGCCAAGACTGTGAGGTGTCTTAGAAGAAAACGGGCTGTTACATTAGGCTATGACTGTGACCGACTTTTGGGTCGGGCAACTAGCTCATACATTGAAACGTAACGGTACCAAGATGCTTTGCTTTGCCTGACATCAATTCGTTCTTCGATAACGCCCGCCACTGCTACGTACGCATCATCGTCGTATCCACGATCGAATTGGAAACTAACCAATAGTCGTCGGTCTGGCGATAAAAATCGGATACGTCATCGACTTGTACTATCGATACGTTAAAACTCGCTTAACCAGCTGAAAATAATAGCGGCGTTAGACATGATTTTGTTATTACATGTACCTCGATTCTTAGAAGTATCGTTCGAGTTTTGCGTCAATTTTTCTCACAAAATGTTGTATTATTTTACAGGACGTAAGTAAAAGTGGAGAGATAAGATTCTGTGGTATTTATATTTTTGGCACAATATGCCGCCAGAATCGTGGATAATATTCGTATCAAAATACTTCGTAGTCAGTATATTATTTAGTATGATTATTATACCATAATTATGTATTTTCTCGAAGCATAGTTTCAACGTGTGAAAATTCAAAATAAACCAAGAACTGTAACTCGTGTCGCTGTGTTTCTCAGTTAGCCGTTTGGAATTTAAGGTAGCCGAAGAAGCACTTTACGATGTTATCATTTACGACATCCTGGAATGCTTCGACAATGTATACGTTCTATCCCTTTAATAAGTGTTTGAATTCTATTAAAGCAATTACGCCCACGGTTCCGTAATAATCGCTCCGTAACGGATGTAATTAAAGACCAGGAACAGCGTACGCGCTCTTCCGTCGAGAGATTTACAGCTTCTTTCGACACGATTATTAATCGATTATGCCGCTCGGTATCGTTCATTATCTGTGACAGGATCGTGGTTGAACAGTAGGACGATTAAGGGGAATTATAAACGATGATGATACCTGCCTTCTCAAGTGTTACACTGTGAATGTAGAACGCGTAGCAGCTAATGCGTAGTTATTGGTATCGAGCGAAGATAGACGTTAGTTAACTCGATTATAGATCACAGAACGCGGATGTCGATCTCTTTTGTCTGCCTGCACCTTCCTCTCTCTTTCTCTCTCGTTTAATCATTTCTCTTGACTTTTTACAGAGAGAAGAAGAGAGAAAAAGGGACAATTGTTTTGAATTCAAAAACTGAGTCACAATGTTTCGTTTAATCTTACTCGCGGTTATTGAAAGAAAAATTACGTACAAAAATATATTGCGCTGAAATTATTTAACATACATGTAACCACCGACACGATTAAAATTTAAGTGAAACATTTTTTACTTTTATTTAAAATACTTCTGCTGAAAATGTGCGCAGGTACGGGAAGGAACATCAGGCACTTGCCGTGCGTATCGCGGAGAACTGGCGAGACTGGCGTTTGCATGTTCGCATTCACGTGCGCGAAGGCGAATGGCACGCACCTTGGTACTTGCATCGACCGTTTCTACTTTGGTAGCTGTTGCAAGATAGACGAGGAACCCGACATTTTCCCCCAGGACAACAGTATCGATGATGGATCGCCTGGAAGGCCGTTCGTCACGACTCACGGGCCAATTGAGAGCAACGACATACCCGAGTACTTCTCAAGGCCGAAACCGATCAATGAGAAAAAACCATCCGAAACGTACTCCACCGAGGTAAGCGCAGTTACGACTTGAGATATCCTTCAACAATGCCGAATTTAAGCATGTCGAAGTTTCTCAAGGACAAATCCTTTTTCTCGAGAAGTCGATGGTCGTTCGATGAGATAATTCTCCCTTACGAATACTTAGGAAACGACCAACGCGTACACCACGCAGAGTATTCGCACGCAAGCAACCACCGTAAAAGAAACGACAAAAGTGGCAACTAAAAAGCCAGTGCCAACGACCTCTCAAAGGCCAACGACATTAGAAACTGCGACAAGGCCACCAACCACCACGCAAACGTTCATCGAAACGACTAAATTCGTTAGCAAAAAACCAATTCATTCGTCCACGACGCACAAACCAGTTCACTCGACCGTTCAGAGGCCCACCAACGCAACCACATCTACGACAACTCAATCGACTACCGATCGAACAACCGAATCGACAACTTCGAAAACTATAATCACCACGACACAAAGGGTTACTCCGGTTACGAGATTCCCGCCAAGAAACGCGACAACTGCGAGACCTTTGACCCACGCTACCACCAGAAAACCTACAACTAGTACCAAGAAACCAACAATCAGTACTACAAGGAGACCAACGTCCACCACGAAGAAACCAACTACACCCTCGAAAAGACCTTCCTCCTCTTCTACAACAGTGAAGCCAACTACGAATATCAGTTTAACCACTTTGTCATTGTCAACGACGACAACGAAACCTCTTTTGACGTCCATCAAGCATCGACCAACCATCGCCACCACTACCGAGAACGTCCCGTTTTCCACAGAGACGAAACCTCTGACCACTACCACAGAAAGCGTAACTGTTCAAAAATTCACGACCAGTGTCGCTACGACCAGACCTACCCAAAAAGTGAAGCCGACGACGGTTCGTACGACAACGACCGCGAAGCCGTTAACAACTGCCCCGAGGCCAAAGCCGACGAAGATCTCGAGCGCGACAACGACCCCGAATCCGATATCCAAGCCAGAACACGCAACGACCACTGAGAAAACGGGACCTTTGTCGTCGATCAATGTTTCCACCGTTGCCGTTACGAAACCTAGACCAACGGTAGACTCGACGAAGCCTACGAAACCGTGGAGCAAGCCTACCAGCAGCAAGCCTACCTCGACGACACCCCCGACTGTGCTGGGTTCAACCGTAACGAATACCAGTTTCGCGTCTTCGTCCTCCATCGACACGACCACCATCAGCACGCCAGCGTACGTCCCAACAACGAAGGTGTCGGTTGTTAATCAAACCACGGAAGAAACCTTCCAGACAACCTATTCACCTGGACTCGTGACATGGACGTCGAGTTCGGACGACACGACCGCAAAGACTCCGGAGATGTCTTCGACGGTAACCACGCAACCAGGTGAGTTAACAGTTAACTCCTTGACTCTACAACTACCACGGTGATCAGTTGGCAATTTTTTACTATAGGTTCACGCTTCAATGATTTTTCGCGGATAAAATTCTGTATTCTTTGTTGTATCATAAACTTTTTTCTTTTTAACTCCTCCACTGCAACATTTTATAGCCTAATATCGGTTGAGAACCAAGAAATAATTCATCCAAGTTAGACTGCGAATTTCTATACATTCGAGAGAAATTTTAGATGAAGTATATTTATTATAATATTCGGTAGGAGAAACGTAAAGTCGAATCTCGTAACGGCCCATAATTTCAAAACCTTTCGTATAACGCATATGTTATAATATAATTATAAAATATATCTAAAATTATATATAAATTTCAGAATATATAAATTACAACGAAACGAAAAGAAATAAACAGAATTGTATTCTTATATAGAACATATTCGAAAGCTTACTGAATAAAATTGAATTATTTGTCGATAACGGTACCGAGCTACGCGTAATTCAACTCACAAGTCCAATTAAACAAAACTTGATATAATCGACCGCTGTAAATTTTATATAATTCGCGTATTTTATTAACCAACGCGTACAGGTGTGGTCAGTTCGAACATGCGTTTTTCATTTGCATGCTGAGCGAATGCCTCGGCTCGGTGAAATCGAAGAAAACGGATATCCATTGTGTAACGTGACGATTGTGTCCATCTGTCGTCGATAGGAAATCATCTCGGTAGCGATTCACGTCGAGACGCACGCCGTTTGCATTAACTAGCGTCGAGAAAATCGTGGGAACCTTGGGAATTTGATCAATCATTCGCAAATAATTTTTTTTTATCAGGTTTTTATCTATATCTTTGACGAATTCCACTTTAATCAGCTAATGATATCGTTCAAGCAATTTTCAAGATATTGTTCGAAAATTAGTAAGATATTTATTTAGACATATATCTCGTAATATTCTCAGAATAAATATGTAATTTAAATATGATTTACACATATAAATATTTGGACACTTAGTGCAATTTGATCAGATGATAGATTGTAATTGAAGCACGTGAATTTTTTTTACTAGCAAAAAACGAGTAAAGAAACGGCCTTTTAACAATAAACTATCAATTTCTATATTTATTTGATCAGCATTTCGTATTCTGTAAATTTAAAGTCCCTGTCAAAAATACAGTGATAACATTTAAACTGTTATTTACAGTAACAATATTTACACTATCGAGGTTCCGTTTTTCCACTCGTTCGTAAAAACATCAATTTGCATCAACGTCCACATACAAGTTTGATCATTCCGTGCAAAGTTCAAGATCGAAATTCAACGTGCTGCGTGCAGATACTTTTTTATAACTGCACGCATTTGTAGATGGTAGTGCACCTAGAAGAAGTGTTCGATTGTGAAAAATAAATTCTCCGTGAATCACTTGCAAATAGACGGCAGAAGAAGTTAAAAAATAATCGCAGTTACAATTTCCGCGTGTACAGTACATTTCGATATTTACCACGGTCACTGTAGCTATCAGAACGCGCCAATTAACCTTGCAATCGGTAATTGCATTCCGAGGTGCACGTGCAACTTGAAAGTATGAATTTCCCTGTATGACGTCTTAATCGTCGTGTCTTGGAACAGGTACTTTATTAGAGAAGCAAAGGTCGTACTCTCCCCGCGCATCGATAGGAGATGAAATTCTGTTGCGTCCGAACGTTGTAACGGTTTAAACCGTCCACCGTAATCTTTCCTCACGAATGCTCCGCCAACAGCATCCACCATCTTCCATTCCACCTCCAGTCTCTCTCTTTCTCGTCTTTATAATTCAAACGAGTCGAATTATTTTCCAATAACTGCACACCTGTTCTAATTTCTGATCATCTCAACTACATAGACCAGAAAATTCTACGGATGTTGTACGATGACGTGTCCTCCGTACCGAACGGTAATTTTCTATCATTTCGTAGATCAAACGGAAAGCGAATGGACTCCAATAATAACCACTCCGGATGGTTGGATTATGATTCAATCGCCTACCACCAAAAAACCGCAAACAACAGAGGACACGACTGATAAACTAATTCCAGACTCTACGTCACAATCTACGACTTCTGGTAGAGTATACAATAATTTTGTTCGCTTTATAAATGATAATTGTTTTGTAGAAATCACGGCGATACGATTCATGTAAGAAAATGATTTATAGTGGTATCGCGAAAATGTTGGATTATTTTTATAGAGCTACGGTGACTGATCACTGTATACGTGAAATTTCAAAAAGTTTTGCATAACACGCAAGAGTTTTTTTTTTTTTTTATAGCAAGTGACTACGTTCGTGAGTCGATAAAAAACATTTGTCACGAGATCCATAGCTTCGTGATTTAATTAGATTCTTTTCTTCTTGTAATTAAATTGCATTGAACAAAGAGTGAAAATACTAGTCCTATCCTTTCGCTTTTCTGGAGAAAGACAAGGGCTGCTTTCATTTCTACGCGCTATATTTCATCTGCTTTTTATCACTGTGATTTTACATTCGTCGAAATTCACGTTTGTTCAGCTAAACCAACGACAGAAACTAGTACAGAGCATGTGACGAAGAGACCCACTATCTTGACAACTCTGTCCTCGATCGCCAGCGTGACAATAGACACCGAGCTTCCGGTACCAATGGAAACGCTCAACATGTCGGATTACAAACAAGGTGAGCCAATTCCTTGAAACCATTTGATCACTTTTACGCGGAAGTAACTTGTCGAACCTGATAAATTTTTAATGAAACCAATTTTGATCTTCTCACTCGTGTCAAAAATTTAGAGCGGAGAGGATTTATTTAAATCTCGTTTGCTTGATGTGTAATGTGATAATGAAGTTGGATCCATGATGGATAATATAGAGAACTGAAATTCGCGCGATTGTGAAAAACAAATAGGAAAAAAAAAAAAAATGAAGGAACGTGGTTACATAAAACGAAGCGAATTATGTGTAGTAACATCGACTAGTCGTTTCCATTCATGATCGTGAATAGCTGGTCTGGAAATGATGATCTTTTTCACTTGTCGAACCCGAAGTCGAGAATCGTACGCATAATCAGAGTCACAAGAAGAGAGAGAGAAAGAGAAAAGAAACGTGCTCGAAAGGAGCAATCGCGATGATACCGGTTCATCCAGTCTGACCAATATAGAATACCCGTTCTCCAACATGGCTGCGTTATTAAGATTCGCGAATTCGTCTTCAAGGGCTTCAATTCCACAATGCTTGTGTTTGCAGTGTGCGGAAGAAGACTGTTCCCAGAGTCGCGAATCGTCGGTGGCAATCGCAGTTCGTTCGGGAAATGGCCTTGGCAAGTGAGTACACATAGTTGGAGAAACCTCTCTGAGGATCTTCGTCCACGAGAATCAATCGTGCATTATTGACATAGAAATCCTCTAGTCATTTATTAGTCACTGCTTATTCATTGCTGCGTTGTTTTCGCCTTCATCGAAACGTGAAGACGCGTCTGTATACACGCAGTTTCATCGTTGCACGTTATTACCCGTGCTCGAGTAATTGATACACAGAGTCTCGCGCACCTAATCGGAGCCTCGTTCAAGCAAGATCAATGTTTTCTTTTCAGATCTCGTTACGACAATGGAGAACGTCGACGTATCTGCACAAGTGCGGAGCAGCTTTGCTCAACGAGAATTGGGCAATAACGGCAGCGCATTGCGTCGAAAAGTTCGTATTACGTTTGTTATTGCGATCGCCTTCGATCGACGTTGTTTCGTTATCGCCATTATTAATTAATTCCGACAAAAAAACGGAGTAATCGAGAGTTTGATAATATCGCTCCAATATCACGTTTTATCCGCAGCGTACCACCTAGCGACTTGCTGCTGAGGATCGGCGAGCATGACCTCGCGAACGAGGACGAGCCATACGGCTATCAAGAGCGAAGAGTTCAAATCGTTGCCAGCCATCCCCAATTCGATCCTCGGACCTTCGAATACGATCTCGCGTTGTTGAGGTTCTACGAGCCTCTATCACCGTTTCAACCGAACGTACTGCCTATTTGCTTGCCGGACGACGACGAAACTTACGTCGGCCGTACTGCTTATGTCACCGGTTGGGGTCGACTTTACGACGGTATTGAAACGTTCATTTCATCTCGCGATCGTGTATTTCGAGCGACATGTTAATTTTATACTTCATTCACAGAGGGTCCGTTGCCATCCACACTTCAGGAAGTGGCCGTGCCCGTGATAAATAACACAATGTGCGAGATCATGTACAGGAATGCCGGATACATCGAACACATTCCACACATTTTCATTTGCGCCGGATGGCGAAATGGAGGGTTCGATTCCTGCGAGGTATGAGAATTTCGTTTGTGTTATAGGTAATCGAGTAATCGAATATAATTGGACATTTATTATGTATGTATTACGAAACATTTTGAAGTTTCATTAACGTTCTATAGAGACACGACACTATTGTTACTGTATTATATTAACAAAATTTTAAATCACCCGGAAAATTCTAATAAACAAGTATATCGTATTTATTACACTATGTCTGCATGTTTTTTAAATTAATTAAAATCTGACAAGAATATATTACGTTAAATATAGAAGGATTTATTGTAAACGTTTGTTGCAACAGGTGGTAAAAAATTAACACGAAGTCTGAAACATATTATATAATCGTCAGAAATGGTCTCAAATAATTGATTGTCAAATTTTGTAACTTTAAATTCATTTAAACATTTTTCATAACTGTCGAGTTTTTTCACAATGACTTACAAGACTTACAATTCGATTTATGCGCCAAATTTTATGGTCACGTGTCAAGAATTAAAACCGGAGTTTATGTCGTTGCAGGGTGACAGCGGCGGACCTATGGTGATCCAAAGGGCACGCGACAAACGATGGATCCTGGCCGGGGTGATCAGCTGGGGGATAGGTTGCGCGGTCCCCAATCAACCCGGAGTTTACACACGTATCTCCGAGTTCCGCGAATGGATAAACCAAATTCTCCAATTCTAAATTCCCGAGCAGCGGGGGGACCGCCCATCGTTTCAAAAGTGACGGTTGCTGGAAAAAACTAGCACGAACGTCTGTACATAATATAGCATAATACGACAGTTTTTTCTCGTGGAAAACTTTGCATGTGTGGCGAACATTGAGAAAGAAAAGAGAGAGAGAGAGAGAGAGAGAGAGAGAAAGAGAGAGAGAGAGAGAAAGAGAGAGAGAGAGAGAGAGAAAGTACGACTACATATGTAACGTGCAATAGTCGTCGCGAAATGTTATCAAACACCGTCCCATCTATAGTACGATTGACGTTTTGCGTTACGTGATTTATACGACCCATTGCGTGACGCTGTTACTATCCACGTGTAGGTGGAATTTTTGATCAATCGTATCGTTTCACTCCGCGTGTGTGTTTTACGTAGTTTCGAACGCGAAGCTATGAAGCGATCGTCCGTAGATAAGTAATGCCACCTTTCGCTCGTGTCACGATTTCAGTCCTCGAACGAGCGTATAGTCGACAGAATAGTGTTCTACGATGCCAACGGTGTTCTCCCTCACGGATACGTTCATTGACAATCGTATCGCGTCAGCGATAAAGTGAATTTAACATCTGGATTTACGTCGATATTATCAACCAGCTTCCCGATGGACTCGACCCGCGTTCAATAGCGAATATTACCCGAGCGAATCGTTCGAACTGGCCGATGATAACGCGTGCCCGTAACGCGATTTTTCTGCAAAAGTTGGCAAGCCAGCGATTAAATGTCACGATATCACAGTAAATTGTAATGCTTGTAAAATAATGCAACGTCGACAAGACGGAAGAAGCGCGAACTGCGAAGAACGTTGACGAGGGAAGTCTTCCACTGCTGCGTTTGTTAGAAACGCCTGATAAACGTGCAACGTGACCAACGATATTAAAACTTCCGATATTATACTGTTAAGCAGTAGTCGAGTGCTTAACATAATAGACAACAGTTAGAATAAATGTACTGTACAAACATTTGGATCGTTAAAGAGTCGACTCTTCTAGCAATAGTGGAGTAAATAAAATTATCGAATCGCACAGAGACTGCTAAAGATATCACACGATTTTAGATTTATTCGATATCAGACGAGCAAAACTCGATGCTGCTTGCGTCAATCTTTCGCAACAATTTGTCAAAATGCTGAATAACTGTCGAAATTGTTTTACTATTCGATCGATTGATTTAATCGACAGTGTATATTGTGTTCACTATCACCACGCTCACGCGTATTACAATAGCGATGTAGATCGTACAAAGAAACTAAAAAGAAATCGATAACAAAAGAAAGAAAAGATATGAACACATTTCTCGTCGCAAGATCGGAGAAGAAATTATTTAATTTAATTTATATGAAAATTCTTATATATATATAAAAATTTATATATATATATATATATATATATATATATATACATATACGCGTGTGTACAAATATAATACACAGGCGCGTATAGTCAGCCGATATATGCGAACAAATAATTTATTAATATATTTTATAGTTGGGGCTGTGAAAATACAAAACCCCGAGCTTGTAAATAATTGATCGATTGGTGGTGCGTGTTTTACTCTATTACACTCGGTTATTCTCTTTTTGCTGTTTTACTACCCCTTTCACGTTTCTCCCTCGGTGTCTTTATATTTACCAGTCGAGTATTAAAACGGACACACACAAAAAAAAAAGAAAAAAAGAAAAAAGAGATCGATGCTCCATCGAGAAAAGGTTCAGTGAATTACCCGCTTGTCGAATGCAATTCCTCGATCCATTCTGTTTGTCCTCTCGACCAATCAACGTGGGTGTTGATATTTGCGAATCAGTCTCAAGTAAGAGTTCAGATCTCACCTACACGCAACGCCCACATACATCGTCTGTTACTCTATATCGAGCGCGCGTGAAATTCCAGGATAATAGAATCGTTTGTTTACCGACGCGCCACGATGACAGAACAATTATTAACCCATTAAGAATCAAGCTTAGGATCTAGTTTATCGCGAGATTATAAATATCCGTGCAAACTCTTCACGAACATAATTAAGAGATTCGTTTTATCACCTATACTTTGAATATTTTATATTGATTTGCGCGTTCCATATGTTTCTGTTCATTCAAATTTCTCATATATAAATGCATAAAAATCCTTAGTATAGTATAGTCTCTTTTTTTTTTTTTAATTCTATCAAATTACGGAATTTAAATGGCACGAGAAAGGAAAGAATTAAGCGAGTTTGCCTGTGTGAATTAAACGTTTAAAAAACAATTTGATAATGGAGAATAAAATGTTACTTTCACGCAACGTTGACTCTTTTTGGGTTAAACAAGTGGCGCAAAACATTTAGGGGATGTAAACCCCTATTTAAAATGGCTCGCGAAAGTATATTTGAACATTTTGTTACGAATATGTTCTTGAAATTTCACGAAAGTTTGAAACAATCGGGTGCTAGTGAAATTTTTATAACATTGTGTATAATACACATAAATTATTTCTGTAAGTATTTGAATATCTTGAGCCAAATTTCTCTGATCACTTTTCACAGAAATAGACCTGATTCCTAAAATGAATATCTATGGCATTTTTTTCCTAACACTTTTCTAAGATCTGCAGTGTATTCTTTCCTCATGAAAGAAATCAACTGAATAATGTTCCTTGTTCGTGATTAAGATACTGGCTCGATTCTTCCTTTTTCATAAAAATATTCAACGAAGCGGAACGATTTTCTAAAACTTTCTACTGTGCGTGGATACCGAGTCTTAAAAACACCCATGAAATTTGAAAACTCCTTTCATCGCTGTGTTATTAGTAAATTAATTCCCTCCACCCTTCCCTCCACCAATCCGTATCATTACTGCAAAACAACCATATGAACGTGATCTACTTTTAATTGGAATCGAAGCAACCGCAAGATTGCTATTCGAGTAGTGATTTCTATCTGACTGAAAGTTAAGCCCCAACTTGAGACTTAATCTTAAATGGAATCTTAATTTCAAAGGATGAGGGAGCAAGATTTTCCATTGAAAATTCTATGAGAAACGTCTCGTTACAGTTAACTTAATAACGACGTCGAACCAACAATTGATCTAAAACGTTTTTCTGATTATCTATAATCCATGGGATATGAACTGGTTTGCCAATTGCTCGCTTTACCGTACTTAATACTCATTTAATTAGTAAGATAAATATTAACGCACATTGTAAAAAACTCATCATCTCAATGCCCGATGCCTGTTTTGTTGGCTAATTCCTGAATCGCGAGAAATCGATCGTAAATCAGGTGATCCTGGAACAGGTTGGAGCCTCTAATCCGTGGAATTCGTAAACGTATTCGACGTACATATTTCCAGGCGATTTCCTATCAGCATGCATGGTTGGCTAACGAGGTACAAATTATGTGTTACACCTCGTCCTGTGATATCGACGTGATCCCGTATAAATTATTTCATCAACCTTCGACATTTTTTCTTTTTTCTTTATTTTAGAACTCGATTTAAGAGACTCGATACGACATCGAAATGCAAACACTCCAACCTTTTACGCAACAAGCACAAAGCTTACACATATAGTTTCGAACACTGTGAATGAATTGGCTTATCTTCTGCGATTGTCAGGTCAATACTTACAATCAGGTCGATAACTCTATTTTTATGGTTATCGATATGGTTGCGACAGTTCAGTCCCACGTGCAGTCCTTATAAATAACGAGAAAGAGGGAAAAAAAAGAGACAGGGTCAGAAAATGATGTACGCTCGTTTTCTCGTCGAGATAGACCGTTTGGCTTAGAAAGAACCGCGGCTTTTAGACTTGGTCGAATGGGACAAACGGATTGTCACGCCCAATTATGCCACGACGTCGTCCTCTAGAATGTAACTCTCTCTTCTTTCACGCCATTTCGCCAGCACGTCAATTTCGTCTCTGCGATTTTTCTGCACGGCGAGCCGCGTCGTGTTTTCTTCCTGTCGTATCGTAATTTAAATTCCATGCGCTGTGATAGCCTGATAAACGACGAGATTCTGCGGATTCTTTCGTTAGCTGAACAGCTAATGACACTCGGTACTCAAAGCTGCCTGCTTTAGCTAGCGACGAGTGCTCTCTGAATGTTTGAATCCGCGTATCAGCGGCTTCGGAGCACTCGTTGTAAAGCAGCAGACGAAAATAGCCGTCGAATTCTATTTCCGCCAGCTGCTCCTTTCGTGGCAGTTGCACGACGAAAATTTCAATTTCGTCGAAACTCCGTTGCTGCGAGAGAAACGAGAATTGGGCTCGTATCCATTGTTCTTTTTTCTCTCTTTCTTTTTTTTTGTGGTATTAATACTTTCAGTCACGAAATAGTCGAGCCATTATCGTTAATCCACATACAACGGGCGTATCCGTTGCTCGGCGCTAAGTAATTTATTTTAATTTCATGGAAAAGTGAGTAATTTAAATGTCTGGCCCCTCCTTGTAACGTGCAACCTCTAATTGGAGCAGTAACAGAAGAATGTAACTGTTACGAACCACATGAAACAACACCGCCGGTGTCTCGGGGAACAACAATCGTTTGTAATTCCCCGCCGCGGTTGTATGTATCCTGCCAAGCCCCCTGAGAGCCCGATCGTAAAAATTATGTGTTTAAGGCCGATTTCATACGTGCCGCGGTACGCGAACGAAAACGCGATCGCGAAATGGGGATTTCTACGGTGTGGCCGATACAAAGCAATTGAAAATGTCACAGACGTGACGGTTCATGGATGGATGTTACTGGACCGGGTTAAGTGGCTTTGGAGAAAGCCAGCTACCTCCGCCTTTTCCTTATGAAGTCACGAAACCGTGCGGGTAACAGGTAAGAAGTCATCGACGTGGCCTTCACCCACCGATTCTACCCACAAACCGTGAAAATTTTCTAGCCTAGCCGATATCTTTGCCCTCGAAATGTCTGAACGTTACACCATAATGGAGGAGATTTACGATAAGTAGCCATTCACGATGTTAGTATCGTTTCGTTTAAATAATAACCAAGAATCAACGATAGTTATCTTTCGATCAGGTAGATTGTAGATGCTCTCTCGATGATGGAACATTTTGGAATTTCACTGACATTTTTACGAACGTGTCGGTAAATTTTGAAATAAATCGGAAAATGTATTAATAGTAATATTATATATATTTGATAGACTCCGTAATAATTTATTTAATTTTTCACGTCTCGATACTTGTATCGCGTGATATTGCGAATAGAGTGTAGAAAAGTGGTACGCTGCAAGGATCTTATCCAGGCTAGAACGAGCAAGAGGAGAGACGACGCCGAGGACGAAGTGCGTCGGCGCCTAGCATGCTGCTGCGCCCTGATCGATCAACAGATTTTATTCGAATCGCCATCGGACTCGGGCAGGGTCACGGTCTGACCTTAGTAGTCTAGAATGACGTCACGTGGACTTTATCGGCGCCATAGTACTCGACCATTCTGGTTACGCTACACTGCGATTTTATTTACGTAATTTTCAGTCAAGGACTCTTTATGGTTATCAGACTCAGCCAGTAGGGCACAAATCCTTTGCGAATGTAGAAATGTGTGTTGTACGAAACGTTTTCGAATTTGAAACATATCTGAAGATATTACGAAGATTTGAATCAATCGTTAATTACATCAGCTAGCAAGAGCACTACTCACACTGAATTCTAATTCTTTAATAGACATTTTCAGATTTTGAAATGCCGTGTCTCATTGTAATACCAATGAAATTCTATAAAGTGCCGCGTAACATCATTTCCTGATGAACAGGATTAGAAAAGTATTTGCAACGAAAACAATTCCCTTTCGTAATTAAAATTTTCCAAGACTCGATAGCGTGAATCGACTGAGCAGAAGTCACACGAAATGAAAACTTTACTTGTTCTCGGGTTAACGAAATATGCGATGGGAAACAAAAAGTGAAATGTGCGACAGATTTTTTTTTTTTTTTTGTGGAAAAATTAAGAATAGAAAGAGAGGGGACACGAAGGAGAAAGGTTGCGTACTTGTGTAAGCGGATTGTGAATTCGTACGAGCAACGGTAAAGAAAAATGATGCGCGGAACGTGAAAAGACACGGCTAAATTCTGACCTAGTTTTGTCAAGCGTGTCCTGGGTCATGACCATCGATTGTTTCTCCTCGTTCCTTCTCGCGGGTGCCTTCCCATGGTTATGGGGTCACGACCCAAATGCTTTGGGGATTTTTTTCGTGAAATTAGGTGGACAAACAAACGACCAATGGAATTTCAGCGGAGTGTAGCAGGCCACTTAACAAAATACGATTCAAGATTTGTGTTCCCTTCGTCCCACATGACATTCCACTCGGAAACGCGAGCGAAGAATTGGCCTTTGATTTGATTCATGCGATCTTCTTCGATGCTTGTTTCCACGTAACAAGTCGTCGATTCCTTTCACTGATTTTCCAGGGTAATAAAAGCTTTCTGTTCGACGAATAGCTGCAAGCTATTGTAATTGGAACGAGAAAAAAAAAGTTGTTAATGATATACGGAGACATCCTTCGTACGTTCACGAAGGTGTAAAAATTCATTCCCGAAGACGGGCAAGGTCTAACCTACTTGACGAAAGTCACGATTCACGGACCAACATTCGTACTACGTCTACGTGATCCTGTAGCACGTGTCACGTTCTAAAGGGAAACGAGAAAAATCCTCTACTGCTCGCGTAGGTTGCCGGTAAGATTAATTTCCCATGACGAGGATTCATCGTTTCTTTTCAGTAATCAATTCAACCACTGCGGAATTAACTGTACGGATACAAACAGGTATAAAACACACACGCACGCGATGTATCTCGGTGTATCTCTCAATGATGCTCGGCAAGAGCGAGCAGAAAAATAGAAGCCCAGAGGTTCGTTCATAAATTTCTACCTTACAACGCATCCACGCTCGTTTCGAGCAGCGATTTCATCCGGCAGGTATTCGCCAGTCAATTATGTTCTCGGTCGGAGTATTTCTAAATAAATGGGATGCCACGTCGCCATCAAAGGAAACATTGTGCGCGCTGAAAGGTACAGGTCCTGGCCTACTTAGGGCGAATCACGTTCACGATCAAGGATTGAACTTTATCCGCTCTCTGAAGTGGTGTACACACACGTTCACATCGGTAGCCGCGTCTGAAATGCATAATTATTCCGAAAGATCTCTCTCGCTACTGTGCATATATACACACATCGTTCAGTGTATTCTAACACCGGCGGGACAGAGATATTAGACGAGATCTTATCCGGAATTCTTCGCCACGAGATAAACCGTAGGTACCGTAAAAGGTGGCCAAGTTTGACACACTTTGCGACTTTGACCTCGTGAGATTTCGAGTCTTCGATTTATCGCGACGTTTCGAACGGAACGTCTCGCCTCGAGAGAAACCACCTTGGCTCTCTTCGATTACTTCTCGAACATCCCGCAATAATTGAATAGATCTGAATTGTAAATAACGCGGACGTGTCTCACGCGGAAAGTCGATAATAAGAACATTTTCATAATTACGCGCAGAATATTGCTCTCGTAATTTCTTGTAGTTACGAGCTAGATCTGGTTTCAACGGATCAACGTCGTTTGCCTGTCGAGTTGAAAATGATAATTATCACGTTCTCCCCGAGCGACATTTCTTGCTGCGAAAATCGAGGCAAGCCGATAAAAAGACAAACAGATTCTTTTTACACTTGCGCTATTTGTCGCTCCGTATCCGATTTGTTTAGGTTATAATTAGAAACTTTTAAAACGGCGGTTGATACGACTCGTCATACGCGGTTGACACAGATTGATGATCTGACTTCGAAATGAAGTGAAATTCGATCAATTGGAATTCCCGATCGAGCTGTTGCTCCATTTTGGACGTCGGTTTTCCCTTTGTTCCAGTTTCACGGATGAATTTGTCGAAGCGTCGTGCATAATCGTTGATATCTTGAATTCACTCGAACATTTAACATTGAACACGTCAGGCAAAGCGACGTGAATTATTTCTGTAATAAATTACATTATGGTTCGCTAATATTCGTAGAGATTATTCTGGATTAGCAGAGATTTCGAATCAACTTCACCGACGAAATTAATCAATCTCGGATGAAAGTTGCCGTACAAAGGTATTTCTCAACGCAACGTAACAGTTTGATGAATTACATTAAAGTAGGAAACGAGTATGCCGTCCGTTTTCTTTCGTCAAACGACTCGCGAGAGAAATTTTCTGTTTGCCACAAATACTTAAACAAAGGAAACCAGTTACTTAAACACTCTCCTACATCAACTCGGTTATATTTAGCAGTCCTGTCCCATAATTTCTACCCATCTGTAATCTGGGTTGTCGGATGGAATTTACCTACGGGATCAATCACCTCTTCATGGCGTCAATATCTTCTGTCTGAATAAAGTCTCGACCCTCCTCACTCTCGTCGAAACTTTGCATTTATAAATAATCTCTATTTTTACCAAACAGGAAGAAACAACGATGAATCGTCCTCCAAAACTCCCTAGCCTTTTAATCAAGGGACGATATTCTCACCTCTGTTCAAAGGAATTCGTACATTTGTAATCTCGGCCTTTGATCTTGCCTCAAGCAACGGATACCTATATATCTTATAAATAAATAAAAAGCAATGATCAATGTCACAGTGTTTCTAGCATGATTTTACGAAACGTCAACTATTTCTGAATACCTCGTTTCAATTTCGTAGGGTATTCGGTCGCAGCAAAGGAATTCTCAGCGTTAACGTTCAACTACTTTTGTACGTCCAAATATTTAGAGGACAATGCAGCTGCGTATCTAGCGTTTCAGATCGATCTAGTCTCCGCACGAACCGGCCGATAAGTGAGTGGAAGTTGAATGCATCGCGATACGTTTCCTGAATGGACAGATAGAAGCAAGAGCCAACGACGATGCCGATGAGTAGGACAGTGTGTCGCTGTCGTGCGCGTTGGGCCTCGTTCTTCTCCACGTGACCTGGTCACTGACCCACTTTGATTTCTCCTGGTTCGCTCTCTTTCTCCAGCTGGTGCCGCCCGTGTCTCTTTTCCTTCCTCCTCGACGATGGCTCGCGCGTCGTTTGCGCCATCGAAGACAGCCGGGGTTCCCCACTTCTCCGATCGCTGATCGTTCTTCCTGGCGAACGTTACCTCCACCATAAACGACCTCCACCACTGTTCGTTCGTCGACCACCACCACCGATTCCTGTTCGAAGGCGCCGCTTATGACTTAGCCATGCGATTCCAGCACATGCGGTGGCACGAGGTGCAACACACAACCAGACAGGTACCATCCAGTTGACTAACCGGATGGACGAACGGTGCGCGGAAGAGATTGGCATTAGAATCGCGTGAAAAGTTCAATCGAACAGGTTCGCCGGTTGTGGCTCTGCCACAGTGTCATAGACTGTCTGTCGACCGTCGACCCCGTTCCAACGAACACTCGCTGTTCCAAACAACACTCGAGATTAGAATAACATCCGCGGATGCCACCCGTGCGAGATCTCATCATCCATATTGCGACCAGTGTACAGACGTTTCTGTATCAGCCCGTCGAACTCGTTTTCCTTGCGTTAACGTTAGATCAGTGCATGTTGTCTTCCTTTGTTGCTGGCTCGTGTGGAAATTTCAATTCGATCAACGAGTTGAAACGTTGCCAGTCGACTGGTGTATGATTGCCGAAGCGAGGAACGCGGACGAGGGAAAGGGAAGTGGAGGAAGTTCAGTGACGAAGTGCGACGCGTAAACGGAACCGGGGTGACAACGTGTGAACTTGACGAAAGACGTTCACACGACGTGAGAAAGGTCGCGTTCTCTTCCGGGCAACGATCAACCGGACGTCTCTCGAGGATTTAAGTTATGAGACGGGTTTGACGAATCGACGAACGTATCACGGTTAATACGTCGCATGGTGAGTATCTCTTCGAAACCAGCATCACGTAAACAATCATACAACAATGATCATTGCAAATTCCAAGAAATTTGAAAGTAGTATTCGCATACGACATCGTCTTCAATTTTCTTCCGAGATATCTCGTATTTCACTGTTCCGAAGTATTCGTGTCCACTGTAATATGTATATATAAAATGATTGGATAAATTATAGTCGGACACACAAACTGACGAAATACTGTCAGCTGATTTTATTTAAACGCGTGCGAGCTCCACGTTATAGACGATAGAGAGCTGTCTCGATCTTGCGATTCTCACGTGGACAGGGTACAGTGACGCTTGGTTTCGTCGTGGTTTCCGTTACACGTCGATAGACGTGGAGACAATGCGATAAATATTAATGTAGAAAGCTCGATAGCGGCGAGGACGAAAAAGATATCGGTCAGTTGGAATCGTCAGTTTGGATCGTTTTATCGGAACCAGGACGTGGTCAGGAATCAGTACGATCGTACGGAAAGGTAACCTGACCGTGGAGGCAGGAGAAAGCTGGGCTTCCGACTTTGGCCCGTAATAAACGAGGCGATATACATAGAAGATCATTTGGCATGCTCCGCTGCCTCACCGCATCCTTCTTCCCTTTTTTCTCCTCTTTTCTTTCTTCGTTCGAACGCTCCATTCCCTGTGATTTCATCCACGCGTCGTTACCTACGCGTTACACCTTCTCAAAGTCCCATTTCTCGAGATTAAACGAAACAGCCACGAGTCACACGTAATTACATTGTACACTGCTTTTTATAATTACCCTTTCACGCAGGCATCGAACGCAAATTCTCCTGCGATTATTTTTACCCTGTTAACCGGGTCTCGGCGCTGCGTGTACAATCGTGTAATTAAAATTTAATAAGAACGAATTGATTTTAATTAGATTGGAGTTTCAGTTCTTACAGATGTCTGTAAGAATATATTTTTCATTTGAGTCACGAGTCAACTCGTTTTTGCGATCGTAATCGATCAACGATTTCGTCTATTAACTACTAGACCGATTAATCCGATAAAACTTTCGACTCGAATTGATCGTGCGAGTAATGAGATTAACCTCGTTTCCGTCGAGAGTTCGAGCCATCACGCAGAAAGTTTGGCGATGATCCCCGTTAATGGATATCGGCTACAGATGAACGATGTTCGGTCGTTAACGTGGTAACGAGATGATGCTAGATACGTTCATTCACCTCTTTCTTAATTCACCGAAGCAAACAATTCCGATCGTTTCATCGTGAAAGTTTCCTGTCGATCAATTTCGAAACATCGCCGGTGGACACGGTCTCACAGCGCGTGGAGAGACAGAATAACCGAGAGAGAATAAGATTCCTCGCATTGACCTCGAACGGCGTCTGACACATCGGCCGCGAGTGGTATAGGCGCGCAGGTTCGTGTGTACACCTAACTTGCGAGTTAGGTATGCCAGGTAGTGGTAAGTTGGTAACGGTTGTCAGCGGACAGCCGGCTCGTGTCACTCTTTCCAATCTTACTGGTTGATTTGCGCGTTTAGCTTATTCGCGAGCTCACTCTTCCTGTCGCTCCATTTTTCAACGAGCCGACAAGTCCAGGAGATGGCTGACGCGCCGGGCGGAACAATAATAATATTTCCCATTGATAACGCAGGCAGCCTGTTGAATAATAACACGCCTTCAACGTGCGACGTTGCACGTCGTGCGTTGATCTAAAAATCTAAATTGCAAGAACAATGCAAAATAGTGGAGCAAAAGCGCGGACTCGTGACAAGTTGCGTGTTACTTATTATTGTAATTTTTATGCAGTTGTTATTATTTCCTCCGTAATTATTCTCCGCCGCATCAAGGAAGCACCACTTTATAAATGATGATCGGCCTCTGTCAGCGTGACTAGCGTAGATTAGCCGGGTTAAACTTTTGCCGCCCTACATAACCCCGGTACCTCGTTTCGAGCCTCTTAAAATGCAGACGACGCACTGTCCCTTTCAAGTTATTCCAAGTATCACCTTTATTTCGGCACGTGCACAGCTCTGGTAGAAAGTGGTTATCGAATATATTTTCTTCCGCTCCAGTTTAACTACGGCCCCGTAGTTCGCCTCTTTCTCGTTCGTTTGCTCGTCAAATAGATTATCTCGGTTGCACGCCGACATTTTTCGATATGCAACACAAGCAAACTATCACTTTCTATAATTCGTACGAAGAGAGATAATACCATCAACGAGATCGTTCGTATTGTCCGACTTGAATCGAGGCGATTTGTTTTGCACGAATGATCAAGTACGAAGTATTTGAGGCGTTCGAGTGAAAGCAGAGTGTATTTCCAACATCGTTCGAGATTTCCTCTCTTGCTGTTGTCTATTTGTTCCGATAATTCTCCATATTACTTCGTCCGACAAATTCAGCCACCGTGGATCAAACGAAGTTGCTGGGTTCAAATTGGAGAAGGCAAGAACGATGAAAGTGTGGAGGAAATTCTTGAAATTCCGTTTCATAATCGCAGCGTGAATCTGACGATGTGAAAAGAGACCCTTCGATCTCAAATTCTTTAAACTTCGTAAAATTGTAAAATCCACGTGGAGAAACGACGACTAAGCGAAATTCCTTTCGCATCCACAAAGTTAAAAAGGAGAATCAAAAATGGTAAATTGATCGAAAAAAAAAAAATCCTTAATGGATCAATGAGTTGAGTTTGTCTGTTGGTTTCTACCATAGTCGAGACAATTTCTTGATCACACCACCTGCGTTTGATCGTTAAATGCAGTTCCATAAACGATAGAGTAACTACGTAGTTATTTTATAACACAAACAATGTCAACGTGATGTACCAGAAAAGGGTAAATGATCGCGACTAGATCTATGCGATCTGTATTTCAAGCGAAGAAAGAGTGGAAGAGGACAACGACGAGGACGATGACGATGACGATGACGATGACGAGGAAGCGTCTCTCGGTTAGTACGAGGGCAAGCCAATCGGGTCACCCAGATCCAATAATGAAGAAGAGTCGAACTGAGCTTTCTCCCCGGGTTTGCGTGTACAGGTGTGCGCAGAATCCTCTGCATACTTGTGTTTACGTACATACTTGCACAAGCCTCTACTCACGTACTGACCAACGGCCAATAAACGCCGAAGAATTTTCGAAGCACTCGAGTTTACTCTTTGACTCTTATCCCGCACAAGCTACGACCGTACAAGCTCACGATCATGACCGTATGTCCAGATACTCATGTGCATACGCCACACAGGGTCTCCTCTCGTACGTGTCCAAGCAACATGGTCGACGTTTTTTCAACGAGTCTACGTAAAATATATTATCCTCGACACTGTACGCTGAAATTTGTACGGAATTTTCCTTCGTCTTGGAACAAAATTTGTCCAAAGATGAGCTGCAAGTCGTTTCCTTGGACTTTTTCTTTAGAGGAATTTTGCATAAATTGAAATTCATTTAGTTACACCTTTCGTGCGTGAAACGTCGCATTTTAGAAGTAAGGAACCTCTTGGCAACCTTCTTTCTACGGACTGTGAAACTGTTTCGAGGCGGTAGCAAGTGGCTGTCTCCTTACGTCCATTCACCACACATTTAGCTGTAATTTTGCTCGAAAAGATAACTGTTAACTATTCCGCAAGAATGAAAAGATCGCTGACGATAATTGTCCTCATCTTCTGCCAGTACGTTTTTATCGCGATCGACAACTACGTACTTGAAACCGAAGCCCGAGAAACGGAACGGTTCGAAGGAAAGTGACTTCCGCGTATTTACGCGAGTGCAGCACGCTTGCGTACCACGTGAATAAACGACCAACGAAAGGGAACCATTGTCGCAACGAAGACACAGCGACGTCCATCCATTCCTCGCGTATTCGCGATGACCAACACGAAAACGATATGATCGATCTTAGTCTAGTATCGAATACTGATACTTTCTCCACGATCGTGGCATCGAAACGTTGCACTCAACGTTCACGTACTGGGATTCTGATTTGTAAGGCCGAATGTCAGAAAACGATGAACTTTCTATGCGCAGTGCGCGATGCTCGCGTATCGTCGATCAAACCCGGTAAAAAACGAATTTCCAATGAACTGTCGCGGCTCCCGCGCACAAGGCAGCCCAGCCTTGCGTGCGAATAATGAGGTTTTGCGACAGAAAGAAAGACAGTCAATGGATAATGCAAGGGATTGATAATTTGTAGTACCGGTATCTTCCTCCACTCTTCGATTCCTGGTGTTATTCTTAGAACAGGTTTCGTAACAGCGACGAAACACGCGAAAAAAGAAGAAAAAAAAAAAGAAGAAGAAATCGACTGTTAAGCATTCAACTGCCTCGGCTGTTTGAAAACAGCTCGAGAAAACGCTCCGTGGAATTTCCTTTGCATCTTCCGAAGGCGAAGAAATCTTCGCTCAGCTTCGCAGAAAGTTTCGATCGTTTCGTCGGTGAAAAATGGAACTCGTTGTTACGAGACGCGGGATCGAATTTATCGTTGTTTAAGAAGGTCAGAAGAACGGCGAAGAATAGGACAGTGAGGGGGAATTGGTAACTGGGTTACCGGTGGCTCCGGAGAAGCAACGTTCGAGCAATCAGCTTCCTCGCTCTCCTCGTCTTTCTCACGGCCCCTTTCCTCTCCGTACATCCAAGATGCAAGATCACGAAGCGATGGTCCGCTGCCCCTTGATGTTTCTTCCTTCGCTCCTCTTCATCGTCGTCGTTCTCGCTTCTCTCTGTTTAGCATTACGCAGCCGTATGATACGTAGAACGCCTCGTGTGCCTCTGAACCGACTCTGGAATAACGGGATTTCGGGACACGAAGGGATACCGTGCTCACCTTCGAGACACGCACGTGAGCGTATAAATCTCGGGAGGTATCGTCAGACGAGGAGAAGCAAGTCACACACCGATGCGATGAAACACCGTTCTCGGATTCTCGTTGTATCTCTGACTCTCTCGCCTTGTTTATCTTTTATCGCTGTCCTGACAGACTGGCCTGTACAAAGTATAAAATTGTCACTGCCAATTTTTTAATTGTAACTCGTAACAAGACGACGATTCTCTCTCCTTAGGGATCTCCTTAGACTTTCGAGCGTTATATTCATTGATTTTCTTGAACATTTAGTAAAAGTATCACGTTTCCTTGCAGTGGATTTTTTTTTAAGCGGTGAATGGACAGTAGATTCTGATCTAGACTGAAATTCCTTTCTCGCGTAAATATTAAACATTTATGATAAATTATTCTGCTTTAGATATTTTACTTTAGATTTATTTTTCTGTATTACGTGTGTTTTCTGCATTTTTTTTTTTTTTTTCACCCGATGATGAAATATTATGTAATGGAGTTTCTTGGGAAATTTGGAGTGTATTCTACGAGACCCAAATCACAAAATAACTTGCAAATTAAAGTGAACTCGTTTACAATTTGTATCTTTTGCAACGCACGTTACTAATTTCTTGTACCGTTACAGAAGACGTTGTACATGTAGCAAGCTGATTTGAAATGACGATTAATATATGTATCTTGTTCTTGCAGGACGTGATATTCGTCGTTCAAAACCACTTAGGTTTTTCTCTAATTAATCGATAAATACAGACTGTTTGAACTACTTCTTCTAACAAAACTGATCTGACTTTTCATTGCAGATGGCTGTCGGGAAGAACATCCATTTATTACTCGTCATCCTTTCTTCAATGTCCGTCATTTCACGCTCTTACGTGCCTCAAGCCACAGGTAACAATTACATTATGCAACGAGTCAGTAGCCATTAAACAAGAATTAATCAGTTACGATACGCGAATACGTTGATTATGATTTTATTTTTAACCGTGAAACACGATCTCAGCAAACGATATCCCAGAATAATGCTTTTAAATAAAATTTGCATGGGATTCCACTCTCTTCTCCTTTATACTTTGGCTTTTATAGTTTCATAGAATTCTACTTTTCTCTCGAGGTACGAACATTTTTATACTAATATTTGTCTTGTACGTACGTACGTCGAAGTAATCGCTCTTAGGTATTCTTCAGAAATTATGCAGGAAATTATCGAGAATGGAAACTGAGAAGTTTTCTGATGAAGAATCTATGGGTTTATTTTCTTTGCTTTACAGATCTAAAGAAACAGATCTAAAGTTTCTTAAACTTTAAACAAAATTCATACTTTTATGGATATAAAAAAAACGGTCTAATAAATAATTAAATATTGTAACAAGTACTACATTAGAACATTTTATATAACTTTATATAGCTTTACATAACAAGTAACATTCTGTACACCTTTGCTTTAAAATTTCAAGTATGAGAACAGAAAATTCTACGAGAATAAAAATTTCCAAGGCAATTTTATTCGATCCATCATTTTGTTTTAAAGATTTTTCTTTCAGAAAGCACCTTGATTGTGAACCGATGCACGAGAATGTCAAAAGTCAACGAAAAATCTCACTTCAACGTTCAATCCGGCTGATTTATCTCGGTTTATTGCCCACACGAGAATTCGTTGATGTACTTTAACCGATACCGTCGTGGCTCGAGCGTGAATTGTCTACCGCGGCGTAATTGCATCTGTCAACATGGTAGAGACAAACGTGTTTTCCCACGCGTACTTTCCACCGAGAGCTATCCCCAGAATTTTCCATTACCAACCCGAGCCCACTGCCTGCTAATTACACGCGTGGAAGTTTCACGTCTCAACCATAATTCAGTACCAGCCAATTTATGGATATACCCTTAGCCGCGTACAAGGCGACACGTTTTTTAGCAATCGTGCACGACACCAACATTGACACCAAATTCCACTTACATCTCACTTCCTTTCGAAAGTCGCGAATTCCACGAGCTGCGTATCTCATTCTAAATGCTTGCTTGTTCTCAATAGGCGACAGAAATCTCAAACACCGCCGCGAAGTATCACGCCGCGAAATATCCGACGATTCACGTTTGATGTTTCGAGCGACGCTCCGAAGGTAGCTGGTAAATCGCCGCTCCGTTTCGAATATCATGCCAGTAACGCGTCGCAACGACTTCGATAAACCAGTCGAATGCGAGGCAGTTAAATGGAAACAGGTTCCCTCGCGATGCAGAGGGAATTTCGATCGATTTCCCTGACGAAGAAAAGTTTCCGGGTTTATTAAACCAACGTGGACGCGAATTCCAAACCTTCATAACTTCTACCACTTTCGCATTCCCATTTTCTCGAACCAGTCGTTAACATTTATACAAGTATCACGCAATCATCTTATTACTCTGTTTGCGCTACCCGACCGTGCTAGCTGTACGTACACACAATCGATACGACATAACGTTTCCCTCGAAACCGGTGGAAAACACGTTCGTTTGTTACACTAATTAATTAAAATTATTAATTACGTCCGTCGGCTGCAAGCGGAGCAAAATATCACCGTGGCAGTGTTGCATAGGTGGAAAATTTCAAAGGAAAATTTCAGATGTTAATCGTGTTTTATAAAAAGAGTTCTTCGCTTTTCTTCGTGGTAAACGTAGCGGATTGTTTGACCGATTCAGTGTAATTACCCATTTCTTTGTTCTTTAATTGGAGGGGAATTAAAATCGACAGAATAGTTTGTTAAAAATCTGTAAATGAAGGTGATCGTCGGAACGTGGAATTCGTAACGTATCCAAGTTCACGCTGCTCGTGACATAGTTCGACGCGAAACGAAAGTCCGTGAAAAATAATAATAAAGAAAAAAAAAAAAAAAAGAAAAAGAGAAAAAAATCTGGAACGCCGGAAGGATCCTGACAAGCTCTACGGACGATTCGCGGAGTAGGTCATTATATCGGTAGTATGCAGGCATATAAGGAGACACGTGCAAAGCCTACATGCTTGCTCGCGTATGGCTTAGTCACCTGACCATAACCGATCACATTAAATACTTACTTTTATATATATATATATATAAACATAAAGGAACATTGGAAATTGTAGTTCCTGTTTTTTATCGTATCGGTGAATCTCTTCGGAATATCAGTACGTGGCCGGCCAAAGAGAGAGAGAGAGAGAGAGAGAGAGAGACACGTCGACCCAGATTCAAAAATGGACACAATAAATTTACTCAAACTCACGGCCGGTGGACGATACACGACGACGATTTCACCAAACGGGCAACGACAGAATTTGGAACGAGTGAATTTCTCGATACAGTTCGTACGGCCCTAGACAGTCGCGAATACCAAACGAGTCCAGTTAGTTTCGTTTTCAACTCGTTTGTCGTGAACCGTTGTGCACTCGTTGCTAATTACAGTAGCACGCCCTGATTGGAATAATAAAAGCTCGCCTTGTTTCGCGAACCGCTATCGTAACCAAATCGTGAGCGAGTAAAATTGTCGTCGTACACGTGTAAAATTTTACGCGGTAATTTCTGGATTTCTTTTTTGCAGGCAAGAGACTGTTCGGCGGATACAGGATAGTACCGAAAGCGTGTCAGCCAACGATACCGTCTCGAGTGAAGTCGAGCGAGCCGGCGATATGCATGTTCAATTACGAATGCTCGCGTCGAAATGGACAGGTGGTCGGTGCGTGTATGGACGGGTTCCTTTTCGGCGCTTGCTGTCAACTACCGCCGAAACATTTGGCTGGCAGCATCGTCAAGGACCCGATGGCACCAGCCTCCGATGAAATATTCAATGTACACGAGATCGATCACGTGCCGGATATTCCCATCTTGTTAAATTCGGACGGCACGCCGCTCGGGATGACCGTGCCCCAGGACGACGCCGTCAAAACCGAACAACCCGGCACGCCGAATCAGCAAGCGAACAACGAGGGGACAACGTACACGAAAATCTCGACGTTCGACGTGCCTTCTACAACCGCGAAACCAGCGTTGGGAGCAACCTCGCAGATTCACGACAGCGTTGAGAACGCAGAGAAACCGCAAATATCCGCGCAACCGGACGTAAGTCACTTGGAAGAAGATTTCCCAGCTCTGTTGGGTCAGCAGAACGTTTTAGACGACCTGAGCCTTTCGGGATTGTTGAGTCACTCTGACTCGAAGAACAACGTACAGAATCACGGGGACAATTCCGCCATTAATCCGGTCACCACTTTGCTGAGTCCAGATCAGATACTTCAGATAGCCGATCCGGTTGACCAACTTCCAGCTCTGTTTTCGCAGGGATTGGGTCAGAGCAATCATACCTCGCCCGACACGATACTGTTGAACGAGAACGGGACCGCCGCGTTGAACGAGACGAACAATCCAGACGATTTGTTCAAGCCTAACGTCGAATCCAGCACCGAGAAGCGGAAAGCGACCGAAATTTCGCCGAGTAGCACTCAGAGGCCGAAAGTGACGGAAAGTGTGTCGTTTACGGAAGTTAAGAGGCCGCCGCAGGATACCACTCACCAAAGTACTTCAACGACGCAGTGGCTAAAGTTCCCGGATCAATCTGCATCTTCGATGCACGACGCGATGTCCTCTTTCCCGGGAGATCAAACTTCCGGCACGTCGCTGATGACGAGATTGCCGGTGGTCACCCAAATGTACGCCAGCACGCAGAGGCTCACGACAACCTCCCGCCCTCAAGAGACAGCGATTGATAACTTCGAGAGAATCAGCACGATAGAAGAGAGAATCTCGACTAAGAACGTAGAGGCGCTCGATTTTACGAACAGAAGAACGACCACGCCGATGACCACCTTGAGCGACAAAAACGAACTAGTGAAAGTACCGACGATTACTTACGACGCGCCTTCTGGCAATAAAAAGGACGACATAGAGGTGGACAAAGAGGAGCTAGCAATCAATCACATAATTTCCATTCTGAATAACACGAAGCCAGGCTCGGGAACCACGATCCCGACTCCGAACTCTTCCATCCACAAGTGGGTCAGTATCGACGAGACCTCGAAACCATCCTTGGTTCGTATCTCCACGAGAGCTCCTCCCGTACCTGGACCAACCACCGCTCAATCTTTCCCTTACACGTTCTACAAACCGGTACAGTCGTCGAATTACTACAATTACGAGACTGTGCCCACGCACTCCACGACCTTTGCCTCATATCCCACTTCCAACTCGCATTCATCCAGACCGTCGACTCTGTCCACTCTCGCCAGTGCCGGTACGTCCGATTATTCCGTAAAAACCACAACGAATCCTCCCGCGCCGACTGTGATAGTTCTGGGGCCTCTTGGTACAGAGTTCGCGACTGAGACTAGCCAGAAAATAGCTACGAAGAGACCAGCGAGCGAAACTGTCGGTTCTAGCACGACAGCTTTCAAACCTGCGACCGGATCGGTAAGACCGAGTCCGCTTACAACGAGGAAACCTAGCGTTTCGACCACTATAACTCACAACATCAGTACAGTGATCTCGAACGTTGCTACCAATAACGTGGTTTCGACAAGTTTCTTCAGCGTCAACGTGAAAGACGGGACCACGTCGAAACCGATGGTGAACAGTAGCTACAGCACGCAGTCTGTCGTCACCGAAACCGAACTCGAGACCGAAAATTTCGAGAAGTTGTCGACGAGAAGACCAACGATTTGGACTACCCTCTCCTCGTGGTCCGGCAAGCCCAGTTTCCACTTGAGACCGTCTACGCCTTCCTCAGTCTTTCCAAACGAGAATTTAACGCCTATTAACACCGTGGTCTTCAAAGATCCTACCAGCTCGACGATGACGGACATCAAAGCAACGACTGTTCCGCCACACTGCGACGAGGAAACAGCAGCACCGGACGATCTGATCAACTTCCCTCCTGTCAGGAATCCGAATCTCAATATATCAGCGCCGATTTCGCAACAAGAAAAACCAACTATCTTTGAGACGTTCAACAACACGGGTTACCCGGACATCGAGATAATAAGCGAGAACGATATTCCAACACCGACTTTCGTCGACGACGACGTTTTCACGAATAAAGTCGACTCGTTCGTGAACACGATCGTACAGTCTCTGCAAGGCAACTTCCAGGTATTTATATCGCATTTAACTCTTCTCTAATTATAGCATTATTGGTTGAAAACTTGAAGTTGCGTAGCAAGCAGCATACTGCGCGCAACTTTTGCAAAAGCATGGAAACCCGCAGTTATCACGTACGGGTGAAAGGCTAGGCTAATTTCACTAATTTTGCATGAAGGATCTCAAAGAGATTGTGTACAACCGTGTCAACGCGACACCGGCTGCAATATCCAACCAGGCGTCGACTGTGACGAGGAGGCCGGCCACCACGACGAAGAAACCGGTGCGAAAGCCCGCGACAACGACGAAACCGTCGTACATCACGACGAAGAAACCCGTGACCACAAAGAGGCCGATCAATCGTCCGACGACTTTAAAGCCGTCGGTATCGGAGAAACCAGTTCGCCCTTCGAAACCGACAACGACGAAACCAAAACCAACCGCGGCGTCTGGCGCGACCACGAAGAGACCCCAGGTTACAACGAAACGGACTAGACCAACCAGAAGACCTACTACAACGCTGGCTACGAGCACGGAAGCTATAGTCGCGGAAGAAGAAGAAACTAGTATCGCGAACGCAGTCGAAACTACCAGTCCGCAGATTACATCTTCGAGTGACTTTCGTTCTCGTAAGTGTTTTTTTTCACTTATCCATTGTCGCGCGATGATTCTTCAACCTGTTGGATTTTGATTAATTTGGTGCTAGTGAATCGAAAATAATTCTTGGCTATTGTGTCAGAAGCATCCAATTTCCTTTCCTCTCTGTCGCGCCATCCTCAATTGATTAGCCTGTATTTCATATATTGCGACACATTATCAATTAATTACATGTACAATGCAAAAAGAAATTTTGTCATTTTCACAGAATGTGGCATAAGACCTTTGATTAAATCTGGGAGGATCGTCGGTGGCAAAGCGGCGACATTCGGCGAATGGCCGTGGCAAGTTTTAGTTCGAGAGGCCACTTGGTTGGGCCTCTTCACGAAAAACAAGTGCGGCGGTGTTCTGATCACGGACAAATACGTCATCACTGCGGCTCATTGTCAGCCAGGGTATGTCCAATATCTACTTTTGGATTTTTCTACAATATCAGGACACGGAAGTCCCACAAGCCTGTTCATAAATATTTGGAACAACACGATTATACGCATAAATACGTATTTTACAGATTCTTAGCGACTTTGGTAGCCGTTTTCGGAGAATTCGATCTGTCTGGCGAGTTGGAAGAGAAACGAAGCGTAACGAGAAACGTTCGACGAGTGATCGTCAACAGAGGCTATAATCCAACGACATTCGAAAGCGATTTGGCACTCTTAGAACTGGAATCACCGATACAGTTCGACGTTCACATTGTCCCGATTTGTATGCCCGATGATGGTATAGATTTTACGGGTAGAATGGCCACTGTCACTGGCTGGGGACGATTAAAGTACAGTTAGTATCATTTCTACTTTTGTAGCTGATGTCACATTTCGTTTAATATAAATATCGATGGATAATCTCAATTTGCAGATGGCGGCGTACCATCTGTTCTACAGGAAGTCCAAGTGCCTATAATCAAGAATTCTGTCTGTCAAGAGATGTTCCAGACAGGTGGACATTCGAAACTGATTCTCGACAGTTTCCTCTGCGCTGGATATGCTAATGGACAAAAAGACTCTTGCGAGGTATTTTTAAAATACGTTCACTCCTTATCAAAGGCGATTAATTTATCTAGAGCCATTGGACTGCGAATTTTTATCCGTTTATAGATTAAGATGAATTTAATGATGCAAAAAAGTACACAATCGTTATTATATTCGATAAGTAGCCTGTGAATTTCCACACATTTTTAAATTTTTGTCAATATAATTAAAGAAATGAAACCTAAGTAGAAATTTCTTTCATCTGTTAAACTTTGTACTCTACTTTCTTTTTGTTTCTTTTTGCATTTTACAATATATTTTCATATTTCAAATTTCCCATAAATGCATAAAAATTCGCACACTATTAATGAACGAATCAAATCCTCGTATTCCAAAAATCGATTCATTATCTAATTGCACAGGGTGACAGTGGTGGTCCATTGGTGATGCAACGACCAGACGGAAGATGGTTTTTGGTAGGCACGGTGTCTCATGGAATAACATGCGCTGCACCGTATCTTCCAGGTGTTTACATGAGAACAACGTACTTCAAACCGTGGCTACACAGTATCACCGGAGTCTGAAAGCCAGCAAATAGTTTATTTCTTGGACAAGGTGACAGGCGCTGATAATTCCGTGCCACTTGTATAAATGTACAAAGGAAGATTAATTTATTTCCTTCGGAATAGATTGAAGAATATCGATCAAGGGACCAAAAGGAACTAAGCGAACACGAATGCATTTCGCATACTATTTTTCATAATACAATTAATTTTGAATAATTTCTGTCACTCGAACAATTTCAATTTTCTTAACAAGCAGTCATGCAGAGACTGCTGACAAGTCGTATCGTCGATTTCCAATTATTTAAATTTTCGACGACCTATCGTTAGAATTGTTATTTTGTGACGACTATTTCGAGAGAAATTTTTCATCAGTATACGAAAAATGATCGCGTATTTATGTGCATCCGACAATAAACGTGTTATGTGTTCCATGTATATACGTGAGTACGTGTTACACGTGCTATATGTATGCAATTACGAACTGCGAGCCTTATTTATTTCGTTGTTAGCTGTTATTTATTAAACTCATTTTTATACGAGATAAGAATGTTTTCTTTCCACCCCTATCACGCGCATCACATGAGAAACGTACATTTGACTCGCAGGAAGGAAGGAAAAAAAGTAGATAAAAGAACAGACGAAAAAGAGAAAATACAGAGATCAAAAGCAAAGCGAACCGTCTCGTAGCTTTAATCCAGTTGTAAAGAACTTCGAACTTATAATAATTAACAAACCCTGCGTGTTAGCGTTCTTATCTTCAACCATCGCAAATTTCTTGGAAGTTCAGAACCTGTTACGTCCAACAGTAGCACGCGACAGTAACAAAATAATGCTACCATCCAGCGAAAATACTCTGGCGAATGCTACACCTTAATTTACGCGAACATGCGCAAATAATCAGACCGCCTTAATCTGGCAAAAAGTGAAATACAAAACTGATTAATCAACACAGTGGCTACGTACACGTATCACGATTTAAAAATCGTCCAACATTTTAAAACCTTGATTTGTTACTTCGCTGTTTCCTCTAGAGAGAAAACATGCAGAACGTTATAAATAGCCCTTACACATTCAACGTAAATTGCATACTTTGGCATTTGCAAAGACAGGTTGTATACTTAGCACGAGTATGTTTACGGAAAACATCTTCAGGAACAAGTGCATGTCGGGAGTATTTGAACCATAATCTACCAACATGAACATGAATCGCGTAAAATCTGAATGTTCTCAAGGGAGAGGATTGTACTGCGTTTTACTTTCGAGCTGTTCCGCGATCACTTTAATCGTATAACGAAAGGAAAAACGTCAAAACAAAAATAACACGACGTCCGAGACATCATGTTTTACTTGAGCGTGAAATGCATGCTCTTTGCTATTCCATATATAGTTATTATTCATGGGCCACCTAGGAAACGAATATATGGAGCAGGATCGACCGCCCTGTGGAACATCAGGACATTCCGGATCAATACGACCAACAAAGATGGAAACAATGACGACCGCATAGGACGACGAAGAAAGAGCTAAACACCTACGCGAAAGTACGCCCAACGAATGGCGCTGCTGTACCCTAAGGTGGAATACAATTTTTATTTCATTTGAAATGAATGCAACTGTTGAAGCTGATAAGCTGAAATATCACACTCGTACGTCAAAACGTTCCGCGCAATATCTTTTATCACGAAAGAAGAATTTATGAGAACACCTTTGTATCGTGTTTCCGATTCTTTTGGAATATTCGCAAACGTAACATCCACGAGACGATTAATCCAATGTGAATCGCATTTACGAAGCAAACACAATTTCCAGGAGAATTCAAAGCAAACAAACGTCGTATCGTTGATTTAATCATCGAAAATACGTTCTCATGCACCGACGGTTTACAGAAACAGAAACTTCTTAAAATTGGCGTTGAAAATATCGAGAAACTTGCCTATCTTCCTGTTCCTTAGAGGGAAGCTAAATAGGGAAAATACGAAGTAAAAATCTGAATGAATAAAATGGCACCTGGATGGTATGCGTAAAAACGTCAGGTGTCGCGCTTGCGCGCATGTTTGCACGAGCTTGTACAAGGGAAACCGGAACAACGTAGGAGTATAGATTGCCAATGCAAGCGCGGCTCCGACTCAGTCCTCCAGCAAACTCCGTTGAGGACTTGTTGATCCTGAGAGGAAGCTGATTCTTCCAGATCCATCTGCCTAGAAACATCAATTAAGTTTAGCTACAGGGAAAAGTCTGTAAGTTCAAGTTCAAGTTTATTCTCGAATTTTTGCTTGCGTAAGACTATCTAGGAACATTTCTTCTCCCACTCTGTTCAAGATCCTCGACGACGTTTAAAAACGAATACTTTATAAAACTAAATTGTTTTAACCTGCGCAAAAAGATTTTAGTAATACATTTTTTAAAAAAATTACTATTGTTCCTCTTTGCAGTTTTTACCATTTTTGATGCTTGTTTTTCGATGAGAATTTAATTACGACATATGTTGTAACAGTTACATGGTTTTGTAGTAAAAAAAACTTGATTTCTTGCCTCGAATTAACTTCATTTTAGTATAACGCAGTACTAAATTTTATTTAAGAAAGAATTATTAAAAACTGGTTAAATTTCAGGAGTTCAGATAGCGGCATGAGACAAAAAATGTACACGTGTGTTGCACTGGTAATTGCTCTAACGAGCACGATGCACCTTGGTGTCGAGGCATGGGGTGGTCTCTTTAATCGTTTCAGCCCAGAGATGTTATCAAATCTTGGCTATGGTAGTCACGGTGATCACATGAGCAAAACAGGATTGTATCAGGTATGAAAGAAGATTCTTCAATATCGACATGTCCTTATACACAGTAAACAACTGTTGCAACTTTGCCGCAGTACGACCGGTATACGATCGATATGTTATTTTCATGTGTAAGCGATTTTATATCGCAATTAGTTCTCTAAAATAAGAGTTCCATCATTAAATTTTCTTCAACATTAATGATTAATTCAATCAACAAAATTTCGTTACGAGCCTTTACTAGAAAAAAATCGGGAAATCTGTTCTAAAATAATCTAAGTGCTAAGTCTGCATAACTTGTGTTGTAATAAAAATGTATTATATTAACCTTGTTGCAGTTTTCGAATCTTCTCATTTTCTCTGTAACAAAGAGAAAAAAATTTGTAAGAAAATTTCTAGCGAAAATTGAAACGAAAAATTACATATATCGATAATCTAATACTTTATTAACGCACTGTTATGCAAATCGTACCGAGTACGTATTACCAGTTACAAGCAATAACAATGAATTCCGATAAAATATAAATAATGACCACAGATGAATAACTAGCGAATATATTGTACCAAGTATATGACCATTATTCTATAATAAAATTATCTTTTCTATAATCGCTAATAAGTATGAATTAAATTTACATCTTTACTGCCCGAACGATGGCACAACAGTGTGTTAGAAAAATATTTTATGAATAAAATAAAAAAGCCAGTTTTGCTCTGTTCTCAATAACGCTATCGAATGATACTAATTGCCGATATTTTATTTCTTTCTGTAGCGTCCGTTGGCTAGTAGCTATGGATATTCTTACGACTCTTTAGAAGAGGTTGTACCATGCTATGAAAGAAGGTGTACGGCTAACGAACACTGTTGTTCGTCTTTCATTTGCGTAAACGTTGATGGAGGTAATTGTCACTCCTTTGTGCTCTCAAATAACTCCAAGACGATAATCAAAATACTGTATTATCATATATAATTCCTTTTGAATTTATAGATGTTGGCCATTGCGTTTTCGAATTGGGACAGAAGCAGGGTGAACTTTGTAGAAACGATAACGACTGTGAAACTGGTTTGATGTGCGCCGAAGTTGCCGGCAGCGAGACTCGTTCGTGTCAGCCGCCAGTGACTTCGAATAAATTGTACAGTAAGTACATATATACAAATATATAAAAGTCGATGCTGTCGATGCGCCAATATCAGTAAATATGTGTCTCCTACGTGGCAGGAATTTAGAGATAATCGATAAAGGTCAATTCACAAACGATTACGTCAAAGGAACAGACTCTCTTATGTAAAAATCATGTGTATATATATATATATATATATATATATATATATATTCAATTTCTAAATTTAGGACATTCTATCTTTAATTCTTGCAGATGAAGAGTGTAATGTGTCTGGGGAATGCGACATCAGCCGCGGTTTGTGCTGTCAACTTCAAAGACGTCATCGACAAACGCCGAGAAAGGTATTTTACATTTTCGAAGAATTTACAGTTAATTAAGAAGATTGTAGATAGCAATATGATCAATTATAATTAATTTTAATCAATCGATTGAGATATCAAGAATTTTTTAAGGAAGAATGCATGTAAATATATTTCTCGTGGAATGATCTGATAGAATAATTTCGAAAATATTACGAACAACTTGTTACGAATTTATTGTCTTTTTTCTCTAGGTCTGTTCGTATTTCAAAGATCCTCTAGTATGCATCGGACCAGTTGCAATGGACCAAATAAAATCTGTCGTCCAGTACACTTCTGGTGAGAAACGGATAACTGGACAAGGAAATCGAATCTTTAAACGAGTTGCCTTCGCCTAAGAGCTTCGTTGTTCCTCGTGTACTGGTGAGAATGGAAGAAATGTCACGAATCAAATCCCTCTTTTCATTACGTTGAGAAACTTAGGATAATAATATATGTATTACTTCAAAATTCCCTAAATTGTTTTGATGTTCGTAATTCTCGCCTGTCAGGATAACGAAGAGCAGGGAGATTATTAAACGCACTTTTCAATTCTTTTCCTCCAAATATTACGACTGATAAATACGATACATATCAGAATAGTCCGTCTTATATAATTATAAGATATACTATATATATTAATGAGAAACATTATGCAGCGTGTCTTTAAAGATTGATACTAATTTCTGATGAATGATGCGTAGGGTGTGTGATAGAAGAGAAAAAGTTTCCTTCTTTCTGACAATTTGCTAGTCTTATTTTCTTGCTTATTCTTTCCTTTTCTTTCTTTTTTTTTTTTTTATTTTATCAAACATATTAGAGATAGAAATTTTGTAAAATGTATAGAAATTGAATAGTTGGAATCTAAATAACGGTACTGATGAAAGTGTTAGAAAACTTGAACTTCACAACGTGTATAGTAACCGTGATATGTAACTGGCAAAATTTTGTTTGAAATTTTTTAAAAGTAGAAATTCTTTCTACCTATTTTAACCTGTACACGACAAAAGCTATTTTCACTTTTCAGTGATTAACAAAGACAAGAGGTCTTCGAATCAAGTTTCCTAAATTTACTCTTAAGATACTCAAACGCACACACAGAATAAAATATATTTTAATTCTCCTGGTTCTCAAGACAGAGATCAGACACCCTTGATATATCAGTGATAAAGGAATATTTTTCATGAGAACGAGTTGAAACGAGGAAGAGTTATCGAAACGGTATTAAAATATAAAATAAATGTGGTAGATCTAATGGTGAATCATACGGATAGAAATTTTCAAAGGTCTTCGTCGGTGTTTAACAAATGTAACTTATGCATTATCGTTAAGTCATATGATAAAGTTTGAAAGTAAAGCATTCTAACTGACGTGAATCTAAAAAAAAAAGTTGAAAAATGCAGCAATGAATTTTGCTTTACCTAGCGTATATTCCAAATTATTAGAGATGTACTTAGATAGTTAGTAGAAAAATTGATTTAAATGTGAAAATCACTTGATTAAAGATGGGAATCGTTCTATTATTAATCGCGGGAATCGCTCTATTGAACATTGAAACCTCGGAGATCGCTTCGTTAAGTGTTGATTAAAATCGTAATGTTAAATATAATATAATATAATTAAAACAATATATATATGAAAATCGTTATGTTTAAATGTTAGAATCGTGATTTTAAATGACGTATAAGACGTATAAGACGAAGTGATGTGTTAATTGTCGATATAATTACAAAGATAAAGAATATGAATAAAGCAAATGTTACAATTGTAATCACGAGAGACGCGGTGTTATTTTAAACACTGTCGTGAAATACATTCTGATGCGTAAAGTACCTGTTGCGAAATCTGGACAACCCCTCGTTTCTACGCTATTAATGCTAGTCATTGAGAGTCCAAACACACAAAGAGAACATATTTCTAGTTACACGATATTATACTTCTAATGTTGACCTTTTATCGTATAAAGGAATTCTAACACGTATTATGTGAATGCCTAATCCATTAAGAAAGTTTTAAATGTGAATGTTATTATGAGATATATCTTATTGAAATTATATTTTTATCTTTGATCGATATGTATACCTAAACGCTATATATTTATATAGTATTCATATATTTTCCGCAAACGTATGTCTATAATATAACTACCCTCTGATGCGTCGTGCGTACGTCATCTCACAAGGGTTGAATTGATTACGACACGAGTAATTTGCAATATAAGTTTAATTAAGACTTATGATATGCGATTAAGTATCTATATTACATAAACTTTTGATCTTGTTACGACTATTATCTTTGTTTTTCTCTGATTTATTTAGATTAATATTATTCAAAGAACCAAAGAAATAAAAATGAACTAATTGATGAAACTGATACATATCATAGAATAGTAAGTTCTTTCCAGCGTGGAGATTTTGAATAGGAAATGTCATATTATTTAAACGTACGGCTCATTGAGGGACTGTCTGGAGTCAAAAGTACCTCTATCAAATGAATTAATTCCAAGATAATTATATGTGTATAACTATATATATGTAATGTTCAAGATTATAATAACAGAGTTATAATAGTTTAATGTGAAATAAACTGTGGTGCATATAAAACAGTTAAATCTCGTTTATTTATTCATCATTCTCTGTAAAAATATCTTCCGCTTCTTTTATTAAAATTTTTTTATATTCTCTTTTAATAAAAATAGTTATACTGATAAACTTTATTAAAAATACAAAAAAAGTTGAATAAGCAGTAGAAGAGTTTGCAATTTGCATATCTTCTAGGGTAAGAGATTGAAATAATGATCTTCCTAATTATTTGATTTTCTAATCAATGTTTAAGAAAAAAATTTGCAAACTATTTCCTTATAGTATTAATTTTTCTTTTCAAATTCCCTCCTCTCCTAAGTCTTAACCCAAACCTAGAACATTCCAGAATAGATGGCACTACGTATTCGTGTACATCCGCTATGAGGAACAAAATGGTTGCGTAGTTTTGACGACGAAGAAACGTAAGTTTGTAGGGACACTCTTTTCATTGAGATCGCTTTAAACTTAGTGTCCGAATTTTTTGGACAAACAAAATGACTGCAATACCTGGCACTGTGGCCTTTGATGAATATGGTCGGCCTTTTATTATCCTCCGTAATCAGGAAAAGCAAAAACGTCTAACCGGCATTAATGCTATCAAGGTAAATAAATTTATATTTTTTTGAACAATTTTCTTATGCATCTGTTAAAAGAAGTAGTAATAATTTTTTTTTTTTTTATGTTCTCATAATTATACTGGATTCAAAAATTAAAAACGTTGAAGGTTTATTAGGTCAACCACGTGAAACAGTAATGACGACATTTTGGGCTCGGCCGTTGATTTTAATATTGCAATATAATCTCAACTAATATTATGTATATATTTATATCTTAAATTGTAATCTGCAAATATTTTATATTATTTTATTTTGTCATTCTTTTTTAATGATTCTAATATTTAAATAATTTAAAAAATTGAATGAATTACAATGATGGTGATATTTGCCCATATAAGGAGATCTTAAGAAGATCTCATCCAATCATGGAATAAGTCCAACAAAATCCTGAAAATTTATCGTTGTAATGTTATTCTAATAAGTAATTGTTTGATTGCAGTCACATATTTTGGCAGCCCGTGATGTAGCCAATATTTTGAAAACCTCATTAGGTCCCAAGGGCCTTGACAAGCTAATGGTCAGTTCTGATGGCGATATTACTGTAACAAACGATGGGGCAACAATCTTAAAAAATATGGATGTAGACCATGAAATTGCAAAGTTAATGGTTCAGTTGTCTCAATCTCAGGATGATGAAATTGGAGATGGTACTACTGGTGTAGTTGTCTTAGCAGGTGCTCTGTTAGAACAAGCAGAGCAATTATTGGACAAAGGAATTCATCCAATTAGAATAGCAGATGGTTTTGAAATGGCAGCAAAATGTGCAACAGATCATTTAAAAAAGATTGTACATGATTTCGAAGGTAGCCCTGACAACCTGGAACCTTACATAAAAATTGCAATGACTAGTTTGGGTTCAAAAATGTAATTATATTTTACATTATTTGAATTTAATGTAGAGAAGAAAAAGTAATACCTTTATTTTTTTTTAGCATCAACAAGTGTCACAGGCAAATGGCAGAAATAGCTGTAAATGCTGTATTTGCAGTTTTAGATCCTATTGCCCGTGATGTGAACTTTGAATTAATAAAAATAGAAGGGAAAGTTGGAGGCAGATTAGAAGATACTGTTCTAGTTCGTGGTGTTGTTATTGATAAAGACTTTAGCCATCCTCAAATGCCTAAGGTAAAAATCAGTCGTACTATATTCTGTTTTTATATATTTTATTCTGCCTAATGATGACAAACATAATCAGAGAAGGGTAAAGATACAGATTATTTTTTTGTCTTGCTTAGTGTTGGGACTTGTAACTGTTTCTTTGGTTACTTTGTTAATTATTGAAAAAGTTAAAGTCTCTGTTTAAGTGGCTATCTAATAATTGGATTTTTACAGTGGCTTCAATGATCAAAGGATTATGAGAGCTGAAGGCATTCTTTTCTTATCTTTTTTTTTTTCTTATAAGTTATTTTATCAAAAAAATATCTATTAAAGAAAAATTTATATTACAGAGGTTGGAAAATGTCAAATTAGCTATTTTAACATGCCCATTTGAACCACCTAAGCCAAAAACTAAACACAAGCTGGATGTCACCTCAGTCGATGATTATAGAGCGTTACGTGAATACGAACAAGAAAAATTCACCGAGATGGTGAAAAGGGTTAAAAATGCTGGTACCACACTTGCTATTTGTCAATGGGGATTCGATGATGAAGCAAATCATCTTCTTCTTCAAAATGAATTACCTGCGGTTAGATGGGTTGGTGGTCCAGAAATTGAAGTAAGTTTTGTTTCTACTTACTATATATTCATTTTATTCATGCCTAACGATGGCAAATAATAAATGAATAAAAATGAAAATAATAAGCTAATTTTTTAGGATCTAATTATTAGTTTTCTATTATGAAAATGATAAAGATCCTTTAAATTTATTAGTTAATTATCTTTATTTTAGATCTAATGATCAAAAGTTGTGAGTTTGAAGGCTCAGGTTTTTCCCTCCTTATTAATTATATATAAAAAAAAAAAGGAAAAGTGACATCGGTAAAAAAGGATGTTAAATTTTCAGTTAATAGCTATTGCCACGGGTGGCCGTATTGTTCCTCGCTTCGAAGAATTAACATCAGAAAAACTTGGCCACGCAGGCGTTGTTAGAGAATTAACATTTGGTACTACTAAAGATCGAATGCTTGTTATTGAAGAATGCAAAAACTCTCGAGCAGTTACTATTTTCATTCGCGGTGGGAACAAAATGGTAAGTAATACTTAAAGTTCTTGTAAAAAAAACTAAAAGCAAGGAGAATTTCAGCGGTATTCAAATATACCTAACTGACCAGACACCTTGCAAGAAAAAAGCATTAGCATATTGTATTGTTTAATTTAAACTTAATTTAATTAAAATTTCTTTTTGCTAATGCTACAATTTTATATACTATTGCATTCATTTGTTCAGTACACGTATATAGATTTATAAATTATTTCAATTTCTAGATTATTGAAGAAGCAAAACGAGCTATCCACGATGCACTGTGTACAGTTCGTAATGTAATAAAAAATGAAAAGATCTTATATGGAGGAGGCGCTCCCGAAATTTCTTGTGCCCTTGCGTGTGCAGAGAAAGCCAATAAGATCAGCACCTTGGAACAATATGCCTTCCGTGCATTTGCCGAAGCTCTGGAAGCTGTACCAATGGCACTTGCTGAAAATTCTGGTCTTTCACCTGTAAATACTTTAGCTGACATTAAAGCAGCACAGTTGGCTGAAAAAAATCCTGCCTTTGGCGTAGACTGCCTAAACCATGGTACTTTCGGTATGCATCGAATAATTGTAATTGTCTTTTATTGTAATAATTAGAAATAAATAGTTATTTATTCTTTCAGATATGAAAGTCCAAAACGTTATCGAAACATTAACGAGTAAAACACAACAAATTCTATTGGCTACACAACTGGTCAAGATGATACTTAAAATCGATGACATACGTTCACCAAATGATGCCGGCGATGCTGCCTAAATTGCTTATTTTTTACGTCGATACTTGCACTATTGGATTTTTTAACATTTTTTCATTTTCGCTTTGAGCTTCATTCACGTTTTCAATTAATAATTGTATTAAATTTAGTTAACTTCTTGTCATCGTCATAATTTATGCGTCGGCATGACTAAGTAAATAAATAATTTTACTTTCACCAAAATTTACTTTTCTTTAAATCCTCTTGCTACTAATCGTATGTATAATACATTGATTAAATGTGGCATATGTTTCCGTCAACGATACTTTTTTATTTTTATCATAGGAACAAATAAATTTGTCACATCGAGTCAAGGTATAATTGCATACACAGATATTCTTTACATAATTCGAGTTGTGGGAATTTCATCTTCGAGAAATCACTTCACAGATCATAAACATAAGCGTAGATCGATGAATGTAAGAAAAAGAATTTAGTAACATTCTATTAATAAAATGGCACAAAATACAATCGCTTGCAGATTTATAAATTATATTATAACACATATATACCTTTGTCTTCCTCTCTCTTTTTTGCAATATCTTCTGCCTTCGGCCTGCAGGAACCAGATCATAGATAATCTTCCTCTTTTATCACAAAATATACAATCTATTCCAACATAACGTTATATCTCTTTCGCCTTCTTTTTACACAATAAATTTCTTTTATTATATGCATGAAGTTCATGCTTGGAGTTGCAATATTTTGCCATAACTTTTGATAGACTAACAATACTGTAAAACACATTTCTTAAACATCTTTAATCTCGATAACAACATCTCTGTATCTTGATACAGAATTCGGCACTTCGTTTCATCGTATATACTTGCATTCCTGTATTCCTGTACATATCTCACTATTCTTATGTACGTCTAATATTTTCATTCAATTCAGATGTTTAAATTGCAAGCCCCAGCAGAGCCTTATATCAACAGCGTCCTTAAATCTTGACGTACAATCGCTATACATTAATAACGAAAATCTGTCATAACGGATTCGTTAAATCGACATTTTTACGCGGAAGAATAGGAATGATGAGTCATAAAATACAAATTACACGAGTAAAAAAAAATATATAAAATATAATGACCCCTCTCGATGCGTTATCTATTATGACCAAAGTAATTTAAATTACTTCCTCCTCCTCGTCCTCTTCGTTTTTTTTTGTCTTTTTTTGTTTTCTTTGTTTTTTTTTTTTTTTTTTTTTTTTTTTTAATAAATAAGCTATACGAATTCAATTATTCGTTAGACTGTTACTCAACTAAAAGTTATATGCACAGCAGGGCCTCTAAATTTCTTTTTTCCTATGATTATACCTTTTTGAGCATGGGTAAATGAAGTACTTCTGGTATTTCGATATCTTCTAGTCGAATATCTGATGGATTGAATGGTAATCTTACTGGGTACGAATACATAAGATCCATTAACAGCTGGAAGAGATTCATTACCGATTAATTATTCCTTTATTAACTATAAGATACATAAAGTGAATTTCAAACTTACCTGTTCGTTGTTTTCACCACGTTCACTCAGTTTGGCTTGTACCTTTTTGATAAATGAAACTGGAACGCGCGTTTCGAAATCGTCAGCTGGTGTATACAAATTTAGAATTTTTACTATTTGATTTGCAGTTAATTTGTTGCACATCTCGCATACAGAATTGACATCTTCGTCTGTTTTGCGAGCTTGCAATAGCTGTGCAGCTTGTACAATGGGCTGAAGGGCTTCGGATGCTGGTTCTAATTTCCGATCTCTTCCCCATTGCTCCAAATGGCTCAAGTTATATCTAAAGAAGACACAATGTTAATTAAACTTCACACTTCTTAATAAAATTTGTAACTTTTACGAACCTTATTTGCATGCCTTTCGTCCAGTGGCAAAGTTCATTCCTTAGAAGCAAATTATTCAGAGCGCTAGCGCACATGAAATAAAACAGTTGTTTGAAAAGTTGTACGACGATCTCGGAGTCAACACCATGAAACTGAAGAGTTTTATACACTGAGGTAAGTTCTTCGAGAAGTTTGTTAAGTTTTTGCTGAGTTGACTCTGGTTCCTCTCCCATGGAGGACGATCGTGGTCGACCGAGTTTGTTAGAATCCAGGCCTGATATGGCTTCGTGTTCAAGAAGAGCAGGAACCGTTAGAGCCTGAATTCTTTCTTTAAGATTCATTACAATATTATTGAAAATCCAAAGCGCCACGTTGCTCAATACAACCCGATATTCGCTTAAATCGAAATTTCTAAGACACTGTTCATTCTGTCTTGGAGTGTTTTCAATCTGGAAAGGTTTGTCTCCCGAATACTGTTTCATGCTGTGTAACAATCTTAAGGTGTTACTGAACCAGAGTACACTAGAATCAAAGTCCTCGCGTTTTTTGACTACACGTTTTACAGCGTTGAGGTAGCCCGTTAATAACAATCTCACTTTTTCATCATCGTTTATACAGTCTGTATGCCTTATACACATAAAAAGTATATAGGCTGGCAGACCAGGAAGTAATGTCACCGCGATTCTAGGTTTTAAATCTAGAAAAAGAATTATGATAGTTCAAAGGATACTGGCACCTTCAAAATAAGTAAAATGAACTAAATTTACCGATAACGAGATGACGTATTATCACATTGATATCTTCTTTTCTAAACTCGAACATGCCCTCGTAGTCCCTTTCTTTCTTCCGGATAGCTGGCAAATTGCTTCCATTATCTCCTGAATGATTAGTGGAAGACATTATCGCAGAATCGCTTACAGATTCTGCTGTATCTGGCACTGTAAAATAAGTATTAAATATTTTTTGTTTTTCGTATTGCGAACAAATTAATAATCTAAAGATGTAAAGTAAATAAAATCAGGAATGTATGGAATAATTTTCGAAACAAAGACTTAATACGTAACAATATAATTTTTTCATACAATGACAATCAAATTTAAAAAATTCTAGAATTTAAAGTGATAATACGATAGATGTTAGTTTATAAGAATTAAGGTGAGTTATGGTATACGAGAAGTGCAATGAACATTGGACCATGCACTCACCAGCGCCCTTTGTCATATAAGGGCGATCCTTATGTTCCTTAGTATCGTCTCCCTCATCTTAGAAAGCATTTAAATATTACACAATTTTAATACTATTTCTTAATAACTTTTACTATGTAACTATTCCCTCCATGTCGTTTAGAAATAAATAAAGAAAATTTATTTTTGGATTAATTAGTTTTAGCAATCTATACTTACAACCGGCATCTCTCAGACGTTTCGCAAGTATTTTGCACTGTCTTTTGAATTTCCTGCATTCTTCTGCTATTTTATCATATTTTTCTTGTAGTTCCTGTATTCAATTTAATATTATAATCAGAAATTATGTTAACATTTTATTTCACTTGATTATTGGCACTAATTTTACCAAATTTTCGGACGTAAGCCTAGCAATTTCGTGTTGCATATATGCCTCAGTTTGAGTCTGTGGCGATTTGTTCAAATTCACAGATAGCAATTTCTGCTGTTTCTCAATTTCCTCCTGCAACCTATCGATTTCCGCACGCCATTCATCCCTCTGTGCTCGCCACTCTTTCTCCTTCGTTTGAAGCTCATCTTCTAATTGCCTTTAAATAAAGATAAATAAGATCATTTCATATATTCTTCCCAATAAACTTGTTCAATCAAAAGTCGTAAGAACTAGCGCTAAGTCACGATGAACAAATGAGATATTTAGTAATGAATGTTCGACAAATTTCGCTGATCTATCGCGACTGAAAGGCGTAATGGTCGCTAGATGGATCATTGATTAATCGCTGCAAAATATCTGCTCAACTCACTCTCTCGAGGCCTTTCGCTTTGTCTTAAGACTACTGAAAATTGAAGTGCATGCACAAACGACAAAACACGATTAGATACGATTTAATATCTCCCTTCCGTGGAAAAAAAATTAAACAATTTAGAAAATTTCAAAATACCTATTGATCTTTTTCTGAGTCTCGAAAGCAAGCACTAATTCCCCGTCTTCGTTTATAATATCCACATCGCGGCCATAATTCGAGCCTAAGCTCTTCATTCTTCGCGTATTATCTGCTAACACGCTATGCAATTGAATACACTCTTCTCGTCTTCTTTCAAGCTCCTCTTGAAGCGCATCGAATTGTCCTAAAATAGAAATTACTTATCGTATCCCTCATTTATCTATTTATCTTATCTTTTTTAGATAATTATTTGATATAAGAATAAAATGAGAAACGTGCGAAAGAAAAGCGAATGTCTTCTGAAATTTTTTATTGCTTTCAACATTATAAATAATAACAACGGAAAGTATGACATGGGCTGTGACTATTCAGTATTAAAGTTTTAAAGTATAAAGTGTTTTTAAAGAAAGATTTACAGAAAATGTTTTTTATTAACATTAACGTGAATACATCAAGCAGATAAAGGACAGCAAGAAGCAGAGGCAAAATCTACGAGGACGCAGTGTATTTGTACATCTTATAAACCTAGCTTTAGTTAATGGTACAGCAGGAAAATAAAAATATAACACAGTAAACTAACTATAACTAGACTAAACGAGCACACTTTTTGAAGAAAAAGTAAGCAAATATTATAGCACTCGGTAAAGCACGTAATGAAAAAATTCCTTAGCTATGTAAATTAACAAATTACCCATGAGATTCTGCTGTGCACCAGTTAGGCCTGTGGAAACACTTTTTCTTAACGAACCTAAATCTTTCTTTAACTGAGCATTTTCCATTTCCAATTCTTGAAGCTACAAAATAATTTTAATATCGTCATTAGTTATTAGTGATTATCATTTCGATAGGTCGACTTTTCGCACGTGGAATTACCCTAAATGTATCTTGCATCCTCGAACTTTCTTCAGGGCTATCACGTTCCAAATCTTCCACCATCCTGATTAATCTTCCCTTCTCTTTCTCAACGTCCTTTAATTTCTGTTGAAGCTTCAACACTAATCCGATATCTACCGGCGCGTGAGCCGGACCATTTGTTTCGGGTGGACTATCTGATCTTTGCTGATTCCAATCAATCGTTTCCAATCGTGAATAAGAGGTCGAAGAAGGAGCAGTCGATCTTACCGACCCGTAACCAAGATCCTTATTTGAACGAAATCAAAGGGAACGTTAAACTATATATATTGGGGAAATAAACTAAATCTAAATAAGAGTATATAGAAGATAATTTTACAATATTTTGATCGTCTTGTGGAAGTTCCGTAGATACGATTTGCCCACTACTACTGGAAGCATTGCTGAGAGAACGCGAGTGTGCAGGGCCGTGCATAGCAAGTTTCTGTTCTAATATTTCTACATGTTGCTCTAACTCATGATATTCTTTCAATAATTTCTGATAAGCGCCACGATCCTGATCCTGATCCAGCAGGAGAAGATCTTTTTCTTGTTCCAAACGATGCTTCAAATTCTCTTCAGCACCGCGTTGATTATTCTTCAGCTTCTCGTTAGCTACCGAAAGTTCTTTTCGCAACTTTTCGATTTCACTTTGAAGTTCCCTGTTCTCTTGTTCTTTTTCTTGTGTATTCCTTTCTTTGTCCTAAATGAAATATACGACACTCAATTCCCTGTACAACTTTTCTAAAATATCTTGTAGAATATCTATTTACCTGTAAAATATCCATTTTTTCGTCTCTCTCAACTTTCACAATATTCTGTATCTTTTCTAATTCTCTTTCCTTCTCTATTAATATAACGTTTAATTTCTTATTTTCCGCGTCTACGGATTTCAATCCCTCTAATCTGTGCTTCAAATCGACCATCTCGTTTTGAACGTTCTTTAACGACTGATTTTCTTTCATCTGAAAATCAAATAATTTCAACATTCATCGTTAAAATCAAAATTATTCTAGACTTCTAAATAATAAACTTGTTAAAACATACAAGTTCGGTGATCTTTTGCTGTAACATCATGATCTTTTTCTCTAATCCCTTGTTCAGGGATTTCACGTGTTCCACGCTTCTCGCTTCAGCCTTCAACCTCTTAAATTCTTTTCTTGCAATGCGCCTTCTAACGCAAGACTGAACGATTATAATATCCTTCAATTTTTTCTTGCACGCCATTCGAACGAGATAACCCCTGGCGAATCTCTGAATTACAATCGCCGCGGCATTATCTTTCATTCGTTCGTATTTTTCTCGCGCCAGTTTTCCCCTGCCATACGTCTGAATGCCGAGAATTGTGCGCTTTATCCGAAGGTATCGGCGCCTCTTCAGCCAACCTTTCACACGGGCTTGAATTTTTATCGCAGCCCTTTCCTCCCTCACTGCCTGAGCTTTCTGTCTGGCGATGTAACCCCTTCCGTATCTTTGAAGACCAAGTACAGCGCGTCGAATCTTCCTGTATCTACTGCGACAAATTAAGCCGCGCACCGTTTTTTGGATCATAATACAAGCGTCTCGTTGTCGTTCCCCTCGTAACTTTTCTAGATAAGCCACTTGGCCAGCGCGAAAAAGAACCTTCGTCTTGCCGAATTTAAACTTATCTTCATCCTTGATGTACCTGAAGAAATTCCGTTCTATGTGAGGTTAACGTATTGGGTTGTCTGGTAAATTCATGGTGAAAAAGATTTTTCTTCTTGGAAAATGATGCCCGATGTATTTTTTAATTATATCCAATTTTACATCCAATTAGATCTTTCTTTGTAAAAGTAAATCGATTAGTCAGAAACGCTATGACTTTTCCGAATAATCCGACAGAAGATTTATTTTTTATATGATAGATTTATTGCAGAAGAAAAAAAGGAGATGACATTGGGACGGTAATGAAAGTGAATGTAACTAACCTGTCCAATATTCGTCGACAGGTTTCCTTGAGGTCATCCCGTCGAATATCCTTGAATTTACAGAGGCATCTGTATCTGAGGAAGAATTCGTTGTACGTTCTTTGACTGGGGAAACCAGCCGCTGATATTCTGATCGTCTCCAAAACACCGCAAGCTCGTAACTGCTGCACCGCGCGAACCGGGTTATATTCAAATGCTTCTTTCGTATCGTTCGGTTTGATACAGCGCACGTAATGCGGTGTAGTTTTGTTTAATGTCAACATCAACATGTTCAACGAGTCGCGAAATTGGGAACCTACCTGCACATTTTGCGCAACGACAAACGTTTATCCATCAAAATTATTGTCAACAGAGAATCACGAAGAAAAATTTTCACCCCATTAAAAGATTTACCGTTTTCTTGTTTTGCTTAGGCGTACTTAATACTGGCTTTTGAGCGGACACTTTCACTCTTACGTTCGGTGGTACCATGAGTTTCGGATCTTCCTCGCTGAATAATTTCTTCAACAGTTTATTCTGAAACAACAAACGACATGAACAATTTTCTGTATAAAATAATATCTATGCGCTGGACTATGACTACAGTGGATTCGTGTCCTGAAAAGTATCGAAGCAATCATACATGTCGATTTTCCCGTATGCGTATGCATTTCGATCTTCAGATACGTGATTCGTTAGAACGATAGCTCGTCAGAACACGCAATCCGCTGTAACCGCAGTCCGAAGCGTCGAGTTATGTGAATTTTACGTACATTTCCGTTTCGCAGCACGTCAACCTGTTCCTCGATAACGGTGTCTCTGTTTTTTTCTAAAAACCCAATCGTTTCGTATTGCACCAGGTCGGCGAAGTGGTGAATCAAGAAGGCAGACGTTCCGAATCGTGGTTTCTCGAAATGTTTGGATTTTCCGCACTTCGAGTAAAGTTTCTCCGCCCACGAACTGTCCGAACCTTTCGGCATCTGCGTAAAAATCTCTACTGTGTAAAAACCTGACGAACGTTTTGAACGAATTGACTCAGGAGGACTCGGAGAACGAAAGTATTACCGACCCTGCACTCCTCGTCCAACAAGTCGAGGATACCCAGTTTCGTTTCTATGAGATCGATACACGGTTGATTGTCATAGAAATCTATGAAGGTCCATTCGATCTCTTCCTTGAAATATTCCTCCTGCTCTAACTTGAAGACGTGCTGGTTGAACTGTTGCTGAAGCTTCTCGTTCGCGTAATTTATGCAAAACTGTTCGAACGAATTGATCTCGAACGTCTCGAAACCGTAGATATCCAGGACACCGATGAAACATTGGGGCTTGTTCTGAGACTGCAGCGAGTTATTGATACCAGTCACGATCCAGTTGAACAATTCCGCGTAAATATGCTTGGCCAGTGCGTCTCTGGCAGCGACCGCTTGTTCCACGTTCATTGGCTTTAAAAATACCTCTCTCATCGACACGATTTTTCTATGACACAGCCATTTTCGCATTGCATTCGCGTCGATGCCCAATAACTCGCACATCGTCAAGAGATGCTTGTCCGACGGCTGAAAAGATCACAATCATGATACATCGAACGTCATTACATTCCTTTTTAATTAAAACGTTCCATCTATTTCGAAATTGAAGAAAACTGAAATTTCATCGTTAGACTGTGAATGCGAAAATACATAATGTACGAAACATGTAAAACGATTTTTCATGCAAGTCTTGATTGCAAAAAAATATAAAATAAATATAGCGCAATGTTTATCATATTTTTATGTGCTTCCTATTTTTTTCTTCGTCCAATTTAAAATATTTAACTTGTACAGTGTAATCTTACTCGAAAGCTGAAAAGCACGGGAAACTTCGAATATTTCCATCTATCTCGGAAAGTGAAAATATGTTGAACAGAACGTTTTAATTGAGGAAGACGGAATGGATTTCCGTTGTAAAAGTAAAATCGTGATATTTACGTGAATGTAACTAGCCTCGGTATCGCTCTCGTTGTTCGAACTTTGGTTATCAACGTTTCCTATATGAACGTTTCCTAAATGTATAATAGCCGCTAAAATACGAAGCATGTCATCCTGCTGCTTGGACGAGAATCCAAGCATGGTCAGTGCGCTTATCGTTTCATCGAAACACACCAAGTCATTTACACCGTCTATCAAAGGATTATTTCCTTGATTCAAATAGTGAAACTTATTCTGGTGGCCCAAATGTAAGTGCGGGAGACGAGCTGAGGCTGCGCACATTTGGTAAAATATATGATAATTCCTTTCCTCGTAAGTCTAGAAAATCATTCGTTTCAACTGTTTGGTCCATTTTATTAATAGAAAAAAAAAAAGAAAAAAAAAAGAACAGAACGAACACGAAGGTGTACCAGTTAGTGTACCTGAAACACGACTCTCGATTTTTCCAGAAGATAAGTTCTCATACTGGCTCCGGTGATGTGATAGTGTTTGTTAAATTGAATCTCGATGAACTTGCCGAATCTCGAAGAATTATCGTTCCTCGTTGTCTTTGCGTTGCCGATAGCTTCCATGATCGGCAGAGAGGCAAGAACTTTCTTCTCGACCTGCGTTTCGGTCGTTGAACCACCGACTGTGGCAAAATATCGCATCGTGTACTTTGCAGAGACAGTTTTCCCGGCGCCGGATTCCCCGGAAACGATGATAGATTGATCGTGACCTTCCCTACGTTTATCACGTAACATTTAAAGATTCCAAGCTCCATTTTAATCACTTTATTTTAATCCTTTGAGATTGCATAAAATGATCTGATTAACGTCACTGGCAACAACACATTACAATATGAAGATTCTTACAATCAAATAAAGGAACAGTTTTCGTGACACGAATTTAAAAATTGCTCATCATATTTACTGCAACAGTTTTAGAATAAACGGGACACATTTTATTTAGTTTTCACATTAAATTTGTATTTCCTCTATCTACTTGATGAATTTAAAATATTATTTTTAAATACTTCACTTTTTCGAATGCTGACATAAAAATCGTAAAATTTTATCCCACGTCAAATCAGAAGGCTTTCAAGCCTGACTTTTTCGAGCACTCAAAGGATTAAAAAATTTACAACCGCGTAGAAAAAAGCTCTCAACCTTTCCAGCTTTGTGTAAGCCTCCTCGGCGACGGCGAATATATGAGGTTCCAAGTCGCCCATCGCCTGACCCCTGTACGCCCATATTGTATCGTTTCCGTAGATTGGAAGTTCATTGTACGGGTTGAAGGCGACTAAAACGATACCGCAATACGTGTAAATAGAGTGTCGTTGAAAACGAATCTGAAGATTATAGAGAACGGCTGGCTCGTGAAGAAACGACAACGACGTCAAATTGTTCTCCCCTATGAGTATGTCGGGATTTCTCAACGGTGGTAGATCGGAGTCTGATTTGATCTCCAGGACCTTTGTTTGATTGGAATCATCCGTACGAACTTTCAAGGTTGGCTGATTTAATTTATAATCTTCCAGGAGTACCGCGCCTTCCCAAATCTTCTCCGAATGCGGTACCCATACCCTACCACCCTAAAAACACAGATTTTTTCCTTCATTCTGGTTTGACTTTTATTAAGCGTCAAGCAGTTATTATGCATCAACATGGTACTTTACAGTTCGTTACGATGGCAAAGGTAGTGGACTTGGCGCTGTGTCATCATCGTTTTACAAGTTAAGCTGCACGGTTCAACGGTGAAGAATCGCCTCAAGATACGAGGAGTCCAAGTAGGAAGTTTTTCAACAGCACGAGCAAGCTCGTACAAGTTAATTACTTAGTGTCTAATTTTCCTTCTTTTCAAAAGATGACCTGCTTTTTGCTTTTTGCGAGTGGTACGTACGAAAATGAGGTCGGCGATACAGCGTATCGATTTCGACGCGAAGTGCGCCAAATCGAGATTGATTATCACATTAGAACGTAGTTATTACTTTTCAACCGCGAGACGTTCCTCCGTGGCGTGTCAAGAGAAAAAAGATCATCGATTTTCAGTAGAATATTTTCAGAGAAGAAAAGATATTTCACAGTTGAAATACGACTGCCGGATGAAATTTTTTTTCCTCAAAATTCCCTTCCAAAACTATCAAATTATCAGCTCTAGAATTAAAAAAGAATTTTCTTAAAGCTGATGAAAGGTATTTCGAAGATGGTAACATTATTAATTTGAAAGAAGAGAACCGAAACCACACCGTCGAATGTAATTTTCTTTAGAAGATAAACAAATTCGTAACGGTATCAAAGAAATGCTTCTTGAACGTGACTCACGACCGAGCCAAACGAGACACACGAAATACCAAAATGTACTGTTATCAAGCACAGTGTACAGACAAAAAACGAATTACGTGATCTGAAAAAAAATATCGGGCAACGGTAAAGTTTGCTGTCTTCTTTGAACTTCGTTGTGACATTAGAAAACTGATTAAAAATACAATCGAGACGTCTGATGTGTTTAAACAGAATAGTGGCACGCGTACATACGAGTCATCTATGCCTAGAAAGAAATAGAAAGTAACCGTGAACTTTTGTTCAATCTTCTATATCAACTATTATACGAGATATCGTTCGAAGGATATTGAAAGAAAATAAAAAAAAAGAAAAAAAATATATAGAGATTCAAGATATAAAGGGATTAAATTTTCAACAGCGTCGATATTTTATTTAAACGTATTGATACCTCGACGAGCTGTCGTTAAAATATTATTAAACCAACGATTGCAACTTTCTCGCAAATTGGAATACTTTTATTAATGGAACGATCAACCTCGAAATTTCGATGATCACCGTACTTAGGCATTCAGCCATAAACGAAACACCATAATTCAACAATGATTACTAACGCTGCGTTGCGCTTATAGCACAGTTATTTTATTTTTGCGTTTCGAGGTTAGTTGATTGCTGACATTGCGACTCTAAATTGCACAATTATCGATTTACTGGTAAACGCATCTTTGCGAATCAATTCGCGAATTTCGTAATGAAAGCTAACACCTTACACGAAAAATGTAATCTGTAATACATCGACACGTCGAAGTGAAAAAAATTTAATGACACATGCAATTGCAACGTTTTGATTCGCCCGAAATTATCAGAAAAAAAAAATATCTTAATGATAGCAAACGCTCGAAATTAACCGATTAAATTCTCTTCTATTCGTACATTCGGTTTACATTTATTCGATCGTCCTTAGTCTTCAGAGAATAAATGGTCGATGACTTGTAGAACGTCCCATCGTTCTAATTCCTAGCAAATCCTACCCTTTCTCCTATGATGAACAGGTTTCATGCCTGACTTCGTGCGTCGAAGTGTACCAAAGAAGTACAGTTCCCATGCTTTCTACGTTACGTACCAAATAACGATTACTCTCCTAAAGCCTTGCTCACGGAAAGGTATAGAAAAAGTAAAATCCTGCCGGGTTCTCACGCGGCTCGTTAATTGAAAAGGTGGTCAGAACGAGAGTGAACCGCGCACGGCTGAATCTACGCACGACAATCGCCGAGTTCAAAGATGAGAATAATCCGACTTTCGCTTCTTTCTTTCGAATTAATTAGCCCCCTCTATCGCTCCACTTCTCTCACGGCTCTCGTAGATTGCGCAACTAGCAATTAAATATGTAAATCTCTAGTTCCCATTCATAAATATTTCACGCCTATTTTCCGGCCACTATTTTCAATGAGTACGAACGACCGATTGGAAAATGTTTCCAGAATGTAATATGTATTTGAAAAATAGTATTGTTGCGTTTCTCGGCCAGATAAAGAGATAATTACGGAAGTACCCCTGACATGCTTCGATACAGTATCGTGGAAACATAAGGGAAGCTTTGCCAGCTGTGCGAATGCAGTCCACTCACATGTTGTGTCTGAGCTTTGCCAACTACTGATCTACGGCTTCTGTCGCGTTCCACCCACCATTCGTTTGGATATTCAAACTACGCAATTTTTTACTACGCTGCAACTTCGATATTATCGACTGCATCCGCGATAAATGAAACCAAGCTGACTGTAAATTTACAGCACGAAGCAAGAGTTTTGTCAACTTCCTCGCTAATGTGGGATGTAATTAAAAAATTGACTTCGAAGTTCAAGATATCTTCCGTTTGAGAATGGCAATTTCAAGATGAAAATTGCACAAATTCCTAATTGCACGATGACGTTTCACGAGCACCGAATTTCACGTTTAATATTCACGCAATTATAGGAACGAGAAGATAGAAGCTATAATCTTATCTACAGCCGCGAAACCACTCCAGAATGAATCATTTCGCCACTGATTCCTCCCACAAAATATACAACCAGATATGCAACGACACGGTCGTGGCAAGTGAATACGTACAACTTGACTGGCTTTGAAATGCGTGAAGATCTTCTGCACGCGTATTTCCGATTGTTTTGCACGTTTATTGATCAAAATGAAAGCTAAGGACTGCGGAAACCTTTCTCTTGAAAATTAAGACCCTAACGTAATAACATAACACAATTGGCGGGAAATACATATTCTGGTAATGCAGACACGTTTGACATCATATCTGTCTTTCTTCGTGCACGTACATACATACACGATGCAGAGAATAATTTATCGTTCTACTTGTTTGTTCGTTGTTAACATTTCTCCATGCCTATCTCTCTCATCTTTGTTGACGAGCCACGTGAAAGTGAACTTTAACATTTATCGCGAAACGTTGTTCACCAAGGTTTAGCGTTATTGCGCTTCGAGCGGCTAATCCAAAGTATGAGCACATTTAGAGAGCAACGTGCTACGTATGAAAACGGCTTGACGTCGTGTGTTTGTTGTTGCGATATCGATCGTTGTGGCTCGACATCATTGCTCCTGAGAAAGGTGCCGGGTTCTCCGTTATTGAGAATAACCGGGTCAAGTTTTCCTCCCACATATGTTTTTTTTTTCTTTCTCACCACGTGCGTTGAAATTGGCATCGTTGACACTGGTAGCAAAGCTATCGCACCGTGTCGAAGGCATGCCTGCGCACCCGATAATTTCTCCTTCAATACCGTCTAAAAATACCACGCGTTTTTCAAAAAAAGAACCGAGTGCATTTCGCTCATGAAGTAACGTATCGCGTTTGATTCAAGCGTGACGAAAGTATCTGAATACTTTTTATAAGGGCTGTATTTATAGCGGACTGCATAAAAGTATTCGAACATTTATAGAAATTCTGAATCTCTTATGTGTGTTACGTAAAACGTTTCGAAATCATATTAGCCATAATGAGATAGACCAGCGCTATCGCGATTTTATTTGTAAAGATGTATGTATTTTGTAAGAAATTAATACATTACATGAGCAGTCCATCTTAAATATATAATTAGAAAGAATTAAAGATGGTTTAATATAATAGAGAATTTGAACGGTTAAATATTTCTGTAATAAAATTATTTCCATTATGTCCAAATACCGTGTTCGTATACTGTGATTCGAAGGAAAATGTAGCTAAAAATGCAAATTCACGTGCACAGTGTTCATCGAACACGAGGTTTACGAGCGTGAGAATGCGAGTTCATGCCTTCAGTCCCCGTTGAGTAAGATCGCGAAACTTGGATGCCTTCGTGGGAGATTGCTATAAGGAATCCTCCTTTTTTCACGGAGGCTGCACAAAAGGACGATCGCAACACCGTATTTAGCCAACCGGGCGGTTTTGTTCCACGCTAAATTGCAATATCACGATCATTGCTGTCATCACCGGCCAATTAAAGTTTATTAACTTTATCCTTAACTTTATCCTTCGCGCGTTGGTACACGCATGCATTTTCAAAGGCACGCGAAATCAATTTACGAACGTGGAAAAATTACGAGGGGAAGAACGGGAGACGAACATGTTGCTCTTAGTATCGTTACACCGGCTACTAACTTGCTGGTCAACGTGCGACAACGAGTTTAGAAGAAATCTTCCTTGACCTTTAGGATAAAATCTCGCGGAGTGGACTTACGTCCACGATGGTGGCTGCTGCGTCTCCTTGTGACGGAGCACCAAGAGAAGCAAGGAGAACGACCTATTCCAACGACGCTGTGCTTTTCTGTTCCGAGAGAAAGGGACTGCCTGGTTCTAAAGCGAAGTCCAGCGATCACGTTCCTCGAACTGATCGTGCGAGCAACAGTTTCGAATGGGGTTAGCTTACCTTTAAATGTAAAGGCGCGATCGAGACTCAGGGTTCGAGTTTCGTCTCGTTGCATAATATAATTTCATTATTTCCTTGTGCCTCGAACCGGCTGGCATCCTACCTAGACGACATTCTACTTTGTTACGTGTTCTCGCCTGTCGTGTATAAATGTGTCGAAACTGGTTCGGAAAACATTTGCCACTCGCCTTTATGTAATAATCGACCGATTATTGCAACGATTATTCACACCGATATCTTAATTCTTGGTTATATCGTGACAAAAGTTCATCTAGCTACGTGCATTTTAACTAAAAAAATTAATAAAATCGAAATTAAATGTTTTATCGTTGGTGCTGCTACGCGCAGAGAGTGAGAATTACGAATAACGTTACGATCATATTACACGCGTGTCTCGAAAATGTCACAGTTCGAAATGATTTAATCCCGTGTTAGAAGAATGTCAAGATCGTCAAAGAAGTATTTCAAAGATTAAAAATGAAAGGTTACAAAATTAATATTTGAGAAGTGTTTCCTGCGCTCTGTTGCTTCAGTCAACATCATGTGTTTAACAAATAATTGTCTTGCAAGCTTTCAAATAACATCTCGCTTTCCCTGAGAATCCTGTTTGAGTTGTATCACTTCCATCAGTTTACTATATACCGTCGTGTCATTACAGGATGATGGAACAAAAATCCATACGCTTCGAATTCACTTCACGGATGGCTTTTCAACAGCTAAACTGTGCTCGTGCACGATTCATACTTTCCCGTTCGCTTTTATAAATTGTGAAAACTCAAAGACTCTAAGATGACTAAATCAATACGCGCATTCTGCACGAGCAATGTGTGTCCCTGACTTTACCGATGTCCCATAGATGTACATATGCCCGTTTACAGTTACGAGTGTAGTTCGAACGCGTGTCTTTAGCATTGCTGGTTTTAGCACCCGGCTGCTACTGAAAAATGAATATTATTGGAGGAACGACGAAAATTGCGATACGACCGCGGGCAACCCCCCTCGGCAGTTCACTTGACCAAGGCAATAAATCAGCCAAGATGGAGAGTCACGGCACGACCTTAAAGGGGCAGGTTCGGGCTGGATTAAACTCCGTGTTCTCGTCGACCAGCTATTTCTCACAGTTCGCATCGTTTTTACACTCGCTGTACAATTTCTACGCAACATTCTCACGCATAATAACAAACCACAGTAATTATCAGCTGATTGAGAACGTCGTACACCAGTTTTCGTTTTTTAATTGAATTTTCGCGATTAATGAATAATTGTTCACGTGTGAATCGTGATTAAGCCCCCAGCGAAATTTCCTTTTTGTCACGCCAATTTCGAGCCGATAAATACTCACGGTTTAAAGCAGCGACGCGAGGAACACTACGAACGATATTTCACAACCAAGGACATAACTAATGCTTCGACACAGTAATCTCTTGTCAAGAAACGTTTGGTTTATATACAACAAATGTTGTCGTGGTCGTCAACCTGATGTCGCAGTATGTACTTACTGGTTTTAAAGCGAAATTTAGGTCTTGAGCTTCCGAGCTTCCACGCGACAATTATTGATTTTTGTTTTAAAAGGAACTTCTGGATTTTTCAGGCTCGTTCGTTCCTCGTTCCACGGCTGCTTTCTGCCGTAACTCTGAATTAGAAATGTAATACGTCGTTCCTCTACAACTTTTGACAATTATTTATCAAGATATGAACTACTATTCCAAACTGATTTCGACAATGATAATACGTGTAACTTTAGATTTCGATTTGAAGTAGAAGAAATTATAATTTATATGAAATTTTATGGTAATGATTGCATATTGACGGCTGTAAATACTAAACGAAGACTGTGAATACTAGAAAATATTTTTTTGTACATCTGTGAGACTAAAATGGAGCAGCGTATATATATGTAAGTGACATTACTCAGGATGTTGGCCTTGACAATATATCTAAAGGTCACTGAGATCTGTGGACTTCTCTACAGATAATTATTCACATTTTTATTTCTTTTTTGCAACAAATGTCATTAATAAGATGTAGTTATAGTTTTAAGCGGCATTATGTACGTGAAACCATTGAAAGTTACTGGGGTTAAAAATCGAAAGAAATAGAAACCTTGGGTGAAAGTAGTACTTAAATTTAAGAAATTTAAGAAAAATCGGATCGATGATGGACACTTGCTACTAAATTGCAACTAATTGGAGCAATATATCGTCCACAATGTGTACCATGATTTTCTCAAACAATTAACTTTGCACGTTATGCATCAGCGACGAAAAAAGAAGAAAGTTTCGTTCGATTTTGCTAAATCGTCGTCTGCTTCGTTTCAGATTTTAACGACCCGCTTCCTACCTTTTCCAAATTGAAAGAAAAAACGTAATCGATATCGCAATTCTATGCACACAGATCCGCGTGTAAATGGAAACGAGAATAATACCAGGAACTAACTAAAGATCAATAGAATCTTGGTCAATCCTCTTGCGCTGGATGTTTGTTCGGAATGAAAGAGCGACACTACAATATTTTCATTGAAAAATCGGGAAGAGGAATAGGAGCATCTAGCTGTTTTTCAGAATCTTGATACCTCCCATGGTAAATTTCACATGTAGTATGTTTACACAAACTGTATTCCAATATATTTACCGAGAGACCTTCTCTGCCACTCTGCTTAACAACAGAGCAGACTCTTTCACTCGGAATTTCAAAGAGACTGTGCGAATAACGAGATAAACTTTGCACAATATTATGCATGCAATACTAGTAACAATCATACAGATGTTCAGAGAACAGTCGACGATCGAAATTCATTTTGCAATTCGACGATGACACAACGACGAACTCTCTACACTTTTTACTTGGCTCACGATACTCGAAACTTGTTTAACTCGATACACGAACGTGAAGTAAAACCGCATTTCGTATACCGCTCGATAGTGAAAGAGGCCCTTTACTCCTGGTTTGAAGAGATTTCACGAAGAGGTAATTGCAAATGTCAACAGACATGCTTGTCACAGTGTTACTAAACCAGTTGCCATCGTAGAACTGGATCTTGGAGTACCTGGCGATGGCTTTGAGAAACTGAACTGGTTCGTACCTTCACGTATAACTCCTTCGTAGTCATCGTTGTTGGTCCAGGTGCTCACCTAGGTCAGGTCAGATACAAGCGAGAGGAGCAGCACCCACAGGCACACACGATTTCACCCATACACACACACACCTCAGCACAGATAAGAATACCTACGACATTTGTCGTCCAATCGTAACTTGTACGTGCTACAAGCACAGCGATTTTCCCTCAACTGTACAATACATCTTGTTGTACAATACGTCACCTTGCTCGAGGTGCGGTCAAGGCATGTTTCTGTTTTTGTTTTTTCTTCTACCCTGTTTCGATCAAGAATCACCAAGGTCGATATAAATCACCAGTACAAAGCAACAAGAACCAGAAACAAATCGTTTTCACGAACTCAGAATTCGTGACACTGTGCCGATGGTTTTTGAAATCTTTCCGCTCAAATCATCGACACTGACCGCGAATGGTCAAAAAATAAATTTTCACGAAAGCCGTACTTCCACGTAAACGTCGTACGACGGCACTGCCACCAGCTGGTTCGTTATCGGGTTTAGATTCGGCGCCCCTCTTCGACTCCTTACACAACGACTACCACGGTTTTCCAGTCGAAGCGAGCTTCTCCTTCCTTTTTCTTCGTGTTTACACCGACTATCGACGTCTCTCTTCGACGATCGAACTACGAGTTTCACGCCATCTGATAGACGAATGGGAAAACCACAGGTGAATTCTTCCGCGTGCTCTGTTAATTAAAATTGTTTCTTAACAACGTTCTCGTTATTGAGAACGAAAATTGTTTTAACGAAAAAAAATTAACGAAAGAAAAGTTCCAAGAAAATACGTGGTACTCGTAACAGGCATCGTGAACACGTTTAATCGATTACTCGTATGATACGTTATCAATATTTCTAGATAATGAAACAGAAATATTGCAAATGATATTGACGAAGAACAAGGTAGACCAGATGTGCAACAATACGTGCTCTGCGATTAAAAAAAGAAGAAATGTTCCACGTTTTCGTGCAACGTTATTGATTGAGTATGGAGCAAGAGAACAGCATTAGTAATTGTTAGAACGAAAATTGGAAGCAATTATGAAATCATTAACTATAGTTCGGACCATTATCGAACATCCAAATCCAATCTTTTTGTCATGTTCCATGTTTTGAGGACCACTTGACTCCCGTACCATTTTCGTGTCACATTCTACCATATCGATTTAAACAGGTTTTGCACCGCAGCGCTACTAGTAACAGGAATTAAAATCAGAAAATATCAATAATGTTGTTACATCTGCACCGAAAATTATTTATGAAATTGAACGTGAACGTTTTCTCATTTGCAAGACCATTCTTAAGAGGCGGTCAACTTAATTTTTGACTAAATTATTTATTTTCTATATAAATTAGCATTATATGTCACAGACTTATAAATTAGCATTTAGTCAACAGAATTATACATTAAAAACTGTAGAAGTGTAGTTTTAGTTTGCAAAAAATTCAGAAATTACAGTATTTATTGTTGCCTTAAATTAATGGGGATTTTAAACAAAAATCTAAAAATCATGAAATTATTAATTACTGTAATAGAGAAACCGTATTTCGAAATGTTAACCACGGACGAAAAATAGTAATTTTGAACAAAAACGTAAAAGAAAAGCTGAACTTAAGGATCAAAATCCCATTTAAATAGATCTGCCAGTGTTTACTATTGTAATAGAACTGAACGTAGCAATAGTATTATGTAACTATCGACATTTCATTCAGTTCGATAGAAAAAGAAAAAACTGCATCCCCACAGTAAAAGCTAACCATAAGTTATGCGATTAATGTAGTAAAAAGAATTTACGTTAACAGTGTAATTTATTAACAATCGACAGACAGTACTATCATGGCATTTTTCCAATTGGTTCTGAAAGCCAATAAATTAGAAAAACTGAGGCAAAGTTACGAGGACGAAAAACTGACATCAATCGAGATTTCGAAGGGTGTTATCAAGCCTGTATATACCTTAAAACAACGAATTCGTCGACGAAAAATATGGTTAAATTCAACCATAATATTAAATAATCGATGAATTTTATTAATGTTATTCTCACACTGACTATCTTCAAAAAAAAATCGAAATAGGTTTAAGAGAAAGGTTAAACACGTCTGCAGTAAAATCTTTGCTGTTCCAAAAGATTCTTGGGCGCACAGAAAGATCGTTGCAATTCGTACCGATGGCACATTGGAAAATTACGTAGTGAAAAGCTTTGCAGGATTCGTTGGTGGAATAATCTTGACGTACATATTCTTCATATTTTTCGTTTTTCAATTGAATTTTAAACTATCGACCGCGACGTTTGTCTGCGCGGTAATCGGAGTAATTCTCACTTTGGGTCTTGCGTTTTCTTTCCAAATTCGGTATGCTATATTACAAATTCGGGCATCGTTCGTTTTCACGAACAACGTATCAATATATTCTATATCGTATTTCAGATGCATCGTGTTTCTACTCTTGCCACAACTTTTTTCGAAACGGGGAAGGCAAGCTCTGATGGCGTACGCGTTTATTTTAGCTTTAACAGGACCGGTGAAGAATACTTTGCACAACACCGGTATACTCTCAGAATCATTGGCCTGTGCACAAGTACATTACATCTTTCTTACGTCGATTCGAGTCCTCATTTTTGAAACATCGAACCTTTTCATCATCGAGTATTCAGACGATCGTTCATTCTGCAGGAACAGCTGAAAGAAGCGGTGAAGACCGTCGTAGATCTAGCGAAGCAACCGTTTTATGCTTTACGAGATGCAATATCGAAAGTCATAAAGACGATCAAGGCAGTCGTGAAAAAGATCAAGCAGACTCTAATCGCGATTAAGAGAGTCGTTCTTAGCATACGTAAGTACAAACTGAACACTTTCGATATGTATCGACTGTTCTACACGCTGCACTCTTTGTTTCGCGTGTCATTTGATTCCAGTCAGAGTTATCACTTCGGTATTCCAATGGTTGGCAAGTGTCATAAATATATGCAACAAGAAATTGGGCACACCTTTCGACAGGTGTCAGGCCGTTTTCGAGGGAGCGGTGGCAGACTGTAAAGCAAAGTTGGGTCCAATTTTCGGATTAGTTTGCAACATAACGTACGTGGTCAGCACTCTGTGTTACATAGTGAAGCCGCTAGACTTCATTTGCATGCTTGTTTCTTATATCGCCGACACCGTGGTTGGCGTTGTAAAGCGTAGTGAGTTGCCTTGAAATTTTGACTATCCGCTCTTCCCTCGACATGTCGAGCAATTGCAAACGATATTTTGAAGAGGTTAAGAAGTTCACGATGCACATGAAAGCGATGTTCTACGTTAAGGTCAAGTTCTCCCATTCGTTTCACTTCGAAACGAACCAAAGCAAGACGATAGGAGATGTGTCCTCGAATATTGCCGCAGAAATACGTTCGAGAACAGACACATTATTTGGGTTCTTCGATTTCATGAATTTCGTCACGTCCTTTTTCATATTCTTTATCATACTCAGGTAAGTTATAGTCAATGTTAAATTGTACATTTACATTTCTTCAAAAGTAACAATTTAAGCGTTACGAAAAATATTTAATATATATTTATAAATAACGCGTTTTTTCACGAATGAACTGGTCCATGGGCTTACGATATAAAAATATTATTATTTATATGTTTTAATCTATTGCATCTGACTTAAATAACAATTTTACGATAATATTTATTTGTTACAAAACTCAACATTTTCAGAGTACTGCGTTATCGTTACAAGTGGCTAACCAGTGAGCGTTACGACAATCGATATATAACCAATGATCTACGTACCATCGATTTGATAAGGGCACGTCAAGACAAAGAGACAGTTTTGCCATTAAATATACGAGAACGAAATAGATACGTGCCAATTACTTCCATCAGACTAATAAAATCCGAAAGGACTAAATTAGCAAAATCTATAGTGTTTCTAAGCTTGGCCACGATTCAACTTATCATGTACGTATCGGCGGACTATTGTCTCTATTGGATATTGAACACCATTCAACTCTATGGACGATTTCAAAGCAAGGTAAAATAACGATTACCATTAGATTGCGAGTACATACGCAAATTCATGTTTTTCTAAACACAATTAAGAAAGTAGCCAATCCTAGACCAAGGTTTCAATTATTAAAGTACTGTAGTTGAATGTTTTATATACTTTTATTACAATCGTTTCACACGTGAACGCAGTAATTTTTAGGTCGAACGGCCAAGCGTGGTAACCATTCACGTATCAGGCAAAGGCTATTTAGCTGATCTTTATAAGAGTATCGTAAAAGCGTTCACACCACGCGGGAGGGAAGCAGAAATCGACACGATGCTTTGTCTTCCGAATCCTATAACTCCTGATCTCGACAAATACATACAAATTCTCATTTTGATCTTTCTCTGCTGGCTGATAGCGTTCTTCGAACCTTATGGTTTACGAATGAGACAGATCGTTATGTGCCAGTATTACCCCGAGAGAGCGAAACAAAGAGCAGCTTGGTTGTACAATCACATCATCAGGTATCAAATTTTCACTCCTGCTCATTGTCAGTGAATTTCAATTATTTTCACTAGAGATTTTGAGTCTCCACAACTTAATACTCTCTGAGCTTTCTAAGCTTTCGTTTCGAATCCCCAATTTCTACTTCTGCGTAGATCAAGGGGCAGTTTTTTAAAGTTTGCTAGACGTCAATTACGCCGAAAATTCGGCTTAACCGAGGGGGAAGAGATCGAGAAAGTGACTTTAAAAGAGAAACTGTGGGCAACGTTTCCGCTATTGAACACATTTTTCCCACTGAAGCAGAAAGCGTGCCTTCTGTGCGGCGCAGTCGAACGTGCCGAACAGTTGCTTGTCAAATGCCCAACTCCCGATTGCGTTGGTTTATATTGTACGCAATGTTTCGTGGATTTGCAGAATTTGTGCACCATTTGTCGCTCACCGATGGACTACGGTGACCTGTCCGACATGAGCGAAGAAAAGTAAATGAATTAGTAATAAAAATTCTGATATGTCTCGTCTTGTGATTACTAACATTCTTCAAATACTAGAGATTCTTCGGAAGATCAGTTTGAAATACCGAGAAGAACAATACTTGAAGCAGAGAGATTAAAATTAGAGGAAAGAGAAAGAATGCTGGAGGAAGAAGATAAAATAATAGAGAAAGATAAAATGGTGGAAAAGAAAGATATTATGGTTGATGAGGAAACGGTAGAAGAAGAATATGAGGAGGAATACGAAGACGAAGATACAGTAAGAGAAAGATATGAAGACGTATTAGAGGAAGAATGTATAGACGAAGAAATCGTGGAAGAAGAAGATGAAGATGAAGAGATACTGAGCGAGGAAGAAGAAGTAAAGAAAATTTTAATACCCGATAGAACGAAAGAAAGAGAAAAAGAAAAAATAGCAGAAAAGAAAGAAAGGAAAATAGTGGAAGACGACATCACTGTACAAATAGATGATAAATGCCTGGAAGATTTCGATCAGAGTACCGAGTACAGTTACAGTGAGAGTTTGAGTTTATTACTAAACATTATACTATATACAATTCAATGTTTTATTCCAGCGAATTATTATTCCAGCTTATCAAGATGAATCTCCAGAAGAAATCGAAATTGTGAAAGTGAAAAAACGATTCAAAGATGTGGAAGCACAAAAAATTCGAGACGATGTAACGATCCAAGTGCGTTTTAACAAAATACAACAGCAAAACTTTTTCAACTGATTTCAACTATCATCTAATTTTATCCCATTTAGATATTCAACCAGCCGTTTGTAAAAGAACCAATCTGCACTAGCGAATCGCCGACTTCCGGCTTCGTCGTAAGAGCACGTAGGAAAGTTCGTGCCAAATTAAAAAAACGACCAACTGCCAGGGTGAGAGATACGGATTCATCAAGTTCGATCGCCGACACGGAATTCTGGCCGAGCGAGGAAGTCGACGAGGAAGAAGTAATACACATAGAAATAGACGACGGCTCGGAAGAATTACTCCCGAAGGATAGAGAGGATAAGAGGAAACTAGGTCGTATAAACAGAATCGTCGGTGCAGTTGCGAGAATTCCTTGGCTCGGTAAAGGAGAAGTACGAGCCATTTTAAGTCCCCCGAATATTTTCATATTTTCGGATCATTCTTTTTTCCTCCCAGAGATTTAACGTCTTATTGAAGGAACAGAAATTTTGGTTAAAAACCAAATTCGGAGTATTTACAATTTTTGGCTTGGTTTAAAATTAAAAATTTTTTTTTTAACAGTGTCGAAACTAAAATGAATTAAAAAATTACTTTTAGACTACTGATATTTTTGAAAAAAGAAAAGGTAAAAAATTTTGTCAAAACGACAAATTGATTATTTCGACAGGATGACAAGAAGACATGCAAAGGATTGCAAAAGAAACGTCCATCGCTTATGGATACAATTGTCGGTATGCTTCACAGAAAACAATCAAAGCCAACGCAATTATATAGAAAAATCAGAAAGACGAAGGATTCTTCGTTCTCCTCTTCATCTTCAACGAACGATGAGACCGAAAGCTTGCTAAGAGTGCAAGACAGGGACACTGATAGAACATATTTCGCCAGAAGTAGAAAGACATCAACGGAAGATAATTCTGATGAAACTCTAACTAGAAGAATATCGTACGAAAAGAAATTCGAGACGAAACGATTACCAAGGTATAAAGAATGAATAATTATAATGATTTTTAATAAACATACGATAAAAACAGGCATTTAGAATCTGCTGTGAGAAACACCGCTTACTTCGAGGTAGACGAGACTACCGATTCACGATTAGGAAAATGTGTTCAAGTAGAGAATATCAATGAATCGTCAGACATAAAAGTGCCAGCAGGAGTTAAATATAGAGATACGTGGAGCATGACGGAAAACGATGAATCAGTATTATTATATTTATACTTAAAACAAATTGCATTGCTTTCCGTGACTTTTTTGCATTGATAATGCAAAAAAGTAAAAGTACACGTAAAATACCATATTCGTTATGCTTTAATCATTCAGACTCCTGATCATTCAGAGATGGCGAGACGAAGATTCAAAATGCCTATGGTAAAAAGATATTTGCCTATGTATCAGAGTCCAGAACTGATCGAAGAATTGAAAAGACACGATCGAATGAGATTAATTCAAGAAAGAGAAGCTAAAAGACATAGAAGTAAAAGTCCTTGTCCATCTTCGGATTCTATCTCGACGGACATTAAAAAGAAAGATCGAAGAATCGATCGTTCTTCTGCAGCTGGCCCTTCGGTAAGTATTCAAGTCACGTTGTACGTGTATTTCAAAAATGACAGAACTCGGACAAGTTGCTCAGGAAAAGTGGAACACGTATATTCTAAAACCATAATGGTCCAATTTATTACTTTTGTAATTTTCCATTCTTAGCCCTTAAAATTCTTAGTTCAGGACTAAATTTGAAAGATTAATATGAGACATGGATAGTAGTGCAATACGAAATTAGATATATTTTGGATTCCATTAAAAAAAATATATTACTTATAATATATCAAAAATATATTACTTGGTTTAAGTTCAAACCAAATAGACAAGGTGAAAGACTTCCATATCAAGAATCGAAAGCATATAAAAATGTCTTGCGCGAATTTCGAAAAAGGACCGTACGTCAAGAAAGCAGTGTGCCATTAATATGCTTGTCTCAGGAGGCGGACAAAAGTAAAAAAGTAAAGCAACTTTATCCACTGCAAAGTCAAGCTCGACGAAAGTCGACCGCGATAAGAAAACTGGCTCGTAAAATAGTAGCGCCACTCAAGGTAATTCGAAATACAAATATTAATTATTGCTGCTAGAGTATATATTTCTTTATCCGTTATTTTGTTAGCCATCTAAATGTAAAAAGCACAAATGCAAAACACCCAGAGAAGATACGAAGTCCGAAGAAATGGAAACTACGTGTTATGATCGCTTATGTGATCCAGAAGTTTTGAGCGAGGCATCCTCTACTTGTAGTTGTGTTGGAAAAACACGTAAATTTAGTACTTCAACATCCGATGATGAAACAGGTGATAATAACGAGTCGATTCAATAGGTAAAACTGCATGAACCCGGACACTATGTATTTATATACATGTATAATTTGACTTTAATAATTTCTAACGTTTCAAACAAATAATCTTCGATTATTTTTTATCTTATTATTTTACATTTGTGATGTAAATACAACGATTTATCTTGCTGTTTCCGAGAACTGCGTATATTCTCCGAATTAATCTTTGCTCGCTATCAATATATATAGTATAAGATATGTAAATACCCACGAGCATTTCATAGACCATTTTATAGAATTAATCTCTCATTTAAAAATCTCGATACTACGATCGCATCACACTTCATAACTCTGATCGACTGGTAAAGATACTTTCGACTGTTTTAAATTTTGTACTCTATGAAAATGTATGTATAACCTTTAATGCAAACGTTCAGTGAAAAAAAAAAAAAAATATAACAATCATGCGTCTGATATGAAATGAAATTATTGTTTCCTGGCACACACAAGCGAATTTTGGCAATGTCGAAAGAAATGCATAAGTTCCTTCAAAATCGAAGAAAAATAGGATTTGTAAAAGAGAGAAGTAGGAGAAAAGATACAGCGGAATCCCCGTGATGTTAAAATGTTGCTTAGCAAGTCGTTCAATCGCAAGCAAACGGATCCGCGCTCAGGAACTTTAGGAGAAAAGAACAACGAATCACTTCCAGAACAAAAATCAGAAAAATTTGCAAAACAAGGTAATGCAAATATAGTTCATTCACTGCAAGAAGCAAAAACAAACACTCCTTTTTTAACTTCGCCAAGTATAGACACTAAAACTTTCACTACAACGCATCTTAAGGACCAAGAAGTATCGCATATCGAAGATAAAACAGTCTTACGAACAATCGAACAGGAAAAGAAAGATAAAATCAAGGATGAAATCAAGGATGAACTAAAGGGTGAAATCAAAGGTGAAATTAAAAACGATAAAAATGATTTGGACGCGAACGAAATATGCACTCCCATAAATTGCACGAAAGAAAAATTTCAAAAAGTAGATTCGGACGCGAATGGAACTTGCAATTCGGTAATTTACACGAGAAATAGGTACAAAGAAGTAGATTTGGATACGAATAGAATTTGCGTTTGTTCTGAAGATTCTACAGAAACATCCAGCCAGCACGATCCGAAAGATAAACTCTCTCCAATGAAATTAACCGAGATAATCAATAACTCAGTTAAAGAAGCGATGCAGAGTATCGTCAAACAATGTAAAACGGTATTTAAGATGCGAGTATCCAGGATACTTTAATTTTTACCAAATTTTTCTTGTCAGTGCATACGCAAATAAGATGAAAAGAATGATTATCTTAACATATGATATCTATTTTGCGTTTTGAAAAAGCAGAAAGAAGAACGCGTCGCCGATAAAGAGCGAAAAGAAGAAGCCGAGTTCGATAAAGCTTGTTACGTAGACAAGGAAGGAGTTTTGGCGAAAACGAAGCGTGAATATCGACCGCGTACGACTCAGTGTCAAAACGGTTCGATCATCGAACAATTGCGTAAAAATAACGAACGAAATCGAAATCGACTGCGGGAGAGATATAACAGTGCTCGAGCGAACTTCAGTAACTCGAAACGTCAGAATGATGAAAGAAGAAACGCGTTCGAAGAGACAAAAAGGAAGAAACGCTCGAGATCGTCCAACAACGTAAAAACTGACAATCGTAGAATGACTGGGAACGTGAACATTTACATTTGCTCGGAAGCTAACGAAAATATTCGAGTAATTTTACTTTCTATATATTCGCAGTATTTTTTCTCGGAGGATCTTACAATTTGTCATTTTATTCGCTAGGGAGTCAGAAAACAAGACGAATCTGAATCGTGCGTGAGATCGGGTTCAGAAACAACGACAGAACAGTCAAAAGTTTCATCGAACAAACTTGTGACGTGCATTCGAAACAAGCGCAGAAGATCTAAAGAACAGAATTCGTTCGATCTTCTGCCGCGGAGCGAAGAAAGTAAAGACGACAGCATTGCCTGTAGTTCAGGAGCTTACGAGGATTCCGGAAGCGCGATTAAATTAGAAAGTTGTAATATTCTCGACATTTATAACAAAGATTCCCGTGCAGAAAATGGATCTACTTTGATCGAGTACGAATGCAAAGACATGGAAGATATCGCGGCGATCGACAAATCCGACTTGTCGTTCCGAAAGTCGAAGTTCGTGATATGCGACAAAGTAGAGGAACCTTGCTATACAACGAAAAGTTCATCGAACTCAGGGAACGGAGGGTGGTCCACGAAATCGATTTGCAGCGGTCGAAATACAGATTATGCTTCGTCTGACGCTTGGTCAATGGAGCCTAATTTAAGTTGTCGTACTAAGGATAGTGAAATACGTAGATGGTCTCTGAAAACTCGCGAAAATGTATGTATTGATAAATCTAGTATTTGGTGTAACTGTAAAGATAGAAGATCCTTTTTCAAGACAGCAGAAAAAGAATCGTGGATGACTTGTAACTGTATAACAGAGGAAGAAGAAGATGTATGCGTCGATGTTAACACTTGTCAAAAATTGGAGAAACCGCCTGTAGAAGAAAAAGAAACAGCAACTGTCTGTTTTAAAACTTCGGAGGATTTGAAAGAAACTGCGAAGTTTGTACCATGTATCCAGGAAAGCGCGGAGAAATTAAAGGAAGATACAGAGATCTTGGAAATGGAGGAAGTCGAGGAAGAAAAGTTGCCTACTGTGACGGAAAAAGACGAAGAACTGAAAGAAATTGTGCATGATGTGCCAAAGTTCGTTCCATCGAGAACTATCAGACCTGAAGTAATTTTACTTAAAAAGCTTCTAAAACAGCCTATACGAGCAAAGCCTATAAGAATTACTGCTCAGAGAGATATTCCCCCGCCTTCTGTTAAGAAAGCAAAATTGCCAGAACCATCGACGGAAGACACGGTTCCTTTGAAACCTGAAATCCAAGTGTCGCCGCGTATTTTAGAAAAATACAAGTTGCCTAAGAGACTGCAGTTACCTGGCAAGTTTGTGCCCAAGGAGCCAACAATTGAAAAGAAACAAACTCTGAAAAAAGTTGAAATAGTAGAAGAAAAATTGGTAGAGAAAGACTTGAAAGAGAAAGCGTTAGAGAAGAAAGAGAATGATATAAGTAAAAATACGAAAACCATGGTCGAGAAAGAGAGAGACAATGACAGAATGAAAGATATGAAAATGATGATAGAGGAAGAGAAAAACAGTGGTAAAGATACGAAGGTTCAGGAAATTTTGAAACCATTATTTCTCTCTAAAGGTTTAAAACAGATTACAGATAAAACGAAACGTCTAGAGTCAATACCCGAGGGATTCGAGGAAAGAAAAAATGGGATCGTTAAACCTCCGCCACTTGATATTGATACCGATAAAATTGTTGATATTTCTGAAACAGAGACTAGCGAGTTTCGGAAAAATCCTACAAATGAACTGAAGGAAAAATGGATTCCTTCTAAATTAAACGAATACATACCAAAAAAAGTACCTATACCGAAGAAAATATCTATATCTATACCGAAAAAAATACGTATGCCTATGTTAAAAAAAATACCTATACTGGGGAAAAAATATGAGCCTGAACCAAATGCAATTAATTCTACAAAATCTCCAGTAAACGGCGAATCCAGTAATAAGAACAACAAAAATTCAAGCATAAATAATCCAACAAAGTCACTTGTAAACGAGGAGAATAAAAAGAATAACAAAAATAATCTCACTTTCAATCCTTCACGACCCAAAAAAGAAGAAATAAATAAGAATATAAAAGATAAAATAAATCCTAATTCCAACGAAGGAAATCCTGATACAAACAAATCATTACTTATTACTAACAGTAAAAATACGCCTGTTTCGCCAACTCAAACTACTGATACTGAATTGGAAAGTCAAGAAAATTCTAAAGATGATGGAAAAATATCTGAAGCTCAAGAGAACATCGAAAACCGCGAATTTCATGAATCATTGACGAAACCACAGTTTGAAGAGAAACTGGATGTTGAAAGAGAGGAAAAGCCTGAACTTCAGATAACTAAAACGCAAAAGGAAAAATCAACTGAAATGATGCATGTTAACGTGCAGTCTGGAAACGAACTTTTATCTAGACAGCTTGCCGAATTAGAATCCCAAACAATATGTACAAATCGTTTAGGCGATTATGCTACAACCGAAAAGAATACGTGCAACTGTTGTCATTTACCGATATATCGATCCAATAACGAACCTGTAAATTATCCTAAAAGTTGCTTAAAAAGGGAAAGGCAATGTCGTCACACCATTTCTCAAGAAAGTAATCGTACAATTCCATACCATGATAAAAGAAACTGGGAAGAGTGTGGTTGTAGAAGAACAATTCCTTGTAAAAATTGTCAAAGGCCACGGAATGAATGCAGGTACGAAAATTCATTTCTCACTATTATAAATGTTTAGATTCAACTATTTGTAGTCAATTCTTCAACTATCTTAAAATTCCATTTTAATTACGCTCGAACAGTTGTAGGTTGACGGTTAACTGCGTAAATTGTTACAAATCGCGAAATAAGTGTAACTGTCAACTAATTTGCGAAAGGAAAAGCAGCAACGGATGCATGAAATCGATGTTCTGTCTTTATTGCGACAATCCACGCGACAAATGCACGTGCAGAGCGCCGATAAAAAAATGTTCGTACTGTGAACTGTCCGTGGATCTATGCATGTGTAAGGATCAGAAAACAATTTGCGATGGAAGACCGGTCCCGACCGAGCCTGATAACGATCGCACCATGTTCGTTACTGCATGGAAGCCTAGAGAAGAAGTACGACGTTACTTCTCTAGAAACTTGGTCGATCTTAAAACCGAATCGATTGGTGAATGCCGCTACTGCGAGAAGCTTAAGCAACACAACTCTGATGACCTTCCTTATCAACGACTAAGCGTCTTTTCTGACGTGATGGATGAATTGCAACAAAAAATAATCAAATCTACTTGTTGTGCGCGATGTAAAAAGATTCCTTGCTGTTGCCACATCACCGTAGAGAGGGATGAAAGGAAAGAGGATAGAAAGATAAAATACTATATCAGGTAGGATGTCTTTGTTAATTTAATTAACCCTTTAACGGTGTAAACCTAACATAATACTATGAATATAATTTAAACGAACGACGAATCACAACATTTTAAATGTTTTACAAAAGTAAAACGCAACTATTAATATTAATTTTCTGTAAATAATAGAAAATGTGTACTTTTTGCATTCAGTATTAAAAAAATGCTCGAAATCTTCGTTGATTACACTGTCAAAGGGTTTAAGTAGAAAGGACATTTCAGATATATCCTATCAAGGTATTATTTGCTGTAGCCCTAAAACACGACGAAAAATTATCGCAGTATGTATGGAGAAAGCAAACAACAATTGCAAGTGTGAGTCTAATCACGCAAAGAGCGATAAACAGAAGAAGATAATAGTAGCTCTTTGCTGTGTTTGCAAAGCAACACCCTGTAGATGCAAGAGATCCAAACCCAGCCAGAAAAAGTTGAAAGCGAAATGTTATTACTGTAAAAATTCACCGTGCATGTAAGTTACGATAACTTTACAAAAGAGAGAAAAGAAAAACGAAGGGGGAGAAATTTCGCGTTAATGGAAATAACTTCTTTCACTAATTACCCCGGACGTAGATCTGGTACTTCCAGTTGTCGATTTTTTTTATTACATTCTTTACTACAGCTGCATTGCAGCCAGAGAGCGCAACAAGTCGAGGCCATGCAGGTGCACTGATTCACCTTGCTGCACGAAAGAGAAGGAGAGCACACCATGCGGAAAAACATCCACGAAACCGAAGAATAATGACGAAAGGACAATTTGTGTGCACTAATGTGACACCTGTGGTTACCTGACTTACAATTTGGAATGTACAGTCAACTGAAACAAATCACCGGTGGGAACAAAGATCAACTCTTTCGAGTGAACTCTAATATGAATCTCACAGTCTTCAGGAAAATTTTCAAATTTAGAAATAAATAGCAATTTCCTCGAATTACATCGTTAAGAATATTTTGTACAACGATTTGCACGATTCTATTGCTTTCTCGATCTTCCATTTCTTGCAATCAGAAGCAGCATTTTTTAACTGATTATCAAACGTAACCCCCACTTCAGCTTCTATAAAGGTTCTATCAAAGTATATGAGAAAGATTGATAGATTCACTTTTACATACGTAATCGTAAAAAAATAGGGGAACTCTGTGATCGCCTTAGTTACGATAGAGCATTCATATTGCAAAACATTCTGATAATGTAGAATGAGTTATTAATGAAACAAGCATTTACTTTTGCTAAAATCACAACATACTATTGTAATATTTTTGTTTTTCCACGTCATGTAAAATATAATTTAAATTAATCTTCGATACAAAAGAATTCTGTGCAATTTTAATTGCAAAAATTATTTTCATTGAATTTTAAGAATTTTTTCTTTGAATTTTAAGAAACGTTACATTGAGTGTTTTGTTGCTGCACTCTGTCCGAAATTGAAGAAAGAAAATGCACTTAAGACCTCGAAAGAATTGCCTAACAGCTGTGTACAAAATATTGCTAGAGTTGTCAGGAGTAGGGAGTATCTTAGGCTTCATACAAGACACTGTCTCCTCCGCTTTATTAGAACGGGACGAACCGTAGACCGACAACGTTTTCTTCCTTCGCTGCACGTGTTCCTTATTTGCTTTCACTTCCAAATAATTTTTCAGAATTCTCTTTGAAAATCAATTCTTCTTCCTTGCTTTTTCTTTATTTTGTCTCGTTTATTTCGATCACGATTTTTTTTTCATTTCTTATTCAATACGACTGAAAAAAGTGACAAATTGAAAAATGCAAGTGTACAGTGAAGATCCTGGATTAATTTGTGTTTCTCGGGACAAACAATTAAACGAGAAGAACGCACGTCAAAGAGAAGTTTCTTTAACTCTTCGTGAACTCGTCGATGCTCTGCACGAAGCTTTCAAAACTGACCACGTGAACATAGACGATGTACAAGATCTGATGGCATCATATAAAAGCAACCCTTTGGAATGGAAAAAATATGCAAAGTTTGACAGATATAGGTAAACTAACAATTTGAAAATTCTGTTAAAAGTTATTACGATAATTTAAAATAAACAGTAAAAATTTTTAATATAAAATATAATCATAACGAAACCATATACTTAATTGTTCGATTAATAACAAACACAAACAAGATCTTATATTTTCCTCTAAATTTTACGGTCGCGAGGAGATTATCGAATTTCTCAGTAAATATATCAGTTGACACACAAACATGACACAACTGCATGAATCGTAAAATAAAATTAACATGGCGAATTTTACGATAGGTTATCATCCATTACTGTTTCTTCAACCCTGATCGTCTATTGAATATTTTGCTTTATTGAAGACACAATCAATCTTAAATAATGACTTTAATAACCTTGTACCCCAGGCATTATCTGTACATAAAGTAAATGACCTTAAGAAAAATAAGAAGGGAACCTCGGATTTATGATAGGAATAACAAAAATTAATTTACTAAAAGCGTCATTATTCTTATCTGGGCAAAAAAAAAAAAAAACATATTACAAGAAGTACTACACTTCAACAATGTCACACTTCGCATATTATTGCTATAATACTAAAATAAATGGAATAACGCAAGCATCAAGCAAGTTATCAGTATATTAAAGCAATAAAAGTATAGTCTGGAATTCCAGAAAAATGTAAATGACAACTTATATGATGACACCATTGCAATAGTTTGATCTGAGACGATGATTTCATTTACATAATCGAAAAATGATAAATAACGTCTATTAAAGTTTATTACAGCAAAACGACATATCAACTAATACATTTGTAATTCCATCTTGTGTTCGTGAGTTAATTACATTTTATATTAATTAATATATGATGTGTCTAGATCATAATTAAAACAATTTAAGAGAATAATTTTTATCAATTTTTTTTCTTTTTTTTAATTAAGAGTAGAAATTCATGTCATTGATTTGAGAAAACAAATGAATTTGTTTTCAACTTTCTCCTCTGTCTGTCATAAAATACAACACAAATTTTGAATGAAAATTAATAAAATAAGAATTGCAAAGATAATGATGACCACGTTATAACATATATGTATGTATATAAGGGGAATTATTACAAGTAAATACTAACATGACCGATTTCTATATCACACGCGAAAGTATGGAAACTGTAGTTCATGTATAAACTCTTTACAGAGTAAAACATACTACGTTAAACGGAAGAAAAACAGTTAACTGCATAAAAATTAAGAGAACATTCATGTTCTATTGATTTCTCTTGTACTTCGTTCGATCAACTTCATACAGACATCGTAGCGCATGTTCTACTTGCGTTTCGTTAATTGACATGGAAGCATTATCATCTATAATGTTATTTAACAATACAATCCAACAAAAAACATGATCAAAAATATTCGACATCATTGCAACCGAAACGTAAGTATGCGGAACATTTCAGTGTCCATGTGTTTTGCACGTAAATCGATAGTGTTTGTACGGTGAACGGCTAGTTATACACACTTTCCACGTATTCCCCCTTCTCTTGAACATTATACTTGATTCAGAACATCGGTTCTTTGACACGCGACACTTATCGGATCGAAAGTAACGAGTGGATGAAACATTTTCATCATTAAACACCTAGAAACAATGCCTATATCGATTATATTCTCAATGAGACAGATTTATTGTCTTCTGGTTTTGTGTGATTCACCAATGTTTTAAATTTAATTTAATAGTATACAAATCCTTAGAGGAAAACTTAAGTGAATCATTCTGCTCAGATATACAAGGAATTTAGTCGATGAAGGAAATGGAAGGTTCAATCTAATGGTTCTATGTTGGGGAGAAGGTCATGGTTCAGCTATACATGATCATGCGAATGCACATTGTGTAATGAAAATTCTGCAAGGTGAACTTTGCGAGGTGAATGAAATATTTTACTTTTTTTCATACGTCGATAGTGAATATATTTTTAAAAAGTTTATGGTTTATGGACAGACACGGTATGCATGGCCTAAAAAGCGCAACGATGAGACAAAGGAACCAGAAGAACTACAAGAATTGGAAAGAAATACCATTGGACTGAACGAAATATGTTACATTAATGGTATAATTTATAGATGCATTATTATCGTTATTATAACACTGATGAGATTTTACTGTAACTTTACAAACAACTTGCAACAGATTCTTTAGGACTTCATCGAGTTGAAAATCCAAGTACTGCGAATCCTGCTATTTCTTTACACTTGTATTCACCACCGTTCTCTTCCTGTTCCGTCTTCAATAAACAAACTGGACAAAGAACCTCGTGTAAAGTTACATTTTGGTCGAAATACGGAGAGAAACGAAACCGGGTAAGATTGCTATTCATTTTTCATTCTTCTATCTTCTTTCTTTTTTTGTGACTATCACCAATATCACCAATATTAGAGTTGCAACTCAAAATTCTTTAAATTTGCAGGAAATCCAAGATGCTAGGTGTCCTGAAGATAATTAATATATCAAGAATAAAATTAATGCCAATGATAATCTTTTGAAAAATTATTCTAGGTTATATAAAATAAAAAGGTAATATAACTATTTTTTAAAATATTAGCATATGATTGTAAAAAAACAAAATTATTAAGTATTTAAAAGTGTGTATTTAAATATAATTAAATGTTCTAACGATTCAATTCATGTAATTATACCAAATTATTCAAAATGTCTTTTGCTAGTATGTGCATTAAAAAAAAAAATAAAAGAAAAAAGTGCGATCAATTTTTATAACGCGAGCGCAGCCAATTAGCTCTTTATTATTTGAAACATAATTAATAACTATGTTTTAAATAATATCGATTGCCCAGATCTCACCACGTGGAGGTTGCTGCAACTGGAGACCCACCCTGATCCACGGCGCCCATCCTCCCTTCCTTTTATGCAAATCTTTCATTCAATCTTATTAGTTTCATTCGATCTACATTTGTATAACGAACTTACTAAGTTCGTTTTACAGACGTGATGTGAATGAACTTTTTTTTCTATCCTACCCGAACGCGAAATTAAAAAATAATCCTTGAAAAAAAACTTTCCTACAATAAAAAAGTATAAATTAATATTTAATAAATTTCTCTTGACAGAAACAAAATGAATAAATATAAATCATCATATACCAACACAAATTTCCCAAACCCTAGAGAACAATAATGTACAAAATCCTACCTCAGCTAATATTTAAGAACCTACCTGAGTTAATATCTAAGCACCTGCCTAAGCTAATATCTAAGCACCTGCCTGAACTAACATCTAAGAACCTGCCTAAACTAATAGCTAAAAATTTCTAAATGAGAAATTAAAGAATAATACCTGAAAGAATTTTCTGAAACAGAAAAGTATAAATAAAATACAACAAATATAAATCATCATATGCTAGCAGAAATTTTTATAATTCCATGTAACAGTGATGTATAAAATTCTACTACTAGTATCTAATAACCTGCCTAAATTAATAGCTAAAAATTTCTAGATGGGAAATTAAAAAATAACACTTGAAAAAATTTCCTGAAACAAAAAAATACAAACAAATATACACAAATCATCATACGTTATAAATTTCTATAATCCGATGTAATAATGATGTATAAAATCCTACCTAAGCTAATATCTAAGAATCTACCTAAACTAATAGTTAAAAATTTTTAGATGGAAAATTAAAAAATAATACCTGTAAAAATTTCCTGAAACAGAAAAAATACAAACAAATATACATAAATCATCATACGTTATCAATTTCTATAATCTGAGGTAATAATGATGTATAAAATCCTACCTAAGCTAATATCTAAGAATCTGCCTAAACTAATAGTTAAAAATTTTTAGACGGGAAATTAAAAAATAATACTTGAATAAAAATTTCCTGAAACAATGAACATAAATTAGTTTGCTAAATAAATGCAAGAATTTCTTTTAATACTAAAATAAAATAAACAAACGTAAATCATACTAACATACATAAATTTCCATACTTATTGGTCATAAATTTCCAACTTTATTGAACAGTACATAGGAAGTCTAAATTAATATATAAAAGTCTGCAAAAAAAGAATTAAATTTTTGGTCAGATTAAAAAATGGAGATTTTTTTCAGACATTAGGATATATGTTTGAATGTACATATAATCATTTAAACATTAATCAACAAAGTATAATAAACAAATATATTTAATATAATGTCATTATCAATCTTACTTATATGTTCTTATAATTGTAACCTGAAACAAATAAACAAATTCATGAATAAAATTATTTAAAAACTAAAAAAATTTGTATAAAAAATATAACTGAAAGCTGAAACAGACAAGTATTTTTATATACATCAAATAAAAAAAATTTTATTTATACAAAAGATATAATTGCATTAAACACTGACATAAACGTAAATACAAATGAGATATAGAAACATACTAAAAATAAGTAAAGAATATAATTCAAACTGAAACAAACAAAATTTATATTATGCAAAAATTAAAGAAAGTACATATATAAAATATAAATCTGTAACAGAAAGCAAATTTTAAATATCAAATTTTACACGTTATTCATTTATATTATATAAACGGTACAATTAAAATGTCGAATATAGTACAAATTGAATTGTAAAAAAATTTGTTTTATATCGTTTTGAATTGTTATCTGTACATCTTCTATAATTAAAAAATTCTGTAATATTAAATTGGGAAGTATAACATATATTTGTATGTTCTTTGAAGTATGAACATATATTTAGATGATAATATTTAACTAAAAGATAAAAATTCATCTTTTAAAATGTTAATTACTACAATGATGATTTCTTTTGATTTAAAAATCATAGTTTTAAATAAATATTCATTTAAAAAAAACTTTAAAAAATCATTTTTAAAATCGAATAATTATTATTAATTTATTCTTCTATATCATTGGCAATAACATCGCGGCGCATTTTATGTAATTTCGATACTGTGAGCATAGTGATAATAAGCAGAAAACAATAATAAAATTCAAATATAAATCTCAAAAATGATTCTCCATTCGATAATGGAAAATCATTCTTTAAAATCTTCAGCTTTTAGCCTCTTCTCTCTTCAGCTTTCTTGTACTAATCCACTGGGTTCTATTCAAGCATTGTTAAATAATGTACATCATACTACGACCAACCATTAACAGAATAGCTGTTCGATGTACAATACACAAGATCTAACATGAATCTTCAAATAGAACCATACTTCATGTCACTTATATACTTCATTTTTCGTCCGAGTCTAGAACTGCGGGCGGACTTACAAACTAAAGGTATGAACCAGAAGCAATTGGAATCAACTAATGGAGCATTAATTGATTCCACTTGAATCCCAGGTACAGATAAATCACGCGACCTAATAGCCTGCCCGAAATAAAGAATGTGATTTTATCTGCCTTTCCTGGACCTACCTACTTATAATTAATACACACATACATACATACCAGAAGCTAGCTATTCTCCCCTCCCGCTAGATCTAACAATAAGACATGACAATACACTCCACGGTTCTCATACATACTACCCAGATGCAAGCCTACCCTAGGGAGATGCGTCCCGGGACGCCTCCGTCATCTGAGTTTGTAGCATTCAATCTTTCATACAGTAAATTTACGTACCAATTGCTGAAATCAACTGACAACATTAGCGAATATTGCGTTAAATATTCATCTGTATAGAATATTTCATTTATATTCATTTGTGTCAACTATATCTGTTATGTATCTTTCAGAGATTTCATAAAACATTCTCTGTATATTATATAATAATTATATCTCTTAACATCATTTTTATTTATATCAGTTCATATTTGTTCGTATATTGTTCATATAATCTGTATAATATTGTCTATACAATAACATACTGTATTTCATGTTCTTCATTTCATATCTTAAATATCAAACTCTGAATTTAAATATAAATTCAGATTTCGTATTTATCTCTTTTTATTATTCTTTTATATTTTATTTCCTTTTTATTAAATTTATCCGATGCAATTCCCATAAACCTAACCACACACACACACACACACACACACACGTATGGAACTTGCATCGTGCACAAACGCTAAATATTGTCAGTCGCTAAAAATGAGTCTTAAAAATAAAACCGTGTTCACCACCTTCATCTATGAGAGAAGCACCTGAGCCCGCTCATAAGTTTCGGGTTAAAAAAAATAAACACGGCCACAATAAATAACACATACCTTGATTATATGCTGAAAATCCTAAACTAAAAGAATCATTAATAAGATATCTAAACGAGCTAATTTTCTTTGTTTGTATATTTAGTATAAAATTATAAAATACATATTTAATAAAATCAAAAGTATTAAAAGAATTTATTAGAAACTTTATTAATTGGAAACTTCCATTAAGTGTAATTGTATTATTTATTTATTGATATCCATTTTTTATTTCATTATATTATATTTTTGGTCGATTCTATTACAAAATATGTAAATATTTAGAAATATAATTAACCAAAAATAATTAGAAATCTAAAAATATATATTTAATAAAATCAAAGATATTCGAAGAATTTGAAAACTTTAGTAAGTGAAAAATTTTGGATGAAAAAAACATTTATTATTTATTTATGATAATCATTATTATGATAATCATTTTCTATTTCATCATATTATACTCTTGGTTAATCCTATTACGAAGTAAATTTCTCGAAATACAATTAAAAACATTTAAAATTATTACTTCGTTATTAGAATTTAACCATCGCGAATTGTCTTCTTGTTCATAATAATATCATTTTACATATAAAACTTATTTATTTTTATTTAATTTTATTTATTTTTAATATATACTCTTTCACAGAATCATCATCATATGTATTATACATTTATTGCTTTTATTTTTATATTTACATTTCATTTTCATAAAACAAGATTAAGACAGAAAGTATATTCAACAAAACAAGCAAATGTTTTTCATGAAATCGGAGGATCATCCGACTTCTACTCTAATAATTTGCAAAAAAGAAACAAGAAAACCCTAACCTGAACTAACAAATATAACAACACATAATAAAACAAAAGGGAAATAATCTTCACTATGCTCACACGCGAAAATATAAAAGATCTTTGAAGTAAAACTCACCATTCGTTAAATAGGTAAATTGTACACATCCATGCACGGCTGCTGGCAATGATAATAACAAACGGCTGCTACCTCAAAGTTGAAATTCGATACACATAAACAGGTACAACTGCATCAAAAATAGGAAAGAACGAACAATAGAGACTTTCTAAAGTTAATCAAAATATTCTTCAATTTTAAAAAGGTTACTTACAATTAATTTAGACTCTATCATTTGGTGGGAAATATTCTTCATTTCTATTATTTTGTACGACATTAATTTTTCTGTAATACAACAAAACAATTTTTAATAATATAAAATATAGAAGTATTAGATAATGTTAGACAACAAACAAAAGAAATAAACTTACATTGCATTCTTATTATGCACATTTATGGACATCGACACTTCTTTGTTTAACGGCAATGTTCATCGGCTATTTTTTGAAACAAATTAAAAAAAAAAACTGTTAATCAATTGTAAATCTAACTAAATTGAGATATCAGTACTGACTTTAAATACTTACGTTTTAAGTTTCGGTGTTAAGCCCGAAGGAGATCCTCTCCTCAGCCAGATTTAACTTCAATTTCACAACGCGACCGAAGTACAGATTTATTTACAACTTTATTTACAACTCGATTAAAATGTTAAACAACAAACGGACACTGACTCTACTTTTACGTTATTATTCAAGTAAAGAAAAGAAATGAGCCACGATGCTCAAAAAAGTATACCACGTAACAAACACAGACTCTACGATCGCATTACGCACGATCACAAAATTTGCTGAAAGAAATAGATAATTAAAGAAGGGAAGACAGGAAAATTCATAGAACACATTTTTGTCAAATATTTTTGTTTCTGTTATACATACACATACAATAAAGTTCTACGAGAATATAGAAAATAGAAAATCATCATTGCAGTAATCATCATTGTATAAATATTTCAATCATTTATTTTATTTATTATATTAATTTATTTAATAAAACATAATTCCCAATTTATTAAAAAAACGTAATCATTAAAATTAATAAAAAATTATATAAACTATTCAGTCATATATAGTAGATAAAATCCTTAATAGTGTTATATTCGTTATTTGTACTATTCTTTATAATTAAAATATTATAGCTAAATCTCTTACTCACTTACGTGTAGCAATTTCAAAGAAATAGTAATAGATACCTCATCAATTTTATCACATAGATAAACATTCCATTTTAATTAAAAATTCTACAACAGAAAATAATAAAAATAATTATAATAATAAAAATAATAGTTGAAATGATATTCATAACACATTAATAATTCTTTTATATAGAACCATTTACAAAAAATTTACAAAAATTTTTAACGGAAATTTCAAACAATACAGTAGACAAGTATAAAAGAACATTTCAAAAAATTGAATTTTAACTCAAGTATTTCATAATTTGACAATAAATTTTCATTAAAAATAGATTAAAATACTAATCTTTCACTTTTTCTTTCACTATTTAAGTAAACAGGTAGTATTTATCATAAAATATATTTGAGAAGAATATTTGTATTCTTCATTAGAGAGATTTTTTTTTCAAGATGGACGCCAAAAGTATAAAATGTTCTAATATTAAAACTAACAATGGCCAAAATGACTTTTCCGTGCGGGGAGATTGTTGAACCCCGTCGGTGACGGTTAAAAAAAAAATTAATTTTGAACATGAAATTATGCTTTTTAGCTGTGTGAAAGACTCATTTTATGCCAAAATGAAAGAAAATTAATTAAAATAAGTATTATTTTCAAGAAATTATGAAAAATAATGAAATTACATATTTATACGATAAAAAAAATTGGCAGAACACTGCCAATTTTTCTTATGATGATAAACTAAGAAAAAAATGAATTTTATAAATGGAATTGCTTACGTGGACTTCCTAATATCTGTCCTCTTCTTTTTATGATCAATTAGATCACATAACAAAAGATAATATTGAAAAATTAATGTATTAAATCCAACTAATTACATAAACGCCTTAACAGGACGAGGACACAACGGCAAATGACCAATTGCAAATAGGTGGAAACAATAACTAAGGGAAGACAATAAATGCATCTGATTGGTCAATAAAAATATAGCGTGAGGGCGGGAGGGAGTATCATCTTTAAACAATAATCCGCACAATATACAATAAAGCTGCATTTAATTTTAATTTGATAAAAATCCTACATTAATAATTCCCATTCTGAAAATTAACTAAAACTACGTTTAATAATTTACTAACACTTCATTCCTTTCCACAATGAATTTAAAAAAAATAATAAAAATATATAGCGTTTATAAATTTAAAAATATTAAAAGACAGGTGATTGGTCCAAAGTTTAATGAACGCTATTGGTCGAAATTTAAAAGTATAAAAGTAAAATGCAAATTCAAATTATTTCCACTTAATAATAAATATTAACAAAAAAAAATGACAATAAATATTAACAAAAAAGACTGTGGCAAATATTAATATGAAAAAAATATGTAATTATATCCACTGAATGGTTGATTGGATCATTTTAAGAAGTAATTTTCATTAAAATTTTAAGTCTTAAAACATGATGCTTATTTTGAGAATATTAACTATTGTTAATATCTAATAATTATATACATCATACATCCTTTATATAAATCTTCATTCTCTCTCTCTCTCTCTCTCTCTCTCTCTCTCTCTCTCTCTCTCTCTCTTTGTTTCATTTTCTTACAAACACATACAGAATTATATGATATTTGGCGCGAGATTTTATTTAATGTATTACTTTAATAAAGTGTAATATTGAAGAAAATATATACAAACAATCAATTAGCATGTGTAGATAACATTCTTTTAATAAATAAATTATGTCTAATTTATCTCACGTACAGCGCGTTAGAATGCTGTACAAAGCAATTTTAAGGTTACATCGTGGTTTACCAGCTGAAATTCAAGCTTTGGGAACTAGTTATGTTCGAGATGAATTCAGAAGACATAAAAATTGTGATGAAACTACAGCAATCATATTTTTGAAAGAATGGGCAGTGAGTAATATTAAGTAATTCAATATTTTTTTGACGTAATTTTGTAGGTTATCTCTATTGTAAAAATAAAAGTATCAATAAACATGAATTAAATTGATATTTTTGTTTCAGTAGCTAAGAATAATCCTAATTAAAATAGATAATGAAATTAATTCATTTTATAGGAGTATGCTATGATGCTTACTAAACAACTTGGACTAAAAGGGCCACGTACAGCTAAACCTCTAGGTCAAAATTTAGAAGAAAAAGATTTAAACAAATTTAGGGATGAACAAATGTATCAGTTGTATGAGCTAATGATTGCAGCAACTGGCAAAAATAACAAGAAAGGAAAAGATACGTAATTTTTTTTTCTCTTAAATTACTTCATATTTTATAGTTTTCAGGATATGTGATATTACATAGTATATCATTAATGCAATTATAATTTATTGAATGCAATGTCATTGTTATAATTCTTACGTATATATACAATCCATAAAAATTTAATTTAAATGAGATATGTTATAATATTTCATAACTTGTAATATATTTAACACATTCTAATGTATTTAATGTTATAAAAAATATAAAATAAAGAAATTCCAACAAAAAAACAAGTGTTTTATTATATTGATAGAGTACTGATAAAAATATAACTGAAAAATTAAGTAAAGCCAACAAATATCAGAAAATATTCAATTCAAACTTAGCAATTGTGAAAAAAGATAGTACCGATAAATATTCATTTATTTTATCATTGAGGTTACGTTGTAAGTATACAAGTGTGGACAGTTAAGTTATAACTACGTCTTGTGGAATTATAACCTTGTAAATTATTTTTATTTAAAAATTTTTTAAATTACAAACATAAATATAATATAAAATCGTAAGTACGTTAATTAAAACAAGAAAACATGAAAGCTTGGAGAGAATCTGCTAGTTTAATATTAGCTGCACGTCATACAAAAAGATATATTCGCTCGTCTTCTACAAAGGTAATTTAAGCTATATGTTTGATTAAAATGTTTATATCATTTATTATTATTACATAATGAAACTTATTGTTGTTATAAAAAGAAAATAATAATATATATATAACCAAACTTACAATATCGATATTATATCGTATTTTTAAATCATACTTTATACACAAAATACGCGCGAAAATTTGAATCATTCTTTACTTAAATTCTTTACATGAATTACTTTTGTTAGAAAAACAGCTATTAAATACTCAAAATTTAGTAATAATATCTAGTTTCAGTATAATTATAATCTACTGTGTTTGAAACGTCATCGGAATTCGAAGTTCTTGCCCAATACATATGTTTTTCCTGGAGGAGTAACAGATCCATCCGATGCTGATTTAAAATGGCACAATCTTTATACCGCTTTCGGTTTTGATACTAACAGTTTTACATCTCTAAGTCTAAATACTTCAAATCGTCCTCAAATTTTCAAATTTAGACCAAACGAATTGCCAAAAGAAGTTTCATTACGAATTACTGCAATTCGTGAGACTTTCGAAGAATGTGGTGTACTTCTTTGCAAGCAATCGCAAGAAGATAGACGAGAAGATTTTGGTTGGGCACAATATATGAATAGTAATTTGATTTACATATGACAATCATTAGAATGAAATCTATTTTATTAAACTAAATGTCAATTATTCTTCCTTGTCCAGTTTCTGAAAGTGAATTATACAATTGGCAAACAAGGGTACACAACGATGCTAGAGAATTTTATACATTATGCGAAAACTTTAACTGTTATCCAGATCTATGGTCCCTTTATGAATGGAGTAACTGGTTAACACCAACTCATCTTACTGAACGTTATGATACTGCTTTCTACTTGGCTTGTGTTTCAACTGTGCCTCAAACTATTTGTGAAGTTACAGAAATGGAAAATTTGAAAGTAAAATTGTTTTAATAATGTGTCAATATAATGTGATTGATATATATTAATTTTTAAATATATTTTTTTTTAATTTAGTGGGATACGCCCGGAAATTATTTATTTTCATCTTCTGACGTTGCATTTGCTGTGCCACAACAGTATGAAATTGCAAGAATAGCGAAGTTCGAAAGTATACATAATTTAATAGATTTCGCAATTGATCGTAGTAAAATGGGCGTACTCTTAAATTTACCGGTAAGTAAAAGAATTTTCAAAAACCTATTTTAATACTTAAAAAGTGACTTTAACGATATATATTATTAGGTAAAAATAGAATTACAAGATGGAAAAGTGCTAGTTTTACCAGGAGACTCAATGTATCCAGATAAAGTTAATTTGCTTGAGAAACAAATTATTAATAGAACTGACATCACTATTTCTGAATTTCGAGATATATCTCCTATAAAAAATAGAATTGAACTTTTCAATCTCCAAGTGAAAGAATTTTACGTTCAAAATTTTGATAGTGCCGATGGCCATTTGGCTCCTCTTCAGTTAAGAAATGTTTCTATTGCAATGACACATGAAAATTCTAAATTATAATAAATATATTTAATAATGTACAGTTCTCTTTTAATATACATTTTTATCAAGTGCTAGTTGTAAGAATCACATTTTATTGTACTAAGCTATTAACAATTATATATTAATTTTTAATAAAGATATATTAATATATCGATTTGTTATAATTATTTTGCAATGAACATATATATATATATATATAAATATTTCGTAATGAACGTATTATTTATTTCGTTGAAAAATAGCGGGAAAAAAGCGCGGGAAAGGTAGTAATATAGTAAATATGGCTGCTTTAGTGTTTAGGTGCTTTAAAAGACATTAAATTAGTAGTAGGCAAATAAAGTATTTTTAAATAGTTACGTATTTTTCCATTTGTAATTTTGTCAATTGTAACTATTATATAATATTTTTTTCTAAAAAAAATTGTATGAATAATTATATAAAGCAATAGAATTACAAATGAGTTTGGTATAACAGAAAGATTGAGTATATTTTTGAAAAAATGGAATATACTAAAAAAAGAAGATTAACAATTAAGCCGAAAAATAATGGTCTTGAGGATATTTATCAACATGATTTGCAAATGTATGACTTTCCTCCAAGAGGGGAACTACTACTTACAGAATTTGAACAATTGGCTAAAGAAAGATTAAGACGTAAGTACTATTGAATTTCATGACTGATTTGTCATTTGATTTTAATTATCATCAACTATATATCATTATAATTTTTTATAGTTCTACAACATGTTGAAAATAATGCAGTAAGAACCGATCTTAAAACACTAGAAGAACGTAAACAAAATCTAAGCACAGCTTTAACTAAAGATGGGCTTAAATATTATGCACATCTTCTATATGCAAAGAGTTGCAACTCACCAACAGAAACAGATTTAGAATATAGAAGAAAAGATCATATTTCACATTTTATATTGAGACTGTCATATTGCTTTGAATCAGACAACCTGTCATGGTTTATAAATCAAGAAGTAGAGTTTTTCAAACTAAGGTTTAGTTCATTAGATAAAGAAGGAGTAGAAAAATTGCTTAATACGCATAAAATTGAATGTCAACAAGTAAGAAATAGAATTAAAACAAAACAAATTCATTACTGATTAAAATTATGATTGTTTCTTTTTTTTTTTAATGTTATTCTAAGATTACACCAGAAGAAAAAGATAAATTTAGGGAAGAACTTCATTTATCTACATCATCCGCAAGAGTCAAGAATATTGATGTGACAGAATTTTATAAAGTGCCTTTTCATAAAGTTACTGACTTAATTAGATCACGTAGAGTTTATTTGAATCAAGGAATAGCATTTATACCACAAGCAGACTTAGTATCTTTATTTGCTTCTTATTTTAAAAAAAATTTATATGATGGCATGCCAGTAAGATTTTTTTATTGCCCTAATTAATCAAGTACTGTTTAAATTGTACTTCATTTTGTGTTTTTTTTCAATATATAGGAAGCAAGAATGTCTGTTGGACGTATGTATGGCGATGAGAGAATAACCTCATGTCTCAAATCTCTAAATAATGTTGCTGATAGAATATCTGTTGTTTGGACCACTGATACTACACCTGTGGATAAATTAGATGAGGTAATCACTTTATTTTTCATAAACTTACATTTGTACAATGTTGCATAATTTTCAGTTATCAAAAACATCATATCCCTTATGCATGAGAATATTACATGAATCACTTAAAACTCATCACCATCTTAAAAACAGTGGACGTATGCAGTATGGTTTATTTATAAAAGGCATAGGAGTAACAATGACAGATGCTTTGTCTTTCTGGAAAACTGAATTCACAAAGAAAATTGATTCAGCAAAGTTTGATAAAGAATATGCCTATTCTATAAGACATACTTATGGTAAAGAAGGTAAACAGACGAATTACACTCCTCTTGGATGTCCAAAAATTATATCTTCTTCTGTAAGTGCTGGAGAATATCACGGTTGTGCATTTAAACACATGGATCAGAATTCATTGAGGCAAAAATTATTTAATTATGGTGTACCTGCAGCAAGTAAGAATATTCTTTCTTTACTTTTAAATTCTAAAAACGATATTTACAGTTCTGTATATTTCAGCTATTAATGAAATAGCAGATCTCGCCAGAGAACAGAACTATCTTGGTGCTTGTACAGCATACTTTAAATTTATACATAAACGTATGCCAGATAAACTTATTAGTCATCCAAATGTATATTTCGCGGAAAGTCGTGTTATATTAGCTAATAATGGAACAGGTATAATAACGTTTCATATTAAAAAACTACATATCTAAATTGTTTTAAGAAATAAAGTTATTTTTGTTTGGTTACATAGAATTGGAAAATAAAGATAGACTTTCACAAAGTGGAAGATTCACTAGTCCTGGACTTGCATCTCCCAGCATCGGTACTCCCAGAAATATTGATAAAGGTATTGGTACACCTTTAAGGAATACCATGACACCTAAGAGAGATAGAGGTTCTATGTCATCAACAAAAATGGGAAGAACAAATATGACTCCAGTTAGAACCACTAGAGCAACTCCAAAAAGAATAGAAACCCATCTCAATGATGATGATATTGCTCAATTAATGAGTGAAGATATATGAAGTGTAAAAAAATATATATTTGCTAAATTATGTACTATATTTTTATTGCAAAATAAATAATATTTTTTGTCTTGCTAATTTATATTAATTCAGAACGGTATTATACATAACTGTTAACCTCCTTTAATGATCTCTTGTTTGACATATTTTTCTTTACATTGCGAACCATTGATTCTACCAATGTCTCTAAATTGTATTTGTGTTGCCAACCCCAGTCCCGACGCGCCTCACTGTCATCAAAAACTTGTGGCCAATTCTCAGCTAAAATTTAAATAATACATTGTCTTTTTATACATAATATATGATATATAGTAAGTGTTATAAACCAACCAATATATTGTCTTGCATCTGGTTTATATGAAATCTTTAAATCTGGAACGTGCTTTTTAAGTTCACTGAATAACTCTTCGGGTGTGAAACTCATGGCAGTAACATTGTACACCCTTCTTTGTAATTTTTCGTTTGGAATGTTTAAAAACTGAAAAAGCGCTGACAAACAATCTTTTATATACATCATTGGTAATCTTGTGTAAGGTTCCAAGTAACACTCGTATCTTTTAGTCACTAATCCTTCGTGAAAAACTGCAACCGCATAGTCTAAAAAAAAAAAAAAGATATAATCCTATACAATTATTAGTTATATAAAAAATATCTTTTTTTTTTACAATTCATGGTTTTATTTTTCATGTGAGTTTACTGTTTTAAGATTTACGCTTCAGGAGATAAGGGAAACGCAAGAAGCGATCTCACGGTTCATGATCAAGAGACGCTCAACAATTTACTAATACTATTGTCCTTAAAAACCAATGAATTGCCTTATTATTCTAATGATGATGCTCCAGTTCATGATGCAGGCAAATATTTTTATAATAAAAGTTTGTACTTTAAAATCAGAGATAATAAATAAATACAAAGATAGAATAAAGAATAAAAAATGATTAAAAATGCACCTGTGGTACCACCACCTGGCGGATCACTACTGATGACTCCTGGAAATCGAAGACATCGGAAATCAAGGCCAAATCTGTGATGATAATATTCGCCTAATAATTCAGCGTGGACTTTGCTAACACCATAAATTGTTCGTGGTCGCTGAATAGTTACATTCGGTGTAGGATTCCGCGGTGAATCTGGACCAAAAGCTCCGATCGTCGACGGAATAAATATTCTTAATTTGTATTGTTTTGCCAATTCGATAACATTATGCATTCCTAATGACAAAACATATTTGTCTCATTGCGCAAAGATTTTCTTGAAAGATAGCTAAGAAAAAGCCACTTTCTCTAACTTGCTTTCTTTCATGACTACGTTAACTATATAATTATTATCACAATGACGGATTCACTTTATACGATATTCCATTTCGTTCAAATATTTATTTATTTATTCATTATACTTTGTCGTAAAATTTAAAAAAATTATGTTACCTTCTATATTGACTCTCACAGCTAAAGGAACATTTTGTTCGCCTACAGCGCTAAGAAGAGCACTAAAATGAATTAGCCAGTCAATTCTGTAATTCACTACGATTTTTTGAAGCCCTTTGAAATCAAGAATATCAGCAAAAATGAACGGTCCGTTGGATAAACTTTCTTCTGTCGGCTTGATTATGTCAGATAATATCACGTTCTCGTTTCCATAATTTTTACGAAGTAGCTTTGCACACTCAGTACCCAGCTGTCCAAGACCACCTTATAAAAATATATAAAAAGAGTTTATGTCAAGTAAATTTTCATTGCTAATGAATGCATAGCGAAAACAGGTTTCTTGTTTTTTTAAATTCAGGATGATTATTGATTTTACACTACATAGTGATATGTATAATACAAATTTGAAAAATTCACAAACAAACGACTAGATAAATTGTTTATCTAGAAACGTACGCACCTGTAATAAGTATCTTTGGTGATCTATCGACAGTGTACGATCTATTGATTGTAGTTTTCTGAAACGAACAATCGTTTATAATGCGATAAGTTCTCAAAATATTTCTTGAGAAATTGTTACACCACATATTTCGAAATTCGAGATAAACGACAAAAATTGATTCTTTTTTATTTAGTAGCTCGAGGAAGAATCCGTGGAAGCAAATGTGGTTCTCGAAGGACCATGAAAAACTGAATAATTTCCTCGACTCGATCACCAGAAACAACTTGCATAATTATGCGATCTAATACGCTTGATTCTGAAAACCAGTTGTAACACAGATTGGTTCCTTTTCCTTGTGTTTGTGCTTTTATCAACGTAAGATCAGTTTAATACTTCAAATGCCACGTGTCTCTCATTCCTAGGAGGCACAAAACATTCCGTAGAAGTTCTATCTTCCACGAAATGGAAGATGATCCTATCTACTCGAATAGAAACTTTTGTAGTTAAATTAGAGAAATTTGTGGTTTTGTAACGCTTTTCTTCGTTCAGTTGTATAGGATTTTACAGTAATTTACAAAAATTTTACACTGTCTAACAAACATTTTTGAGAATAAAAAAAATCATAGACTTATACGATGTAATGACTTTGAAAAGTAGAGTGAAACTGACAAATTAACTCGAACAGGCGGCTAGGAAAGTATTTTAAACAAATAATTGTCTCAATGCTCCTTATCTAAACATATATGTACTACTCTTGAGCTGGCGAGCACAAATGTCAGCTTGATTTGTCACAAATGTCTCAGATTTCTTTGTTGCCCGAAATTTATTCAATGACAAATGATTACTTATTGCAATTGCTATTAATGCTAAAAATTAAAAGAAAAGAAATCGATTTTAAACAATCTCAATTGTAGTATAAAGGCAAGTAGATTAATTATAAGCACATATACTGTTAATCTGTCACACTGCCGTGATGCTTGAATTTGAGTCCTGCAGGAAATACACTTGATTCTCGTTGGGCATTCAACGTGTTAAATAGATCACATTTTATTCAAATATTTAAATCTTTTTTCTGAAAGAAAGGAAATTTTTTCGGTATTATTTCGAATCGAACTAACGTCTGTTTCCTACATCTTACAAAAAACGGATAAAAGAAGACGGTACTCATGTCATCTGGACTGGAACACATTTAGCTGCACGTTCCTAAGAAAATCGTGGAAATCACGATCCTTAGGATCCAATTCAAGTCAAGGAATTGTCGAACATTACAATAAATAGAATTTATTTTCATTGAGATAACGATAAAAAAAAGAAAAAGAAAAATATTAAATTTTCGTAAGCATCACTTTTGCTCGATCTTCTCAATAATTTATACATACATCAGCCATTTGAAGTTAATCATAGTTTCTTAAAAATCTTCTGCGAGACTCGAAGTTTCAAGCAAAATTCAAAAATGCCTGATCTTAAATTTGAAATTTGTCACTGTCGTTAATTTAGCAGATAGCAAAGATTTGGTGGAAAGGGAAGAATTTCCTGGAAGCGTGCCTTCACGGTGGTTGGACACAGCACTTCGCAATTCTCTTTTTGTCCCGCTCGCCATCACCCACGCCACAGTCATCTTCTCCCCTCGACTTTGTGTATCAGCCCGCTTTGCAACAAAACTTCTTCGTGTAGTTAGTCCGTGTCTGTTCGTGTACCGAGGCTTTGGCCTTTCAAAAACAGCTGTAAAACATGTTACTCTTTTATTTGTGAACAAATAGTGCTGTTTTATCGCTTATCGAAGGAAATACAGACAGTTTCATAGAAATCATCGGAACTAGAAGAAGAAGAGGACGTGCTTATTCGGAAATAAGTGAGAGACTTTTGGCGAGTTAGACAGACTCGAAAGGTAGGAATAATCTAATAGACAGGAAGATTGGATAATTTTGCTTTTTCGAGTTGTAATGTCAAAAAATTTGGAAAATACGCTCGTAATTAATAATGTGTAGACATAGTTTTTATTATTCCGCGTTATTCACTTGGAATTTATTTTGGAGTTGCCTAATTCCGTGTAGTTGAGGTCTAAAGAGAACCAGAACTGAAAAAAGGAAACGAAAGAAGCATATATCACTTTCACTGGTATCGCGCACGATCGCTATGATTCGATCGTAGTTATAGGCGATAATGATAACAATAGAAGAGGTGCTGCACCCGTATCAATTGTACACGTTGTAATTCGCCATTAGTAGGACACGTAATGAAGGATTATATCAACAACTGTTTGCAGAATCAGTTCGAGTCACGCGAAGACTCGTTTGTCGCATATGTTCATAGAAAAGACTCGTTCGCTATACAGTCAAATTCTATGGTTTAATTTAAAAGTTCACTGAACGATGAAAAGCAATTTCCTAACAATCGCGTAATCTAGTTTAGAGGAATGCAAATGTAATCACGTGAGTGTAACGACCTGTATACCTCGATTCTGATGCGCTTCCTTAAATTTAAAACAGGGCAGGCACACGGTTTAAACGGATCCTTTAAACTGACACGTGGTTCTTCAATTAGTGGTCCTTTCTTTATTAGTGATCACCGTGATATCGACATTCTTTATGTTCGACTGCTTTTCCAGGTCGTCCGATTGTTCCTACTTACGGAAGACGCGTTATGAAACACACGTGGTCACCCGTGACACTATCCAAGAACACCTTTGTTTTCGTTCTATCAGATAGAGTAAAAAGACTTTCCTCTTCCGTATTGATTACCTTAAGTTAATCCTTTATTTCGATACTCTATTCTTCGACGTTGATGTCGATACGGATAAGAATGTCGAAATAGAATGTATTTCAACATTGTTTGTGAAATATGCTTTATACTCTGCAACTGTACGCAGAGTCGGTTGCAATTAGCAAAAATAGTTAATTAATTTTGGTTAAGGGGGATATAATGGTAGCTGTGTGGTTGCTTCAGAGTAATTATTACGGGTAAAAATTGTCCTAGCGGTCTTTAGCTTTGCTTACGGTATGAAGCATTAATTTTGTCGTCTACGACCGTGACGTGTAGACAGTACGTATACACATGTACACGCGTTTCTCGGTTTACGCATAAAGAAAATATCGTAACATCCAAGGGCGGTTTAACACTCGACGGTCATGACCAGTTTTATGAAGAAACTAAAACGTCTTATATTTTCATAATTTAAAACGAAGGTTGAACGTCCTAGACGAAACATTATTTTCCAGAAAATGCGGGGTTGGTATTTAAGGTCGTGAACCCAGGATCCAAATGCGCTATGATTGAACTACCGTGGGGTGGAGGCCTCTTTATAACTGGCTGGTTTCTGACACTGTTCTTTACCAGTGTCGGTGGTCAGTTAGGTTCAGAGTACGGATGCCCTACTCAAGAGAGGATTCTACCTTGCAGATGTTCTACTCGTGACATGGAGATTCAAATATGGCAAGTGTCGCGCTTTGAATACGAGAGAAAAAGCCAGTCGGGTGACATTTATTCCTTGTCTGTCAATAGGTGCAGTCATAGCGAGTTGCCAAAAGTTCTCGAGGGATTGAAGGCAGTGAGCCATTATTTAGATCGACCAGTAGACGAGTTGATCCTGGAAAACAATAATTTACCTAGTCTGCCGGGCAAAGTTTTCGCTACTCTACGTGTTCTTCGTTTAATGCTTCGAAACAATCGTCTTGAAAGAGTGTCGTCAGGATGGCTAGAGGGTCTTCACGATTCTCTTCTAGAGTTATTTGTCGTGGAACCGGATTTACGTTCCTTGCCGATAGACAGTTTAGAAAATCTACAAGGCCTCGAAGCGGTGACGTTGCAGAGTAGAGTGATGAAGAAACTGCCGAAATTCTCCGGACTGCCGAAGCTTAGATATCTGCAGATTAACTCTCCGGCCCTATTGGAATTGGCTCCGAGAAATTTCCATGACTTGCCCAATTTGGAACAGTTCCACGCTTTCGGTAGTCCACGTCTGATACGCTTAGAAGCTGGTCTTTTTCGGGGCCTACCGCGGCTCGAATTGATGAACATCACGGACTGCGGAGTTCACTGGGTTCACCCTCGAGCGCTAATAGATCTGCCAGAATTGAAAGAGGTTTCGTTAGTTGGAAACTCGATCGTAGATGCCGGCATGATTGGCCGTGCCTGCATGGATCTACCTTCGCTTTCGGTGATACGGTTGGACAGAAATCGTATAAATCGTCTTAGCGAAGGAGCCTTCACGGACTTGCCCGTTCTCTCTCGCTTGTACTTGTCGAGGAATTATATTACCGAGGTGTTCGCTGGGGCATTTCAAAGAATGCCAGCCTTGAAAACGGTTGATCTCAATCACAATCTAATACACCGCATACATCCAGAGTTCTTTCCGCGTAGGCCTGGAAATATTTTGGAGGAGATGTGGCTGATCAACAACGATCTGAGCCACGTAACCGAGCTGAGATCGATAATGGAAGCATTGCCCAGACTGAAGTTTCTCGACGTCAGTCACAATCAAATCGAGGAGATACCTTTTGGGGCACTAAGGGGGCACCTCACACTGGAAAGGCTTCACCTTGATCACAATAGAGTGGCCTTTCTGCAGAGAGAAACCTTCACCGCGATGCCCGCTCTTAGGGAACTCAGATTGAAAAATAATTCTCTGTCAAACGTATTGGAAGCGCCGTTCTGGAACTTGCCAGCGTTGAAAGTAAGTGGTCGACAGGTGAAACATCTTCCTAAGTCCTGGCTCTTAATCGTCGTCTGTTACAATTTCAGGGTCTAGATCTTTCCGAAAACTACTTTCGCCATCTAGAGCCTCGTTTATTAGCGAATTTGCCAAGTTTGAGACGGTTGGATATTAGTGGGAACGCGATTGGCCTCATAGAGCCTGACTCGTTTTTAGGTACACCTGCTTTAGAGCACATCAACATCTCTGGAAACGCGCTCTCTGTTCTTCATCCACTGACGTTTCATCATCTGACTAATCTCTACGAGTTGGACGTCGGTTGGAATCGAATGCTCGAGATAGTTCCGGGCTTACCGAGAAACATAGAACACCTTTACATGCCTATGAATCGAATTATCGTTCTACCAGCTGTATCTTCTCAAGATCTGGATCTGCCGGTTCTGAGGTCCTTGGACCTCAGCGCGAACGGGATCGAAAGAATACCACCAGGAACTCTGACCGATTTGCCGAATCTGAGAAAGTTAAACTTCGGTTACAATTCTCTTCGACTTTCAGAAGACGGCGCCTTCGAGGGGTTATCGAGATTAGAGCAATTAGACTTGAAGTATAATCGATTAGTCACTCTACATGGACGAAGTTTCCGACCACTGAGATCGCTGATGGATTTGAACTTGCGGGGTAATCGTTTGGAAGTTCTAAGGCCGGATATCTTTCAGGAAAATATTCGATTGCAAAGATTGGATCTCAGCAGGAACAACCTTGCGCAAATACCTCATGCAACTTTTTCAAGTACCAGGTAATAAAGGAATTCAAATTTCTCGTGTATAACCAAATGATACACTGGTACCATAATACGTACTAGGTGAAGGTGCTACGTAAAGGTGCGCCGTTTTTTGCACGTCAACACGCGAGTAGAAAAGCAGTTTCACTCGTGGTTATGTGGTTGCGTCACTAGTAAATTGGTACCTAGAAAGTTCTTCGTGCCCATGTTGAATGTCCCCTTCTACTTGCGAGGTGGCACCATCCTGGCGTGTCGTTTATTTTCTACCAGTTTGTATAATTTTAATGTTCGAACTCTAATTACTGAAATGCAGAAGAAAGGCTCGATTGAAGAATACTTTATAGAAATTTAATAATCTCTTTTTTTTATCTAAATTTTTATTATTTTTCGTTTATTATTATTCTTCAGTTTTACTCTCTTGAAGTCTGAGAATTTATAATTATTTATGTCTTCTTTTTTTTTGAAAATTGAACATTAATCGTTTAGCTTAATTAATTTAATCCTCAATCGCCTCGATGTGCCAATATCAGTTAATTCCACGTGTCTTTTCGTAATTAGAGTTTCAAACTGATAGAGTCTTAAGCCTGCCAAGACGCGTTTAGGCAGACCGATTTGTCAAAGTCAGAAACGACTGTTTCTGTTAATGATGCCGTATCAAAGGGAGGAAACGACGTTAATTGCAGAGACCTTCGTGAACTATACGCGTCGCACAATACTTTGACCGAGTTACCCGGATCGTTACACGGCTTAACAGCTCTTCAGGTACTCGACTTGAGCTTCAACAAGCTGAACATCCTGTCGCCGGAAACATTGAGCAGCCTATCGGCCTTGCTCGAGCTCAAACTTGTCAGGAATCGCATCCGTGAATTGCGTGAGGGCGCCTTCGATGGTTTGCCACGATTAACGTTAATCGATCTGGAAAATAATGATCTCAGAATTATCGAAAGAAACGCCATCAGAGCTCTGCCTGAGCTACAGGCGATACGACTTGGAAAAAATCGATTGCAGGTAGCAGAGAATATTTTCCTTCCTTTTACAATACTTTAATCGAGAATTCGTAAATTACTGTCGCTACAACTGTTTGAAAATACGTAGATAATCCCAAGCGGAGCATTCACCGAATTGCCATTGCTGCAGAGTGCAGAACTTCAGGAAAATCGGATTCAGGAAATTGCCAGTAACGCATTCATTAACGTGCCCCACCTTCTCTTTCTTAATCTAAGCCACAATCATTTGCCATCGTTGGACTACGTCGGCTTAGAGAGCTTGCGTTCCCTGGAGGTTTTGGATTTGAGCAATAATCGATTGTCCAGAGTGTCGAGCAACAGTTTGGCGTCGATGGAGTGGCTGGTCGAGCTGAAAGTAAGTAAAATAATAAGTGAAAATAGAAAAGAGAATTGCTTTACGGGCTGTTTGTTAATAAATCCGTTAATTAAAGGGAAGTAATAGCTTGCGAGCAAATTTTCTGTGAAATTAAGCATTCGAGAGTGAAAATGAATCGAATAGTTAGTGATAAAACTCGATTTTCGTAACGATAGCGTTAAACGCAAACGAAGAATGAAGATAATGACTGTGGTGGGGATAGTCTTTAGTAATAACGGGGAATACTTTCTCGACGAGAGTGAAACTTCGCCATGAACCGTGCGAGGCCACTCGTTATGCTAGCAGAGCAATTATTCGTATAGCTGCATCGTTAATTAAGAAGATAGTGGCTTGTTTTACATGCGTCGTCCACTTTAATTGCAGATGGACAACAATCGTATTTGTACCATCCACGGTTCGCCTTTTGATGAAATGCCGAGACTTCGAGTGCTCAGTTTGAGAAGTAATCGAATGGCTTCCGTTTCGGAAGCTGCGTTCAAAAGATTGCGATCGAACATCGCTGTCTTAGATATCGATGGTAATCAAATTTGTTCTCCTCTTCTACTAGCTTCTTCCATTTTGCGCTACTATTTCATAAGAATTTATTTCGTCGTAATAAAGGCAATCCACTTTCGTGTTCTTGCGGGATGTTATGGTTAAGAGGATGGTTGCAGCAAGCCTCCTCCGAAGGTCCAAGATGCGCAGATGGATCTTTATTCAAGGAAATTAGATTGTCACGTCAGGATTGTCAACGTGAAAGACAAATCGACCCGATCCACCCGGGCTGCGAGGCGGAAATGATCGACGTTGCTCCATATCCAGTCTCCTCTTCCAGTAAGTAACATTCAAAAATTATCACTTTCGTTTGTTAACACACAAGACGCTTAGAAAATATTTTATCAGTATTCGGGGCAACGGAGATGGTGCCACTTCGTATGAATTTAAAGGAGTCGTCAACGCGAAATCCTCCTAATGCTCAGGATACCGATTACTTCTACGATTATTCAGATTATCAAGATAGTAAGAACAACGCGTCAAATGTAACTTTCACGTCGGCTCAGTTTGTGACTACAGTAGCAACGGATATCGTGAAAGCCACTCAGACAATGGAGAATGTTCAACCTTCGACGAACGATACTATTCCTATAAAAAAAGTGACTTCGATGCCTCCCTCTCCTAGTAGCTCTGGTTTTACATTTTTCGGGGTCCCTTTACCTAGCCTCAATTTCAATCTTTGGGGTAATTCGAGGAAAAAATTCGAGAGAAAGAATTCTTCGGAAAGACCTGGCAGAGGTCGTTACAGAACATTCCCACCTACAGAACCGGAAATTCACAGAGGTGGTTTTATACCGTTACCACGTGGACAAGGTGGGTTTGTACCTATCGTTGACCCTAGACTGACTTTCGAGAAACAGATTAAAAATGAAACTTCGAAAATTCAAAATTCAAACGTCACTCAAGAGGAGAAGAAACGATGGAAGAATGGGAATGGCACGGTTGTGAAAGTTGAAAGGACCTATCCAAGAACAAACAAAACTAAAGCGGGATCTAAAGAAAGAGAAGAATTATCCACAATGTCAGTTAATGAACAAAATTCTCGTTGGCAAGTAACTGGCGCGAAAAAAATCAGGTAAACAATTGAATAAGCTGTTAGATTTAAACAACGTTAGACATATTTTATCATTTAATCTTTTCAGTCCTGTTGCTAATAAAACATCGGATTCAAGTACCGCCGCAGACGAATCATTCCAAGAGACAAATGAAACTTCGACATTTACTGAAGTTTATAGTGGAGAAAGTCTAGAGATGATTAGAAAAGCAAGCAAGAACGGAGAAAAGCTACAAATAGAAGTTGCAAGTAGAATTGTCTGGACTACTCCAAGAACTGTCTTGGAAATGACCAAGGAAACATCGACAGAGACACTGAGAGGAGAAAAAAATTCATATTGGGATACTGAAGCGAACGAATTTCAAGAAACGTACAATCCTGCAATAAATGCCAAAAACGAGTCAATTGGTAAAGTTATAATTTGTATTGTAATTTTTTCTGACAATATCAAACAAGTAAATCTTTAACATTGATCGTAGATGATTCGGGTGTAATGACAGAACGACCAACTTCTCATTCAACGTTCTTGGAAAATCGAAAAAATATTTCTTCTACGTCCCAAGTTTCTCGAGAAACAGAAGCATCGGCTCTTTCAGCGTTTCTAGTTCCAGGAGGTCAAGTGCCTTCATTGGTTCCAAATTTGCGTCCACTAGGTAGACCAACGATAACGAAGGTTCCATCACCACGTATTGGTCTTTCTGGAGAATCAGAAAAACAGAAATCCGTGGCAGAAGCAGTTCAACGGAACTTGGAAAACGAGCAGGAAAAATTATTTGGCATAGACGGATCTTCCAATGAAAATAGCGAGATTTTTGCAGACAATTCCTTCAATTGGTATTTCCAACATTATAACGACACTAATTTAGAACCATTCGTTGGTGTAGCGTACAGTGTAGGTGAAAAGACAAATGCGGCTCGATGGACTTTATTGGGTCAAATATATCTCTCTCTTATTTTGTACATTTTCATATAAAAACATGAAAGATTAAATATAGATGAAATATCTTCAGCACAATTAATTTATTAAATAATTAATATTTGAAGTATTCTTAATTACGTGCAAAATATTAATTAATCGATGAAGAGACTCCAAGTGCTATTGGATCAATGTCAAAGAGTGTCTTAATTATGAAAAACAAGTAGCATGTGTCCACAAAAGCTTGTTTTAAGGTTCGTAATATTGTGCTTCACGCCTATTGTCAAATATGAGATTTTATAATAAGACAGTAATGCATAATTGATTTATTATGCACCTCGTGATGGTTCTGCTGGTTTCTATTAATGAAAAATAAATGAAGTTATAAATTCGAATGATCAATTTTTTTATTAATAACGCAGTATTGATAAGAAAGCTCAGGTTCTCTAGAAAATATGTTTGTAATACCTAAGAATTGCATCTTATAATCTTAATCTTATCTGCTACTTTCAGATAATATAGAAAACATCGACATATTTCAACGTACTTCGAACGACAATTGAATGATATTAGTTTATGAAGAAATTATGAATTTTTCTTATCGATATCGATACATTATATAAAAGTTATAAATAGTTTGAAGCAGTTTCTCATTCCTAATATGAAACAAAAAAAACGATTAGTGAACACGATTTTTTTTCTCATTTGAATTAAACATAATGGACACAATTGTATTATGCCTCGTAAACGTTGTTTGATATTAAAATTTTTATTAATTGTGCAATGTATTTATTATAATTCGTGTTTTACTATAAATGATGATGGAAATGTGTAACTGCGTTTTTACTATCATATCTTTTATTTAATGTATGTATCATATTATGGTAGAACACTTTAAGAACAAGGATGCATCCGAATTATTTTGGTGTTATTTTGAAATCGTTTGTAAGCACAAAATTCATTTGTACATGTATGAACAAATTTTGCAAATTTTGTGAACTTCTTTGCAATGTTAACAGTTTCAATCACACAAATTAGTCTCAATTTCACTTTATTCACTGACTTTTATTTTTTATTTTATCTTTCTCGTCCTTTTTTTCTTCTTCTTTCTTCTCATCCTTTTTTGTCTCTTTTTTATCGGTTTCTTTTTTTTCAGCGTCGCGATTGGTTAATTTATTATTGATCAAGTTGTGTAAAGCCACTATGGATCTAACAAGAGCAGCAAGATACACAACCAACATTTGATCATTCGTTTTCACATACAGTGAATCAACAAAGCTACTCTGTGTCATATCGGGTAGTAAATTAAAAATATCTTGGAGTTGATAAACAATCTGATGATTGATAGGTAATTTACCACTACCAACTTGTAGCAAATAATCTCTAATTTCTCTAATTTGTTCGTGAAGACCTTTTAAACCTAGTAGTTGATTTGTAATTCTTTGACTAAGAGTACCAACTGTGGTATCCTTTATATCTCTTAGTAGGTGTTCCACACCTACTTCCTCTGCTTCCTCTGCACCAATTTCACTAGGGATGTGTTCAAATGTTTTAGATGTTGGAGAACCATCCTGCAAATAATTCAAAATTATAACATAAATTAAAATAATATAAATATAAAAACTTACATCGTGAACTTCTTCAACAGCTTGATATGCTTCTGTTGGAAGGCCAAGATCTTTGGGTTTAGCATCAATAATGACCAAAACCGAATTAGGACAATATCTCCTAATCAATTCATTAATTGCAACATCATTTTGATGTAATTTGGGACCAGTATGATACCATCCTACTACCTTTTCACGGGCTGAAAATAAATCATATGAATTTAAATATAAAATAAATTATAAAAATTAATTACATGAAATATAAACTTTTCATTTTGCACAAGCTTATGTGTGTAAATACATACCATTAACTTTTTTAAACATTCCATACATGTTTTCAAGATAATCATGATCGAGGAACCATACACTTTTGTCCTTATCATCTTCATCAAAAGGTACTGTAAATAAAAATGATAAAACCTGGTATTCTTGATTCAATCAAATAAAATTTTGAAGTATGGTAGTACATGCATGTCTACTTAGATTATTCAAATTAGAATTGTTATAACAAAAATATGTCTATTTTATTTAAAAAGATATTAAAAGAATAAATAAATACAGAATTTCAAGTCTCATTTCTAAAACTTCTAAGAATAAGATATAATGCAAGTAGTGTTATAACCTAACCTGCAAAACTGTTTGATACGTCAAGAACGCCTTTAGCCCTCCAACATCCTAAAAGAACACCAACAACTCTTTTCTGATTGCCAATTTTTCCCATACGATTAAAATGGTCCACCACACTTAATAAAACTAAAGGGTGCACCACTACTTTCGTAGTTACAACCTCTTGACTCGGCATTTTTGAGCAATTCCTTTAACTTTGCCTAGTGAACGTAGTCACAGTAGAAATAACATCCAAGTCATTCACTGTACATTCACAAAAGACCCTTTTAACCAAGAGTAAACAGTAGAAGTGCCACTTTCAGGAAAATGTATTAATTATGCCTTTATAAGAAATTAAATTTTAATTGTTTTTGAAAACCAAAATATAATAATAATTGTACTAAAAAAAAAATTAATTGCATCGTAATCTAAAATCAATTTAAGGTTAATTAAAAAATATGGATTTTTTTCTATAATATTTTGAATTTTTCAAACGAGGTAATATTAGGCAAATAAATTTTTTATCAAATTTACGTTCTTTAGAAAATTATAAAAATATTTTTACATTTATTATAAATAAAATGAGAAATTATAGTTAGCAGCACTGTTAAGAAAACATTGATCCGCATGTGCTTTATTCGGGTCTCAAGTACTGCAAGGTAGTTCTTATGAAGGTAAGTAATAACTAAGTTTAAAGAAGTGTTATAAACACGATATTGATTAAAATAATATGTATCCATGTATTTATCTTTTAATAACAATTTAATTCAATTTATTCGACGGAAAGATCAATGTATTTTGTTTTCTCTATACATGCATATTTCTGTGGACATGTTGACCAACTGAAGAAACCAAAAATGGCGCGAAATTATTTTATTTCTATACGAAATATTTTTTTACAGAATGTCGAAACCAATAGTCTTCGTAACCGGAAATGCAAAAAAACTGGAGGAATTTGTAGCTATCCTGGGAAAGAATTTTTCACGTGAAATTACAAGTAAGAAGATTGATCTTCCGGAATATCAGGGAGAGATAGATGACATTTGCAGAAGTAAATGTCGAGCAGCGGCAGATTTAATAAAAGGTCCTGTTATTATTGAAGATACATGTTTATGTTTTAATGCAATGAAAGGTTTACCTGGGCCTTATATTAAATGGTTCTTAGATAAATTGGGACCTGAAGGCTTATACCAAATGCTTCATGGTTGGGAAGATAAAAGTGCGGAAGCGATTTGCACTTTTGCCTATTGCGCCGGAGAGCCGAAAGACCCAGTGTTATTATTTCAAGGTAAAACTCAAGGAACTATTGTGAGTCCTCGAGGTCCGCGAGATTTTGGTTGGGATCCATGTTTCCAGCCTTTAGGCGGAGATAAAACTTATGCAGAATTACCGAAAGAAATGAAGAATCAAATTTCACATCGCAGCAAAGCAGTAGAAAAATTGAAAGAATATTTTATGAAAGATGCTCAGCATTAAATCAATAAGAATTACTCTTTCAAAGTACAATATTCATTACTTTGTAATTATAAGTATTATATGTAGAATTGAAAAATATATTTTAATTGCTTTTTAATGACATATCGTTTATTACTTCCTATATCAATGATTGTGTATCATCAAAATGTACGCTCGGCATTTTGACCCAATGTTAATTTACGTACTATTCTTGCTTTATCAAAAGAGATTTAATGTTTAAAATACATTTCGACCGAAGTGCCGATAGCCGGTGAACTTCGTCATAAGTTGAATTACTTGTAACAATAAAGAATTTCTTGTAACAATAAACAACAAAACAATTTTAAAATTTGTTCGGATAATTAATATTTCATGTACCGTAAACACTGATGATACATTTATCAATATATTACAAAATGATGCAATATTTTTTAATATTGTACCATGCTCCTTTAACAACGAAAATTTAAATTTTAGAATTTTTGGTCTTTTATCAATATTTTTTCTCATTGCTATATATAGAGTACGAAATCATTACATTTATATTATCATTGATCGTTACACAGCGGTAAACATGCAATCGGATTTTATTTATTGCTTATTGATAAAGCTAATTATATTCATTAATTGACAATGTTCATAATAATGTAATTTAAAAGAATAACAGCAATTTTAAGAAAAATTTTCAATCGATCATCGTATTAAAATTAAATCTTATTTATTGATTATATTGAGGAGCTACAAATGTTCAAATTATTTATAATCATTGTCAAAATTTTTTATGAATATAAATTCAAAAAATACTAGTTTCAAGAGAAAATTTATAGAAAGAATTTTTTCATTAAATTTTATTTGCATACTATTAATTAGTTCCATTTAATTAAAAAGAAAACGTTGTTTATATTCATAGTAGGTTCGGACAAATCCATCCTTTTAATTTAGAAATAAAATAAAAATGTAGTAGAATGATTCACTCAGGTAACGCATGGTAAGATTAAAAAATACATGGTAACCCATGGTGAAATTAAAAATTTTAAAATACAATTTGTCTTTACAAATACATTGGATTAGATTAAAGCTAGGTGATGTTTTCAAAAATTATTCACATAACAAAAGTAATTGGTGACCATGCCCGAACGGGTTATCTTGTGCATTGATTATACCGGCACAGTCAGTTCATAATACCCTTTCGGGAGGGGTTATCATTGTCTTTGTATTTTCTTATTTTACTGGGATTGCAGATTTTTCGCCTTATAAAAGGAGAAAGCAATGCAATAGCCTTACCAGTCTTGTTGCCAGGGTCATACATAATGAATGCCCTAGTCGGTAAGTGATAAGAAACGAGGAGAATATTTTCGTATGTTATTAATAACTCGTAATATTACACAAATTGTTTTTTATTTTCCAGTGCTATTGGCAATTCTAGCTACGGCGTTTGCCGTTCCAGGTATGTCAACCGAAAATAAAATAGATCGAATTCTTTATATAAAGAAGACACCAATACATGAATTTTCTCAAATATTATTACAGCACCTTTCCCGCATGGAAAAAGTTTGACTTACAAATATCATGCTGTTGTGAAGGCTGAAACTATTGAGCCGACTCCGTTCGCGTCTGATTTTGAGATCGAATGTCTTCTTCAAGTGCACCACGATGCCACCAATCCAACTTCGAAGAATATCTTCTATATTACCTTAACTAATGTGAAATATGGGTTGTATAATGGACGCATGCTCCATCATGCTCCATCTGAATCTGTTATGTTACCGATTGACGACGCTGCTAAAGCGATCTTGAATCCTTTCCTCGTTGTCTACAATGAACATGGACACGTAAGAAAAAATAAATAAAAGAGTGATAAATATGTTGATTACTAACATCTATAAGCAAAGGTAATGGAATTTATTTGGATTATTTCAGCTTGAAGGTGTACAATTCGTAGAAAATGAACCAGGATGGTCAAAGAATTTGAAAAAGGGTATCGCTTCTATGCTTCAGTTGGACTTGGTTCAAATTCATGTTCAGACCCCTATAAACGTACATGGCTTCATATCTCAAGAGGTAGGTAACGACTGATGGGAACACCCTTAGGTTTTGACTAATGTTCTCTTTGGTTGTTACCACTAGGTTACCATTCATGGTACTTGCGAAGTTGCTTACAACGTGCTGCCAATAGACCATTCAGGATCTAGCAAAGAATTTATAGTTACAAAACTTTACGAATCGAAGAACTGTTCTCGCTTTAAATATTACGAGTTTAACCATGTAGAATGCGACGAATGTCAAATATATGAAGGGGTATTGAAAATGTCAATTATTCTTCCCATATTAAAATGTAGTAGTTTCATAAATTTCGTCTTTATATTTTTATAGGATGACATGAGCACCGCTACCAAACGTGTTTTTGTAATAGACAACTATGATAATGAAATTCTTATAAAAAAATTAATTGGTCATTCAGTGATTAATTACCTTCCATGGTTGGCTGAATCAGAGGCCCATTATCTTTTGACTAAGTAATTCGAAAAGATTTTATTGCAGCTCCAAATATAAACTTTTGTTGAAGTTTTACTCAAAAACGACATATATTTTTTCAGCCAAACTTTGGTTCTCGGAGATATCGTTCCTGTAACTGACGTTCATTTATCGCCCTTGAAACGTCTAATTGTCACACCTATCGAGAAGATTATCTACGATGAACCTAAAACTCCATATGTTCCTGAGGCTGATATAGACGTAACTCATCATCGACATGTCTTTAAGCTCGATGAACTTGTGGTTAAAGTGAAGAAAATGTTGAATGAGGCTGCTGGTTACCTGAAAGAAAATCATATTGACAAGAAACAATCAGACTGGAAGCATGACCAAACAATCAATAGAATTTTTCACATTATGGGATTCATGAACGTTGCATCTTTGGAGAAAGTGTATAATGAAATTCAAGATGCCAAAGATGCCACAGAAAAAGCAATGAAGTAGGTGAACTGATATTTATCGGTAATTGAACAATAATATATTTTGATAATCAATTTTTGAATATTAATTTTTTCAGAAATATTTTCCTCGGAATAGTGCCGCACGTAGGAACTCCAGCTGCCTGCCTTTTCACACGAAATGTAGTTCGTACAAACAGCGTACCAAATTGGGTTGCCATCACGATGCTTGCCAATCTTCCGATGCACGTAAAAGTTCCTTCGAAGGAACTGCTTTTACAGATGGAAGAACTTCTGAACTTAGGCGATTCCGTTTCGCCGAGTGTTAGGGAAGCTAGCATATTTTCCTTTGCTACACTGATTCACAAGACCTATGAGAAAGAACAAGTCGAAATCGTTGATCCTCTTTTGGATAGATATTTGAAACATTTCATGGAGCATGTTAGAAGTACGGAATTTCTATAATATCATATTTTAATTATTTAATTCTTAAACTTTGAAATTCTTGAATATGACCGATGATAAATGTTACAGCCGAACCGACGTTCCACATGAAGATGGTGTACATGATGGCCATGAAGAACGTTCGGCTGAGCCATGTTTTGAAACATCTGGAGTCTATCATTAGTGGCAAAGAGGTTGTTTCCGAAAAGCCATACAATATTCGTGTGCAAGCTATTTGGATCGTTAAACACATAAACGTCGGCCTCCATTATACTCACGATTTACTCTGGCCAGTTCTTAGTGACGTTAGCCTTCCAACAGTAGTCAGAGTTGCTGCTTTCGATGTGCTGGTACATCAAGTAACTCATCTAGGCCGTTTCATGAATATATACTGGTTAATGGTTAACGAAAAGAACGAACATCTCTACAATTATTATGTAGATACCATTAAAGGACTTGCTAACTCGGTAGACCCATGCCTGATGAAAACTCGGGAAATTTGTAAGAAAGTATTGAAGTTCATTTCTAAAAGGAATGTCGATGGTCCACTTTCAAAAAAAATTCACGTAGATTATGAAGATAAAAAGTACGGATACGCTGAAAGCGTAAAGGCTTCATTAGTTCTTGATAATACTGGCTTCCCGTATGTTGGTTCAGTTGAACATGTCGAAACTGTCACTCGTAAGCCCGTTCATAAATGGGGAGTAAGTGTTTTTATTCGATATTATAAATTTAAGAAATATTATTTAAATCTATTTTAACATTTTACTTTGTTTCTATATCTTAGATTTACTGGAACATAGATGGCATGGGCAAAATCTTAAAGCATGTAAATCGTAATATGTTCAACGAATTCGTAGAAGCAATTAAAAATGATAATGTGAAAAGTATATTACATCGAGCAGCTACAGATATGCCGATACTTAAAGATATCAACGTTAACGTGATTTTGACAATGAATAATAATGTTGTTTCGATACTTCATTCCGACAAGGATAATTCATTAAAAATTCTTGATAAATTGAAAGACTGGAACAAATTCATTACTGAGTATTTGAATGTTATTAATTGGCAGACTGTATTGTATCATAATCATTACGAAATGCATATGCCCACTGATCTTGGTGTACCAGCCGTTTTGGTTTCGAAGATACCCTCTTTGACTTCTCTCAAAGGAGAGTTTGAATATTCCGAGGAGAAAAATCTTTTAATCTTGAAATCAAAACTTAAATATGAACAATGGATGCATGGCGAACACGTAATATCGGTTTACAATCCCCTCGTTGATACTTGGCACTCTGTTCGGAAGACATCGTCCGTGGACGTTGTTTTGCCATATGATCTGAGCATTGCTTACAATCAGAATGCAAAGAGCTTTAAAGTTACATTGCCAAGATTACCTGTTTCGGAGTTTTCGATTGCTGGAATGTCCATTTATGGGAAAAACTACGTCACTCTCACAGGTGATGAGCATGATTTACTGAAGAAGTTCTGTTCCACTTGTCGTCCCATTCACGAAGTTATTATCACTGACAATAGCTTAAAAACATACGATATTTTTGAATCGAAAGACACTGGAACTCGATTTTCGATAACACACAATTGTGAGAACAATGTTGTTCCTGTCTCTCCTATTACTCAGTGGCTTGAAGTATATCTAGACAAACAAATGAACACCATGTAAGTATAAGTTAAGGGATGATGGCGAACAAGGAAAAGAAATATCGTTAAAATTTATTTTTATTTCGTAGAAGCTATCTATGGATGAAGCCTATCATGACTCTTCATCATAAAATAATGAACGATATAATTGTAAAACAAGAGAAAAGTTGCGCGGTTGTGTATAAAATTGAACCAAGTATTTTACATCCTACTTCGATGGTACATTAAAAAAGACTCTTTACTTATATAATATTTGTACATATATTCTTCTGCTTAATTCTAATTCTTTTTCTATGCGATTAGATTGAGTTGAATGGAAAACTTAGCGTTCAAGACTTGGACTACACGCATGAGAAGATGGACTTGCTTAGCAATAAGAGAATCGATATTCGTGGAAGTATGATTGTTAAAGCAGCCTCCACTGATGAATCTGTAAGACGGTGGAATCTGAATGTTAACGTTATGTTGTCTCAGGGACATGTTAACAATAATGTCAAAGTTATGATCACACGTATTACACCGCAAGAGGAAGATCTGAAGGTTTGTAATATTTAAGATCTGTAAGTAAAAGTTTTTATTAGACAAAACATTCTATGCATTGTTTTAGATATGTATCGAAGCACAGAAAGATTATCCTGTAGTCAATTCAGATTTATTAAAAGTTAGTGGAAAGAAAGAAGTTAATTCTGTAGTGACGATCACTATGGGACATGCGAAAGAAGATAAATGTGTACATGATGAAATGGACGTTACATTGACAGTGAAAGGTGAAGTGTTAGAAAATCAACAAAATCATATCATCCACGATAGTGTGTGCCATAAACAAAGTCAGAATCCCTTGTTTTACCTCAAGGGAACGAGGTTTTTGATGCTACTTCCTAGCACTCCAGAATGTATCGAAGAAGCTATACGCGATTCATCTCTAAGGAAATACACTATAAATATGACGCTAAAGACGGTAATTAATAAGATTATACTTCAACTACTGGTTTAATTATATACTTAATTTTTAATTGCTTGACAGGTACCTCCGCAATTGTCAACAGCTGTAAATGTAGTGCACGATATTTTACGTGTTGTTTATTTTCCGTATATGAAATATACTTGGAAACATGTGGAACCTGAACACGCGAAGATTGTCCTAGAATTCCCAGATTCGTCATCTCTCCTTAATATAGCCGTCGTTACTTCGACACATAGTTACGAATTAGTTAATTTACCATTTGGTAATGCACTTTGGAATACGTGGATGGATAACACACTAATGCCTTTCTCAACAATATATAATTACGTTAACAAAGCAATCAGTAAGTTTTTTTTTTTATTACTTACAATAAGTAATCATTAATAAAATAATCAGCAATATTTCTACGTTGTCCACAGAGTTTTGTACAGTTAATCCTCGAGTTCTTATTAATCTCGATAATGGTGTCACTCCATTCATCGTATCAGATAAATGGACTTTGCTATCCGGTGATCATGTAGAACAATCGTACAGTATCTTCGTAAAATCAGTACAAAACGATCAATTGGCTTTAAGAGTTTACATAGGTGGACATGAATTGGAAATTATGCCTACCGATGGAAGTGTGACGGTTACCGTAAATAATAAAGTTGTAGACAAGTACGACAAGGGTGTCATGGTACCTGATAATCCGGAATCCTTTGCTATCAGGTAAATTTGCTTATATTAATTTTCAAAATAGTTTCAGTTACATAACTTTAATTTCATGGACTGATTTCTAAAGACAGATATTAGAAAATATAATTACAATACTTATATTTTTTCGCACAGGTTGATCGAAGCTAATAAACGTATGGTGATTGAATCCAGAATGGTACCAATCCAAATTTACTATTTAAAAGACATTTTGACAATTCTTGTGGGCACTGAACTTCAAGGACAATTGACTGGCTTGTGTGCTCGTATGGATGGCACTCATAAAGTCGAAATTCCAAAAATATATAGTGTCTCACATCTTTAAAGAAATCAAATGAAATCATATTTACCATTTTATGAAAGAGTAGAGGAGTTAACGTAGTATAATGTATGTAGATACAAAAGAATAAAGTTATCATTTCGAGTAATTTTCGATCATTCATTCTATACCATTACAATGATAATCTTTTTAACAAATTATTACATTTTGTTGTTATAATATCATTATAATCAAATATATTACATTAATTAATAAATAAAAATTTATTATCATTTTATTTATATTAAAAAAAATTAATTTTTCTATAATTTTTTACAAAATTTCCTAATTTAAATGTGTATTTTTTTCAATTTTTTTATTTATTTCATTTGTATTGTTTATATTGTTTTGAGAAGTTGAATATTTAGAATTACACTGAAATTAGTAAAAAAAATTCGTTCGTCACGTGGCCTCCGTGGCGCAATCGGCTAGCGCGTTCGGCTGTTAACCGAAAGGTTGGTGGTTCGAGCCCACCCGGAGGCGATTTTTTTTCTGATTTATATGTTTTATAGAAATAAGAATAACACACACAACTTATGTATTTTTTTACACACACTTACTGTCAAGAACGACATGCACATTTATAGAAATTCGATTTAGTTAAGAGGTTATGGATCATAAAATTAAAATTGGTTTTAGAAAAATTCAAAGATATAATCATACCTTTTGCGTCTTGCGAGTTATGAGAAACAGAAAAGTGAGTAACATTACTATTTAACGAAGAATGACAAAAATTTTTTATTTTCTGTTCCAAGTAAAATATCTCCTTAAAGCGCACAATGATTTCATACAGTCACAAATGAAATGATAAAATATGGCGTACATATGGTATGCGATTCTCGAAAAAATCGATATTTTTCACAATCGATTCAGAACAGTGGTTTTCAACCTTTTTTGATTTATATCTATTAATTAATAATTAATCATATTATTAATACTATTAATTTTATCTTTACCTTAGAATGCTAATATAAAAACTTATTTTTGCATTATTCAATTTTTTTTACTTATTTTTATATCAAGTATGCATTTTTAGGAAAACGTTTGGGAATCACTGATAGTAGGCCTATTTTGGCGGGAACCACCAAAGAAACATAATTCATAAATTGTCAAGTAAAAATTATACTTAATATAATTAATCTTCTAAATTTGTGTTTGCATTATCAAGTAAGTCAGCGAATTACAATTAGTAAGAATATCATTTAAAAGAATTACTACATATACTTAATAAGATTCTTATTGATTAGAAATGAATACATATACGTTTTCATATATACAAAAATATTTTAATATTTACACTTAATTTATTACTTTAACTAAATTAAATAGCATAACTAGATATTTATGCATAAGTTTGTATGATTAAAAAATTCCTATTGGATACTTTGATTTGCTATGAATTAATTTCTTATGAATCAATTATTCCTATTGGATACTTTGTTTTCCTATGAATCTTATTCGTCAATGCTCGTGTCCCTACCCCACCAACTCGCGACGCGAACCTGTTGCGCGGAGATTAGTCGAGTGTCGGAAATCATAGTGTCAAAATATAACATTCACGTGTGACATTTAACTACGTAATACTTTCATCGCCATATTTTCAGCGGCTATATCCACACAGTCGGCGTTATTCTTAACTTCGTTCAACTCAAGTATGTTTTTACTCAATAATTTATCGAATATTTAATATAATATGTTATATTTAGTGCTAGCTAGTATTATGAGCTTTCAGAACGACTATTTAATCTTAGTCATTATTTTATTTGTGTATAATCTATTCCTTTTATATATGTATTTATTTGAAAGATTTTGTTTTCTTTTGTTTGTATTATTATTGGAAGCAATGAAATTAGGAAGGACGCCATGAAATTTAAAAAGGACGCCATGTTGATTAACGATAAATTCAGTAGCTTTTTTAAGGAGATATGATAATGTTGTAATACCATAGATGAGGTATATGAATAGACCTAACATGAATTTTATGTATTTGAGTTAAGCCAGAATTTTTTATTTTTTATTCTCAGTTAACATTTCGTGCGAAATGCGCGCCTATTGAGTTTAAATTAGTTAAAGATTACAGCGCCAACGGTAAAATATGCAATACACTTCCTGCGATTTTCGAAATAATCGATATTTCTTATGATCAATTTTCAAGTGGGAGAGCAGACCTTTAATGGCGGAAAGAAGCACACCAAGCTGTGACAAAAAGAAGTGTCATCCAGGAAAATCATCAAAGTATCATCTAGAAGTTCTCAAGTAAAAATTTAAATCGGTAGTTATTAGATTTGTGTTTGTATTGTGAATTTTTAAGATTAAACGTGCATTTTTGGTTCCAACTCAAGGTTAGATTTAATTAAATAATTATTACATATAATGTTCAACAATTAAAGAAATAATAACGTATAAATATTTAAACAGAACATACTGTGTTAATAGTCATGTATAATTTGATACCAAAATTTAATTTCCATTCTAACCAATACAAACATTGTAACCTTGTATTTGACTAACTTATTGTTATATGTATATATATATGTGTGTGTGTATACATGTATTTTATTATATATTTTTACACAGACACTTTTATTATAACATTTTCTACTTAATTGTTCATTCTTTAATTTCATACTGCGTAACTCTTATCAATTCTAATATTAAATTTAACAGTAATTTATTTTATGTACATATTTAATAGTTCAAATAATAATTTTACTATGTAATAAATATTTAATAAAGTTTATATATAATAAAATTTCTCATGTCCCAATTTAAAGTATTAACAATTTTTCATCAGATATGTGAATATTTTCGTTCTTTTTTAAGAATTTTTCATGAATTTTGTTTATTTGATTTAGGAATTTTTTATTTTTTATTTCCAGTTAACATTTCGTGCGAAACACGCGATTACAGCGCCCCAACGGTGAAATACGCAATATACTTCCTACGATTCTCGAAATAATCGATATTTCTCATGATCGATTTTTAAGCGGGAGAGCAGGCCTTTAATGGCGGAAAGAAGCACACCTCAGTTGTGACAAAAGAAAGTGTCATCTAGGAAAATCATCAACAAAAAAGTATCATTCAGAAGTTCTCAGGTAAAAATTTAAATCAATAGTTGTTAGGTTTATGTTTGTATCTTGAATTTTTAAGATGAAACGTGCATTTTTGGCTCAAACTCAAGGTTAGGTTTAATCAAATAATTATTACATATAATTTTTAACAATTAAAGAAATAATAGCATATAAATGTTTAAACATAATGTTTAAACATAATACTATGTTAAAAGTTATTTATAATTTTATACCAAAATTTAATTTAAATTTTAGTCAGTACAAATATTGTAACACACACACACACACACATATTTATTTATTAGACGTATTTTATTATATGCCTTTATTTACTTCTATTATAACATTTTCTACTTATTTGTAACTTTATAGTGCGTAATTCTTATATTAAATTCAACAATAATTTATTAAGAATATACGTATTTAATAGTTAAAATAATAATTTCACTGCGTAATATAATAGAAATTTCCATTTCTCAAGCAAAATAAGGCGTAGAAGGCCTTGAAATTCGAAATCCGAGGTTCAAAGCAACATAAACATAAAACTTACGTCTGTATGTAAGGCTCTTAATGTTGCACTTGTTTTTATTCGCGTGACTCTTTTTTGTTATCACTTTGTCGAGACAAGTCGAGACAAGTCGAGACAAGTCGAGACAAGTTGAGACAAGTCGAGACAAGTCATTCAGCTACCGACTTTCGAGACAATGACACGTGTTATAACGCATTAGATTCGGTGGCGTCGTTTCTTCGATACTCTTACTTCCATTTATACTTCATTAATAGTATCATTTAATTAATGCGCGTGTTTGACGATTCATTGAGCATCAAGATAACGAAATCGAGTAAGATTTTGCACCTTTTCGTCCTAATTTTTCTTCGATCATCGATTTCACTCTTACGGTTACCGGTACTTTGTCTTGTATGTTTTTTTAATAGAATTTGAGGTTGATTATCGTTTTATTATTTACCTTCATTTGACATATTTGTTCTAACTTTTGGTTTCTTTTTGTGCAGGTTATTGGTTGCAAAAATAGCATAGAGTGCATAGACACTACGATCATTATCAACAATCTGATGAACTTTCACGGAAAGTTGGTAATATTTTATTCATCTTAGATAACATTTGCTATATAATTTATATATATTTGAGATACAATTCACAATAAGTAATTTCGTAATTATATGAGATACAAGGATAAAAATAGAGAAGATTAAATCAATTAATATTTTACTTCGAATATAGAGATCATAATAGCTTAATGGTATATACTTTCAAATGGATATATATTCTTGTATTTGATTATTATATTCAGAACTTTGAATGAAATGTTGACATGCAATTGAACGATTTAATGCAAGATTTCACAATTGTATGATTTTGTAAATGTGAAATTTTGATTTGTGCAAATGTTTTTGAATATTTATAACACACGGCGTGATATATTACTAATGTACATACCTCATATTTTAATAATGAACATTCAGAATACAATTTTTGTAAATATTTCTGCAAATATTGAGAAATACTTTATAATTTCTCCAACTAATATTTTTAATGCATACTCAAGTTCATAATCATTTTCTAGAAAAATAGCAGTATTTTCTTAATGAACGTACTCTTTGCCCTTCTCCTATTAATCAGCTTTATTTTCAGAAAATTTTTGTGACTGCGCGCAATGCGGTCGGTAGAGCCAGTGTTTGTTGAGTAATATTTTATTGTTTGTCTGAGCGAAACGGCTCTTATTAAATAAAATTATTAATTCATTTAAATTTAATTCGCGAAGTTAGAGTCAGTGAGTTCGCCGTTGTTACTTAAACGCGTGCATTGATAGTCTTTTATTTTTCTTTTTTCATATCTTGTTCAATACTCGTTTTCGGTATTAGAATCAGTGCATAATCAGTGCAATCAAGAGGATAAGGCTTCTCCAGGAAATCAAGATGGTAAGTAGTTTATATATTGTACTTCATTTTATTCAATTTTTTCAAATTTAACAACAAGTACATATAATGTTTAACGTTTTGTTACAGACGTTTGACA